TCCCAAAGGGCCTGTTCCTCATACATACACATACTTTTAATATCCCACTCTGAAATGTCAAAGAAGAAATTATTTAACAAGGGCGACAACACACATACAGTGTGTGTATATCTGTGCCCCCCCCCACCCCTGTGCAGAAAATGCTTTGCAACCCCCTTAGTGGTCTTGACTTCCAGGTTGGGAAACACTGATTTAAAGCAATTTAAATTAAACCAGTTTGAAACATGTAAAGTTAACAATGAAAACAGCTATGTGCCTTCCCCCCCACTCCAACTTCCAAAAATTTTCCAGCAATTCCACAGGCAGAATTCTGGGATTTCCAGCCCAGAGGTGCACACCTGCAGGCACCTATATTTCACTCACTTGGACCAGAGTCTATCTCCATGACAGTGTAGCTGTTTTGGGCCCTGCTTCCTGTTGTAAATGTATGGAAAGGGAAGCTGCCACTGTGCTTCTAGTGATCAAAATTCTTCAGGAGATGCTCGCTATAAATCCTAAATGGCAGTGAGACTACAAGGACATGCTCCAGGTGAGCAAAATGTAGGTGTCTATTGCTGTGGAGCTGAGGGTAGAACCCAGAATGCAAATGTTTTAAGGCATTCTAAGGGCTTGTGGCGGGGAGGGAGAATGAAAGACACATTGCTAACATTCAGCTCTTTTTTTTTGTGAAGAACCTCTTTCCCAATGAGAGATGAACCAAATTTATAATCTAATCTTGGGGCTCCTGCTGGACTGTCCAACTTCAGGTTGAAAGGTGAAGGGGAACATTTGAATATTCTCTTACATGGAAGAAAGGAAACTTCCTGGATAGAGAAAACAAGGGTGTGAGGAAGACATTCATATTAGTTTCCTGTGTTCTAGGAGCTGTTCATTGGGGAAGTATTCAAACATGGTGTTCTCATGATCCTGTTAGTTTTGGGGCTCCTGCTGGACTGTCCAACTTCAGGTTGAAAGGTGAAGGGGAACATTTGAATATTCTCTTACATGGAAGAAAGGAAACTTCCTGGATAGAGAAAACAAGGGTGTGAGGAAGACATTCATATTAGTTTCCTGTGTTCTAGGAGCTGTTCATTGGGGAAGTATTCAAACATGGTGTTCTCATGATCCTGTTAGTTACACAACTTGGCTCTACCTCCTAATTTTCCTGGACTAGCCTATGCCCATTAGAATTACATTCGGACCATTCAGTGACAGTCACCCCAAGAATTAAAAGGGTCAAACATTTTCTACCAATCAAGTATATGACAACCATAGAATGAAACCATGGTAAAACTGTCTTTTGTTCCAATGCTTAGACTGATTCAGCCACTTCCTCTGATCCACTCAAAGTCTTGAGCTGGCTCCGAAAAGATCTGGAAAAATGTGCAATTGGAGTCCAGAATGTGTTGAACAGCAGTAACAATGCTGGTGGTGCAAGATCACGAGAGCCGTCTGTTGGAAGGCAAAGCACCCAGCAGCGCAATGCGTCTTCCCCAGGTGGTTACAGCATCTGTGATGAAGAGTTCAGTATGAATGTCAGCTCTTCCAACAGAGGCTCTCCCAACTTCCACTTGGCCATGAAAACCGCCTGTCAAAAAGGACCCAAAGATGAAGAAAGCGATGGTTCCACCTCGCCAAATGCAAATACGGACTCAGATGAAGTTTCTTTCTACTGCAATAGACTTTCTAACCTTGCCATAGCAATGGCACGCAAAGAGATGAATGACCGGTCAGATGGCAATGCCACGTGCATACATAAGACACTTTATGCTGCTGCCGGGGACCATGGCCACAGGTCTGTTGGGGTGGGTACAGATGACTGTAAGCACAATCCATCTAAGATGTGCGACTGCAAATATGAAGAAAGTCCCAATTCTAAGAAGAAAGCCACATTTTATTACAAAGAAGAAGGTGGTACAGAAATACCTAACAAAAGTGAACCTTGTAGAGATGAAGCCAAAGCTTGCAACCATAGGAAACGCTTTGGTCCAGATGAATATACCAACTCACTGAGCAAAGGAATCTTAGTCTACGCAAACAATGTGGTTTCAGATATGATGGTCTCTGTCATGAAAACCATGAAAGTTAAAGTGAATGATTCCAACATAGCTTGTGCAGTGTTGAAAAAGGTACTGCTGAAGCATTCCAAGGAGGTGGTGTCTGACTTGATAGACTCCTGCATGAAAAACCTACATGATGTCACTGGAACACTCATGACCGACTCTGACTTTGTTTCAGCAGTGAAACGGAGCCTCTTCACTCAAGGAAGCCAAAAGGCCTCTGAAATTGTCCAGGCCATGCTGAACCGGTTACATAATGCTTTGATTGTACAGAAACAGGTGAGTGAGAAGGCAAAATCTCAGAGAATGGCCTTTGCCTCTGTCAATACAGGTTCAGGAACCGATGCAAAAACACAGAACATGAGATTTGCTGCTGCAAAAACAGAAACGGTGAAAGAAAAGGAAATGACCTGTGCAGAAACAGTTGGCAATCATATCATAAAGGAGGGCCTCTCTATGTGGCACCAAAAACAACAGAATGAGAATGCAGGATCAAATCCTCAGGCAAAAGCAATCTGTAATCCCGAAAACCCAGACCTTTCAACTGACTCCTGGGCAAGAGACCTGATTGTAACCGCATTACTGCTGATCCAGTACCATCTAGTCCAGCAGGAGAATGCACTGAAGGATGCAGCGGATGGTGGCAGGTCTGGCAAAATTTCTGGCACCACATTTGGTTTGATGTCTCAGGAAAAAAGTGGCAATGCTTCTACTCTCCCTTCATCAAAACCATATGACACACTGAAATCTAGTGACGAGGAACCTTCTGAGCCTAATGCTGATAATGACATGTCAAGTGTTGTAGTGATGCTTATCCAAAAGCTCATCAATGAGACAGTCAATAAATTAGGAGGAAATGTTGGGACAGTGATGTCTGATGAAGCATATAAAAGTCCTTACAAAACTCCAGAAGGGCCAGGGCCTTCAGCCCTTTCAGAAGGGGATCATTCTTATGAGGATGCCATATCTGGACTGACCAAAATGATTCTGGATCAGTTTGATGTCAACAGGAAGGAAGGAGGCAGTGGGCCATTCATTGACAACCTAGTGGATACAGTGACCAAGTTGTGCCTCATGATAGCCAAATACAGCAATCCCGAGTCAGGTCTTGGAGATATTGGAGACGGAGAAGATGCTGGTGGAGCTATGTATTCAAAGGACATGGAAAGTGCAGAAAGTCGAATAGGGTCAGGTGAATCTGGCCGCAAAGTGGTTGTGACCAATCAGAATGTTCCTGAGAACATTCACAACAAACAACTCCAAGCTATCCTTCAGTGGGTGGCAGCCTCTCAGCTAAATGTTCCTGTGTTGTACTTCATGGATGATGATGAAGAAAACCTGAATAAGGTAAACAATGAGATGTTTGAGAAAATGAAGGGTGGGAATTGAATGGGACAGCATTTTAAGTTCTGTAAACATTTTTAAGAAGGCTTGGTTTCTGTCCTTTTTTATTTCCTTGATAGTTTTTAATAATTATTCATGGCTTAAATTTGAATGTTTTGGCTTGGGGATGGCCTTTTCCCCTTCTTGTTCATTCATTACATTTTGTGCCGTGCTCTTGCCTTTCCTCCTTGGTAGGAGACAAATTCTTTTGTATGCAATTATCCATGTATGCCTACTTTTCTAGCAGAATTGGTTGGAGGAGGACAAATTTAAAACCTCTTCCTCCTCCTCTTGATAAGGACGCAAAAGGGATAGCATATGTATATGCATGACCAGCTGTCCTCCAGGCCATGAAAGTTGCCCATCCCTCATCTGCATAGTGCATGGTTTCTGTTTGGTGGGACTAGATTATGCAGTCAGGGAGTCAAACAGTAAAATCTTCATAGATGGTAGCACCTTCAGCTAGAGGTGTGGGCTGCATGTTTAAATTTCTCTCAGTTAAAAATGACGTGATTCCTTGAGCACAAGAGCTAAACTGTCAGAAAGATGCCTAACCCAAAGCTTTCTCATGGTATTTTTTTTTCCTGCATGGAAGGCATATGGGATGTGGTGTGAAAAATAAATGCACACTTCTCTTACAATATAGAAAATTTTTTGGAACTTCTGGCCTTGAGGTTGGATGTACTCATGGCTATTCTGACTTTGCCTGCAGCAACTCTAAACAACAGTGCATCATTATACAGCTATTTTTTAATTTTTTTATTTACATAATTTAAACTATACATACAGTTGTTCGATAGATATAGATGTCATATACATATGTAGATTGGCTAGCATATAGGCACATGAAAGAGGATCAGATGTGAGGTCAAGGTGAATTCTGGGTGAATACAATCATTTCTTTCCCCTTAAAAAGTCATACTTCTGTGTTCTCTTCTCTTTTCAACAGCTTCAACAACTCTCCTCAGTGGCCGTGGAAAGGGGCTATAGTGTAGGAGACGTGATGCAGGCAGTCCTCAAGTTTGAAAAGGAAAGGCAGCTGGGAGAGGCACTGGGCAACTTTGTGAGGTTGCCGGTTCTGGATTGGCTGCTTCAGAACCTGTGAACCAAACAACCTCTTCTGTATTCTCAGATGGCAGGCTTCTCGTGCTTTGCAGCATAGCCCTTGTTGCCACAACAGAGATGATATCATGAGTTTTACTGACCCCCTAACCACTGCTGAGCAGTCCTATGAATAAAAGAAGGAAATACTTACATGTTGGTTAGAGTAGTCATTTCTAGGCATTTGGGGGAAAGAATATTGAAAACTAGCTATTGCAAACAAAGTGGCATATGCGGGTGGAGAATTGTCTTTCTTGTAAGCATCTTACTCAAGGGCAAATATGTCACATACTGCTGTCTCTTTGTGAGCAGTGTTATTGGTACCACATTCAACTATCTTTGCAGGCTACATTTTAATACCTATGATTATTTTACATTATCATTAAATGTTTGTGTCCTTTATACACACTTGGTCAACCTACAGATTATCCAATTCACTTCTCACATCAAACCAGAAACTATAAGAAACCATAAACCATGGCATAAGAAAACAGGGACTCATGTGAAACTTTTGGGTTTTAAATACTTGTGTTTTTTTAAAAAAATCTTTTTTGGGGTATAATGGTACAAAAAGCTTGCAGGTAGGTGGAAAAATCCGCATCTACCGTACAGACTGGAGGTTCCACATCCGTTCTTTGATCTCTTTTTATTCCATAAAGGGAATAAGTGATTTTCATTGTCAGTTTCCACATGGGAAAATCTGAATGTGAAACAGGCTCCTTCTGGATGGATGACTGATGTGTCTCCTTTACACATCTGACAAGGAATTTATTTATGGTCTCAGAAGATATTGTACCTTATTATGTTTGTTTTAAATCTTCATTCCTGGATACGATGTACTGTATTAATTTTGTCTTAAGAGTTCAAAAATGAATCCTTTTCTTCTTTAAAGGGTTTATTTAGCAAGCAAGTAACTGAGTGACTGAAAACCAAAAATATACAATATGCTTGGAATATATGTAAAAATTACATGAGTATATACTTCCAAAATCACAGTCTCTTGTTACTTATTTCTCTAGTTCATATGTGTAAATAACACTTCTATGTTAGAAAAGACTTTGATTCTATTGAAATAAGAGCTTCTGTTTAGGCATCACATAATAGGTGAAGCTCAGTGATTCAAAAGAGAAAACAAGTTATCTGTAGTAAAAGGCTATCTTCTTAGATAACTCTCAGTCCAGTACTTAAAAACAAACTCTATTGCAAAATAGATTATTATTAAAGCAATTCTGTCAAAGCATAAGCAAGAACATTTGTAAATAAGTCATATTACATTTGATATTTCTCACCCAATATTTTCTTAGCAGAGATGTCTCCTGTGTTTGTAAAAAGCAGGTGGCTTGTGTGGTTTGGAGATGTCCTTCGTAACATGCTTGAAATCTCCGTTTTTATATACTTGGTGTTTCTTAAACAAAACATTTATGACACCAAACTTTGGCTTTCCTGTGGATACGTGATGTCAGCTTGTCTAGACAGCTATGGGTTGAATCAGCTACCTGCCAAGATAGCTTGTCCCCAGGAAAATGCCCCCTTGGAGTATTTCCTTATTTGGACGATATAGGTAATACATTCTGAATGCCATCTTCCCCCATATTAAATGTTCTAATTTCCCAACCAAACTCCATATTTTTCCTGTCATATAATTTCCCCAAAACCTATTATTGACATTGTTCTTAAGCTGTTTTTCCTCATCAGATTTGCAGCACTGTTTCCCATGTACTAGTTGTCTAGCTCTGGCTATCTAACACAATTGTGTTAGATTTCTTCTTTAATTTACTCCAGCAGTGATGTTAAAACATACAGTGCTGTTCTACCAAATACACTAACGATCTCCTTGGGAATGTTGATATTGTGCTTTCTCACAACAATAATGTGTTGGCTGAGTCTGCTACCTAGTACAACTTTATGTTTATTTTTCTGTATGTTTGCATTTGTGCTTTTAGGTTTTGGGGTTTTTCAAACTGAGAAATAGTAGGGTAAGCATTATAAACAACAAAAGATGTTATGGAATAAAAATTGCCTGCTTTATTCCTGACTTATCAAATCAACATTTATCAGCGTTCTAGCATTGAATTATTTTTTTTGCCTTCTGTAAGTTCAAGATGCTAAAGCCTCTCTGTTTCTATTTCCTTGTTTTCTCCAAATTCTACCTGCCTTTCCACCCTTCAGATCGGGTTGTACAGCTTTGGTGTTTATTTCATGTTTGCTTTATTTTGGCATGGAAATGTATGTTTATTTTATGTACAGGGTTCCTGTTGTGTACATTTATGTCTGCATTTTGCACAAGGTATACAGATCTGTCACAAAATGTATGTGCGGAAGGCAATGTGTATTTCTTGAGGCAACAAATCTTGAAATACATTTTAAAAAGGAAGCTTTTGCTTTCATCCACATTTTTTCAAGTCTGTTTTTAGCTCCTTACATAGAGTGGTAGAAAATTAAAGGGAGCAAGTAGCTGAGTGTTAAACGATTGCTGTTGACATCCAAAAATTCCTTGTGATACAAGCAATGTAACCTTGTAAATTCATCAGCTGGAATTTACAGAGATTTGACGCTATCCCACTATTGCAACTGCCTCCATTTAAAGTGGATGTTGTTGAGTCCGCTATCTTTGTGGCTACTCTACCTGTCTAGTGCCTCTGAAAGGGGCCTGGGATTGCAGGAAAGGATACTGCCACCTCCAGCAGTACTTTCTTCCAGCCAATATGGCTCTGTCATGAAGCAGAGGCAGAAACTAATATAAGGCTTCTTCTTTGTTGGTGGGGGGGGGTGCCTTAACACAAAATATATTGTCAGGAATTATTTGGTAGAGCCTGTGAATTCTGGATTTAAAAGTCTAATGGCAGAATATAGGAGGGAGGGGAAAAAGTGAAGCAGGCAGACCATGGAAGAAGGGAAGGGGGTATATTTAGTAGTCAGTATTAACAGGGAATTAGCAACAAGAAAGCCAAGGGCATAAGCTGAGCTTTTTAAGCCTGCCATAATGATAAGAAGGACTAACACCCATTCCTTATCAGCTGGAGAAAAGGATCAGCTGTGATGGCATTTTCCTACAAAATGGTTTCCTGTCTGGTTGTTGTAGGTTTTTCAGGCTGTTTGGCCGTGTTCTTAAGGTTTTTCTTCCTAACATTTCACCAGCCTCTGTGGCCAGCATCTTCAGAGGACAGGAGTCAGAATTCTGTCTGTGCTCTGGTGCAGTTTGTGGGAAAGTTGAGTATTTGTAGCTGTGGGATCAGCTTTTTGTCCTTTTCAGGAGATCGGGTGATTATGGTGATCACTGTGTTTTTTGTTGTGATAAGGGGGATAAATGATCTGTCACTGTGATTGATGGATGTCGTTAGCTGGTGTGCAGTGATCACCGGTCCTTATGGCTGGGTAGATTTTGTTGACTTTTTGCAGGCTGCATTTTTCAGTGCTGGGAGCCAGGTTTTGTTGAGTTTTAGACTTTTTTTGTTGAAGCTCTGCTGGTGTTTGTGGGTTTCAATGGCTTCCTTGTGCCGTCTAACATAATGATTGCTGGTTTTGTCCAGTACTTCTGTATTTTGAAATAGAATTTCATGTCCAGCTTGTTTCAGGGCATGTTCAGCTACTGCTGATTTTTCTGGTTGTTTTAGTCTGCAGTGTCTCTCATGTTCTTTGATCCTGGTGTGGATGCTGCATTTTGTGGTTTCTTGTCTCCTCCTCTCCTTCTACAAGGAAAACATCTGACATGTTGCAGGAGATTATCTCTGTTAAGGTGCACAGATCTCTGGAAGGGTTGGATTTCACCCAGTTTATTAAATAAATTGTGCAGTCTTTGGAAATTGATGATAGACCAGATAGTGACTGTCTTCCCCTTAGAGCAGTGGTCCGCAACCTTGGGCCTCCAGATGTTCTTGGACTGCCTCCAGATGTTCTTGGACTGCAACTCCCAGAAGCCTTCACCACCACCTCTGCTGGCCAGGATTTCCGGGAGCTGAAGTCCAAGAACATATGGAGGCCCAAGGTTGGGGACCACTGTCTTAGAGTGACTATAAGATTTCAACAAACACAACCTAGGACCTAAGCTGATTGGAAAATGCTGGGCCATGTACTAGCAGAGAAATGGCTCAGATGGTCCCTTCAAATAGACACCAGTATAAGGCGGATGTTGAGCACACTCTCAATGGGCCTCAGAACATTTGTGAAGTATATATAGGATATAATAAATGCACTCAGACCTTTTCTGACCATAACTTGTTCAGATAACAAAATGCTCAGATATCCTGGTTTAATAAAGACTGTCAGATTAAGCAAAAAAAAAAGGGTTAGCAAAATAACAAGATTAGTGAAACACTCTGTAAAAAAGAAAGCTTTCTTTGTCAACAGATGGAAATCCTTGGGCCTTGGCCTTGCTGAAGGGAATGATTCTAAATTTTGGAGATTGATAAGAGAGAGGCTTCTCACAAAAAGCCCCTGAGATTGTCAATTCAACCAGACCAGAAATATGGGTTTCCCATTTTAGTCAGAGTTTTGGAAGTAGCATTCATTCTCAGAAAATAAATGAAGTTCTAGCTAATCTCCCAGTTTGGCCACCCTTCTCTCCAGCAGAAATTAGCACCTTGATTTCAACTCTTTGTAAAGGCAAGGCCCCCAGGGAAGACATGATACCTCCTGAAGTGTTTGCCCCTGACATGGGCTGGTGGTCACCCATATTAGCCAATATATTTACTGTACAGGTAATCTCCCCTCAGGCTGGAGAACAAGCCTTGTTGTACCCATCTTCAAGAAAGGTGACCCAACAGATCCCCACAGTTACAGACCCATTAGTCTTCTTGATGTGGCTGCTAAACTCTACACATGATATCTTTTGAATAAACTCATGGAATGGGACAGGAATCAATCCATCATTTTTGAAGACCAAGCTGGCTTCAGAAAAAGGAGAAGCACAATCAATTAAGCATTTTTCCTTCACCATTTAATTACCAAATACACTAAGAATGAATTGTGGAAAAAAACATCTTGGGAGGTATCTCCCTCCTAAACTGTCCCTCGTGGCTCTGTTTTTGTCTCCCACCTTGTTTAACATCTGGGAGAGACGGTCTGGAGTTTTGAAGTTTGGCATGCACAGCTTTTATTTCTTTCCTCCCTATCTCCCTCAAGCCTGGATGTCCATATCTTTGTAAGAGCCAGGAGTAGATCTGCACAGTTAAATCTAGTGTGCCAGTTGTGCCCATTCATTGAAACATCCAATTTGGCTACAATAACACATGCCTTTGTTCACCCTGTTTGGATTACTGTAACACATACTTCTGTTAAAAAAAAATACAGTCTTGCATGCAACTTAACTGGGTTTCAGTGGGAGCAGGGAGCTTTCATAAACTAAGATGACTACCTTCTGCCAATAACCAATTAGCAATGCTCTTTTCCCCACTTTTGGTTTGCCTTTCCTCTCTTCCTATTTGCTTCATTTCCCTTGTTTGTTTGCCTCACCTCTTCTTTTCTGACATCTGATAAAAAAAGTCATGCAATTCTCTGCTTCTGAACTCTATCCATGAGGGTGCATGGCAGGCTCAGTCTCCCACATGGTTGAGACTGCAATTTCTTTTTAAAGTCTCTTTTATACTTCTGATTGTAACTGAAGATTGCAATCCTAAAATACTTATTCATTTAAGATGTTTTTAGAGTGATTTTTTTTAAAACATAAAAAGCACTATACTATAAAGGGGTGGATGCTGAGAATTTGGGCTATTTCTCACACACATACATCTTTTTCTGCTGATGCTGCAGACCATCTGTCTCCACATAACCTTCCTCAGTTCTTAAGATTATCCAGGGAGACCCTTCTCTTGTCACTTCACTTTTACACATATGTATGATAGGGCCTTGAGATGAAGCCTTCTCTGTGACAGCCCCCAGGCTAGGCTTACCCCCATCTCCTATTTTAAATGGCAACTAAAATACTTTTGTTTGCTTATAGTATTATTGGATGTGATGGTGCTGCGGGTTAAACCATAGAGGCCTCTGTGCTGCAAGGTCAGAAGACCAGCAGTCATAAGATTGAATCCACGTGACGGAATGAGCTCCCATCGCTTGTCCCAGCTCCTGCCAAGTTAGCAGTTTAAAAGCATGTAAAAATGCAAGTAGATAAATAGGTACTGCCTCGGTGGGAAGGTAATGGCATTCCGTGTCTAGTTGCACTGGCCACGTGACCACGGAAACTGTCTATGGACAAATGCCGGCTCTACAGCTTTGAGATGGGGATGAGCACCGCGTTCTAGAGTCAGACACGACTGGACTAAATGTCAAGGGGAACCTTTACCTTTACCTATCTAATTTTAATCTATCTAGTTGCCTTATGCTTGCTGCCAGCATATCCTTTTTAATGTTTTTACATTTTTTTATACTTTTAATCTATTTTTAATTATGATTTTAATATTTCATATTTCTTATATGTTATTTTAATTACTATCTTTTAAAATGATAGGTAACCTGCCTTGAGTTCCATTGCCAGCAGAAAGGTGGCATAGAGGTGCAGTAATTACATTATGTTAAAATTAAGATTAAAGTCAGAGGTGGGGCACTTTTTCAGCCTGGGGCTGAATTCCATTTCAGGAAGGATCTCAAAGCCTGTGTCGCAGGGGACTAAGAAGAGGATGTGGTCAGCCCAAACCATACGGTGCGAGAAAAGTTCTCATCTGAAAGGTTCAGGCAACCTGGGTGACCCACTAAAGCAGCATTCACATATCTTTCCTCTGAGCAAAGTACATCGCCAAGTGTAACAGCATACAACCCCCTCTGAATAACAGGAGGACACTGGTCTCCAATTTAGAGCATGTCTACATTTCATAAAAAGCCCACAAATGTGTAGCATTTTAATTTTAGCTGAGTACAAATGTGTAGCATTTTAATTTTAGCTGACTCAGGTGGTTTTTGAGTCATTCCTAAGGAGTAATTGAAATCCTGGCTCTACAGTTCACAATGGGCTTAAGAAGACCGCATGCTACAATAAACAGCCCTCTGGTGGCCATTTATTTTAACTCGTTTCCTAAGAAAATAATACTAGTCAGAGAAAAATAAATATGCACTTTGAATACACTGATACACTTTTCCTTCTCTAATAAAACCATATAATTGTTTATTCTAAAGATATGGTCTTTATGTCTTCTTGGTAACCCCCCACTGAGAACTCCAGTGACTGTAAAGCACACCAAGATTCTGAACTGAAGATTTCTTAACACATAATTACTCAAGATACACATGCAAGGATAGACAAACATATCTGAGGACATGTATTAATGAAGCAAGTGAGGAGCAACTTGAGAAAGTAGTCTTTTTATATATGAGGCTTAGATCATATAAGTGACTAGTATATTGCTGATATATCAGGGAAAAGCAGAAGAAAGGAATTTGTGGTACAAATGAGCATTGCAGCCAATGCTCTTTTTATACTTGCATTTATTATAATAATTGTCTGCCATCAAGTTGATTCTGACCTGTGGCAATCTTTTCCAGGGTTTTCAAGGCAGAGAATACTCAGAAGTGATTTACCTCCCCCTTCTTCTGAAGTGCACTGGGATTGCTTAGCTTGCCCATGGCTCTTCTCCCAAGGGAATTAAATTCCCAGCCTCTGGTTCCAGACCTAAACCAATGAGCTGTCGAGCTAGCACACTTGCATTATAAGGACTTCGGACTTCAGTCATACTGGTACTGGATACCTTGTAATTTACTTGGAAGCATCTGAAACCTGAGAACATCTGGTAAAATAAAATCACTTAAATACGTGATACAACAGCTCATGAGTTACACAAGAAATGGTTTGCAAGGGCAGATATCTACAATAATAAATGCATTATCTTTGCTGTGCGCTACACAAGGTGAGCCATTCCTCCTTTAAATCCCAGACGAAATTCGGTCCCTTCTCACAAACATAGAACAATGTGTTCTTTCTTCAATAAAGAATAAAAATTAAATTAAATTAAATGGCATGTCTACCCATTCACTCTGATCCAATATCTGTTCAACACGGCAAGAAATGTGCACAAACACATGGAGAGTTATACATTAAATTTCTGTTCTTGAACACAGTACAATAAAATAGTTGCTGTAAAACATACCACAAAGGTATGGAAAGAGAGTCAATCAGTGCTTGTACTTAATGAATGACAAGATGCTTATATTCTTGTGCATTATCTTCTTGATCCTATGGTCTGTTTTAATAGCTCTGTGCTTCGAGCCTTCCAGTTCTTTTCCTGGAGCACTCTCCATGTTTGCATCTTGATTTTCATCTTCCTATATTTCCTAGACTACTCATTGCTTGTATTTAATGGGTGGCAAGATGCTTGTATTTTTGTGCTTCTCTGTTCTATGGTCTCTTTTAGCAGTTTTGTCTACTGGGTTTTCCACTTCTTTTCCTGGAGTATCCTCTTTCCTCACTTCCTGATTTTCATTTCCATGTATGTCCTGGGATGATATGATTGGAGACAGCTTTTGACTTGTAACAGGTACCTTCTCAGGAGCATCAGATTTTACTTCTCCAAGGAGATGGTGCCAGATTATTTCATCTATAGAAAGAAACACACACACAAAAAACAAATCATTAACGTTGAATTGCAGAGAGCAGTCATCCAGATTTGCTCCAGGCACTCTCCAGTACATACATTTTAAGACATTTGCATCTAAGACATCAGGAAATTAGCTTCAGCAACCCAAACATACTTTCTTTCCTCCAGGCAAAAAGAACTGGTGAGCAATGCATGCCTGCTTAAGTATGTGGTGGGGCTGAAACAGGGAAGAGGTGTGTGTGATGTGATTTCTGTGTATGGCTGCTAGAGGGAAAACAACAAAAACACCTGTTTACTACTCGTATCCCACCTGTATTTTTCCAATCAATCACTGGAAGAGGAAAGTTGTAGTTTTGTCCCTTGGGGTTTGTTTGTTTGTTTGTTTGGGCGCTGTGTGTGTGTGATATGGAGGAAGAAAGGCACTTTTCCAACTATATGGTAGGCAGAGGTAGCCAGTCACCAGTGCTGAAATGAATGGAAGTGGAAGGCAGATTGGCTTAGGGGGAAAAATACATTTTTCTGAGCACACCCACAACTGCATTCAAATTAGGTACTAAAGAAAGCTGAAAGTAAGCAGCAAACCCTCAGGTATTAAAAGTCCTTGCACCAACTCTTTTAATATTCCTCAGCTTGCAAATTAATCTGTTGTGTGTGTGTCGCCTGTGTGATTGGTCAGCAGAAGGTAAACAAAAGCTTTGCTTACTTTCCAATGGCTCATACACAGATCTCAGAGGAGATTGGCATGTGTTTTTCTTCTGCTAATGATACACTAACTAAAGCATCTGTTTTGATTCTTAAGAAACAGAGGAAAGCAGATGCCCTCTATTCCCAAACCAGTCATGTAATGTCTGCATACAAATAATTGTTCATGGAAAAAAAGATGCATTTTTTTTTACTTCTGTTTCCCTTTTTTTTCCTCTTCCACTAACTTCTGGATGGAGAGAATGTGCTACCCTCTGCCACTGAAGCAATTGCTGGTGAGAAGGGATTGAGGGAAGCTTCTGGTGGAAGTCCTCCCTAACTAAAGCATCTGTTTTGATTCTTAAGCAACAGAGGAAAGCATAAGAATCCTTCTTATTGTTCCTCTCCTACCAAAGGTCATTTTGGCTTTGGATGTGGCAGCTTTAAGCAATGATGCCATATCCAGACCTGTCTCTTCAACTGATAAGATCGTCTCCTTCCTGCACTTTTTTCTCCATTTCTTTTATCCTGAATGATCAATTATAACAATATTCATTTTTCATTTCTCATTACACGTGTCAAAACCCTTCTCATGATATAAAGGCATAATTGGGGGGGGGGGGAACCTGTAAACTGTTGGCAAGCTTGAAGGGAGAGTCGGAGGTTGACTACACCTCATTGGCAGCTTCATATCACAAAAGCTTTGGGAGCTGGGAAGAAGTTGTGCTCTCCTCCTCTTAGTCATGACAATGTTTCCCTAAGAACCCTCCAAACTTGCTCTATGATCTCTCTCCCTTCCTCCTTAACCAAACACATTCTACAGTATTTGTATGATAATGGGACAGATGTGGATGCCAAAATTCTGCCTCTTTCCTGGCCTCTTTTTTTAAGAATTAGGAGATTCTCCTCCTTCTTATTGTTCCCTCCTACCAAAGGTCATTTTAGATTTGGATGTGGCAGCTTTAAGCAATGATGCCATATCCAGACCTGTCTCTTCAACTGATAAGATCGTCTCCTTCCTGCACTTTTTTCTCCATTTCTTTTATCCTGAATGATCAATTATAACAATATGTATTTTTCATTTCTCATTACATGTGTCAAAACCCTTCTCATGATATAAAGGCATAATGACCAAAGACATAAGAAGAAAAGTGGAAGGGGCAACTTAAGAAAGCTGCTGAATTGCAGGGCATGAAAGGCCTCTGGCAACAGGAAATGCAGAGTGAGTGAGCAACGGAGGAGGAGCATCTCCAACATGTCACCCACCATCCAAAGGGAAATCCCTTGCCTCCATTCCACATTTCCATCCCTACCCCAGCCATCACAAGGCACTTCTGTGATAGAGTTTCCTTTCCGAACTCCTTTCCCAAGTGAGGGAAAAAAATGGGTTGGAAGAGGGGCAGGGAGGGGTGGACAAATTAAATATAAGGGAATCAGCCAGGATTAGCTTTGTCTAGGAGCACTCTAGTTGCCCCATGGTTTTGTTGTTGTTGATGATGATGATGTTTTTGCTTGCTGTGGCATGCACACACATCTGTTTAAAGAAAACTCTGTAAGGAAGAAATGGAAATGAAGCAAGTGTTAGATCCAAAAGACCTCTTCTTTCTGACTGTGTGTTCTTATGAACATTCTCCTTTTTCTTCTCTGTGGTGAAGAAGGATCCTTCACTCTGCTTTGTGGCAGTCTTGGGCTTTTGTTTCACTTTACTCAGCCATGGATCCTGCATCCATGCATGATGCATTGCTTCCTCTGGAGTCATACGATGCGAAGGTTTCCATCTTGACATAAGACAAATAAGCTTGCTGTTAGAAGAATGTATATGTACACATTGATATACAATTTAGCACTCATGACATATCACATGTAGAGTTGCTAGGTCAGTTGGCTTCCCACATCCTTGAGATTTCAGGGCCAGAAGTCGATGTCAGGACATGGACTCTCCTGATGACACAAAGGGAAGGCTCTTGTATAACAATTGCCAGTTTGAAAAAGTGGTCTGCATGTGTGGGTATGAAAGAAAGACAATGGGGATATCCTGCACTATCCTTCTGCCCAGAGTGGCCTTGGCTGCCAGGTGGGTGGTATAGAAGTCAGTCAATCAATCAATCAATCAATCAATCAATCAATCAATCAATCAATCAATCAATCAATCAATCAATCAATCAATCAATCAATCAATCAATGCATTAACTTCCTGGCCACTACCACATGCCTGATACACATGCAAGCACTTTTGTGATGAGACAGTGAACCTCTGCAAGAAATGGGAGTGGGGAAGAGACAGGTGCATTAAAGCCTCCACACACAATAAAAATCCATTCTTCCTCCTCCTCTAGCATGGCTCACCATGAGATTTGTCTCCCTCCCCAGAGACCTGTGGAAGCATAGCCATTCCCTGAGACTTTAACTACTACCCTGTAACCTAACAACTCTAGCTAACTGTGATAAGAAACATATACAAATCCAAATGCTTAAGAGGTTGTTCATGGCCAATATACCGTAAACACATTCTTGTGATGTAACACTACATCACATGAATTTTACTTTATTTATATTTTATCTTCTCATAAGGAATCAAACCACAAAAAAATATATTGTATACAATCTAAGACTTGTGCATAATTTTATTATTTGTTTATAAATGTAACCAGATGCAGGCTTACAAAGGAAGGTACTTGATTTGAGCTCAGCAACATGTGGCTTGGGGCGGCACACGGAGGCCTCTGTCCCCCTGTTCTTGCTGCCCTCCTGGACCCTTGCCACTACCACTCCTTCCAAGGGAGATGGTGCGGACAAACCAGGGCCATATCCAGGGCACAATGACTGGGGATTAAATTTAGCCTACCAAAATTTAGTAGCACAAAAATATTCTGCTGGAAGGCTATAAATCCATCCACTGGCATTTGCTACCAGAAGGGCATATACAGCCTCCAGTCACTCCTTCCTGGGCAGCAGGAAACCCAAAAAGGGGGATTCAAGGTAAAACCAATGTGGCCATCCCACCCGCAACCCTACATGACCCAGAGTTAAACAATAGGGTCACAAAGCCTTGGATGCCAAAACTGCTGGTCAGAGCTCTGTGAACCCACAGCTTTTGCTTTAAAACAAACCTGCGCTCCCTGTGGAACTGCATTCCTTGATGCAGAATTCCGCTGGTGAATAAGACACCTTGTTTTAAACAGAAAATGAGGCATCTTACTATAGCAACAGCAAAGCTGCAGAAACAAAAGGAATTGCCCACCTTTGCATCTGCCAGGGAAACAAAGAGAAAAAGCAGAAGCAGACATTTTTGAATGTCACAGTAACATGGTATTGTTGATAATGGACATTTCAGCTTGCCTTTAATTCTCTGATCTCGTCCCACAGCCTAATTGTGGTCCCAGATGGTGTCACTTTGCTCTGTACTTTTAAAGCTAGAGGAACTTCTCTTTCTCTGCCTATTGCAGAAAACACTACACTGCCTGTGTTTCTGGGAATTGTTCTAGACTCCATCTTCAATTCAAGTGGCTATCAGGCATGCCTCTTGGGCCTCACAGTCCACCTCTAAGAAATACCTGAAACATATCAAGCACTCTTCTCTAAGCTGCATATTCCAGGGAAGATGTACAGCAGTGACAACATTCTATTAAAATTGTCCACAGTGGCTTATTTTCCATTTTTTAAAAAAAAATCGTAGAATGCAATAGGGATTAGGAGGGCTAATGCCATTTACAAAAGGGGGTCCTCATTACTGAGAAGATTAGCTTAGCAAAAACATAGTTGCTAACACACCTGAGATGTGCACATTTAGAAAAACAAAAGAACAGAATTTAGGCTTTTACAAAATGAGTAAAAATTATCTTACACAAGGCATTTCTTTAGAAAATCCAGAAAACAACCATCATATGTCTTCAATACACTGCTTAGATCCCTAGAGCTTGGGTTTCTTATTTTTCCTCTACTGTTTGTAACATTCTTTGGAGTACCATTGGCATCTTCAGAACAGAAAAACAAAATAGAACAATTACAAAACTAAAAAAGAGCAATATTATTAATGAAATACAAATGGTTATTTCGTTAAAGCTATGTTGAAACCACCATGGAGAAAAGCCAAGACCCAAAACTTATGAGAATATTACAGCAGTACAAAATGAATCCAGGATTGGGCAGTAGGATGTAGGATTATGTGGAAAGGGATTTGGTTCCACCTCTAAACAAGTATGTAGTGTTTGACACTGTATGAAAGAGAGAGAAAATTACATCCGATACTAAGGGCAGCAGAGAGAGGAAGCAAGCATAACTACATCCTGCCCTACCCAAGATCATTCTTTTAATTCATTGTCAGATGTGAATGGCAGCCATTAATTCCAGCTGAGGAAGGATATCATGATCTTATGAAAGAGAGAGAAAATTACATCCGATACTAAGGGCAGCAGAGAGAGGAAGCAAGCATAACTGTGAATGGCAGCCATTAATTCCAGCTGATGAAGGATATCATGATCTTGGGAGAGTGTTCTGGTTTTCCTTGCTCCTGGTGACGAGCCATTGCAGCAAGCACCCACGTTCAAGTATTTTAGTTCAGAGTATAGAAAATATATATTGCAACCCACTGACTACCAGGGACAGTAGTAGTACCACATACCAGAGGCCTGTGTTACACAGATCCTCCTTCTACAAATATCCTACCCATCATAACTCTGGTGTCTCAGTGAACCAATCAGTAAAGATAGGTGCTTACCAAAGAACGTTCGTCTTCTTGATGCCGTCTGAATGAAATCAGCTGGTGGAAGTCCTAATAACTTTAAAAGCAAATATACACAAAGATAAATGTTATCTAAAAGAGCCTCTTTAGCCCCATTCAGGTACTAATCCTCTGTATACTCACCACGCGACTGGAGGGAGCAGATTAGCCCCACTTCGTCTCTCTTTCAGTCACCCTCATATATCTGGTCAGCAATATGTCTAAAGAGGGAGAGTCCCACAGATACAGAAGACTCTCCTTCCTCAGGTGTATTGCTCTTTACACATATACTGTATGTAGGACATTAGGGTTCTAATTCAATTGGAGTGGCTCCACAGACAGGAGAGATTATACTTCTTTAGGCTTATTGCTCGTGTATTTGCCATGATGGGTCCTCAGGTGTATTGCTCTTTACACATATAACTGTACGTAGGAAGTTAGGGTTCTAATTCAATTGGAGCGGCCCCACAGACAGGATTGATTATCCTTCTTTAGGCTTATTGCTCTTCGTGTATTCAGCATGATGGAATTAACGGCATGGTGTGTGCATCCCCATGCCCTTCACAGGCAAGGGAATGTTGAAGGGGAACCATGAGGTTGATCATTATGCAGCAGAGAGGTCTCTGCAGTACACCCAAAGTTTCTGAACTATTTACAAAAGACCAGTTGACCTCACTGATGTTTTCACTTTCAAAGCCCACAGTGTCCCTCAAATCCAAGTCTTATACAGCAGAGCGGTTAATAGTCACCACCTGCCTGTTTAGTCCAGGTCCCCTGAGTGGTTCTCTCCACCCCTTCTCCTTGTTTCTTGTCTTCCTCCTTAGCATGGAGGTCTCTTTCAAGCTACCACCATCTTTTGAATTGACACTCTCTCCTCCAGCACCTCAGTTGAATCAGGACTGGAATTGATGAAACTGGGATGAGCTACATATCTGCAGTGTGGGTCCAGTCCTCCCTACGGAGGGGGACTCAACCTGAGTGGTTCTCTCCACCCCTTCTCCTTGTTTCTTGTCTTCCTCCTTAGCATGGAGGTCTCTTTCAAGCTACCACCATCTTTTGAATTGACACTCTCTCCTCCAGCACCTCAGTTGAATCAGGACTGGAATTGATGAAACTGGGATGAGCTACATATCTGCAGTGTGGGTCCAGTCCTCCCTACGGAGGGGGACTCAATGTCAGACTGGCCTAAAAGTACCCTGGCCCAGCTACAACAGGTTGATGGTTGCATGGAATTGATGAAACTGGGATGAGCTACATATCTGCAGTGTGGGTCCAGTCCTCCCTACGGAGGGGGACTCAATGTCAGACTGGCCTAAAAGTACCCTGGCCCAGCTACAACAGGTTTGCCAGATGGTTGCATTCTCAGCCATGTGGATCCAATGTAGCTATAATAAGAGAGGACCTCCAGGGACCAGCCCCCACCCCACTGGCCACTCACCTGCATTTCCTTCCCTCTTTCCTTCATTTTATTCTCCTCCTTCGCTTCACTTTCCTCCCCTTCACTAATGTTCTCTTCCTCTGCAGCACTGCCCCCTTCCTTCCCTTCCCTTCCCTTCCCAAAAGTTCTCCACCTTTCCCACCTTCAGAGAATCCCGGAGGCCATGTAGATGGTGAAGTAGTTCTTGTTGAGGGCTTTTCCCATCTTGGGTAGTGCCCTTGAGTAGTGCTTCTCACAACTCTCCTCTACAATCCCTCCAAGTTTGGTGAAGATTGAGTTTCCCCAAGGCAGCTGCTGAGGGTATGTGTCTGGGAGGACTCACTTTGTGGGTGACTTTCTTGGAGGAGCCCTCCTTGTGGGTGTATAACTCAGATGTCCAAAACCCAAACTTGCAGGGTTTGTAGAGGAGAGTCAGGGGAAGCTTCCCTGCAAATTTAGTGTCCCTGTTTGCTTGGGGAGGATTTATAGGTTTCTAAGTAAAAAAAAAAAAAAAATTGACAAATCAATTTATTGATTCATCATAAAAAAGAGACATTACTTACCTGTAACTCTGGTTCTTTGAGTGGTCCTCTGTGAATTCACACTAATGGGTTAATCAGAGCATCCTCAGAAACAATTCACACTAATGGGTTAATCTGTGCCTGGTCAGAGCATCCTCAGAAACATCCTCAGCTTTAAGCACTTGGTGCCAGGACCACCCTTACACCAGCTATATAACTCCGCCCCCGGCACCCAGTGCCTCAGTTCCAAGGAACCGACTGCCGTTGCCCATCATGCCATGACACATGTGATGGACAGCAGGGAGGAGGGCGGAACATGTGAATTCACAGAGGACCACTCAAAGAACCAGGGTTACAAGCAAGTAACTTCAAGAACCAGAGTTACAAGCAAGTAACTTCTTCTCCTTCATGATCTCTGTGAATACACACTAATGGGTGACTGGCAAGCTGACTAAACAGGAGGAGGGACATCACAAAAGTGCAGAAGCCAGGACAGCTCAAACTACCACAGCCTGAGCCTTTGGACAGACATCCTGGCGGTAGTTCAGGATGAAGGTAGACAGAGTGGCGCATGTGGCAGCGCAGCAGACATCCATGGCCTGTGACAGGGGGTACATCAAATTCAGTGGCAGAGCTCATAGCTATGATAGAGAGTACCAATTGGTGAAGGAACACCAATTGGAAAGACAAGGGGTCAAACAGGCTGATGGGGTCAATGATAAGGGGTCAAACAGACTGATTGGTCAATGATAGAGAGGTCAAGTGCAGTAAAGAGACTGCTTGGTTTTGCGGTCCTGCCTGTGGTTTTGTTGGTCAGGGCGCTGCCTGCCCACGTGTCTAGGGAGTGGCGGCTGGTAGCTTTGGGGTTGGGGCCTTTGATGTTCCTGGGATTCCCTGGGCTGGTAGGAGCATCTCCAGGTACTCGCAGTTGTTATGCTGCAAATGACCATGCCACCTCCACAGCTTGAGCAGGTTATCAAAAAGAACATCAATTTTCTGACCAAAAAGCCCTACACCATCAAACGGCAGGTCCTTGACCCACCAGTTGTTTGGATGTTGGTTTTAAGGCATGTTGAGCAGCAATGTGCTCGTGATGCGCCAGCCCCATTGCCTCCTGGTGATATGAGAGGCCCTGACTGTAAAGGTGCACAAGAGCAACCTGCAGAATAGGCAGTGCCAAATTCCATAAGTGGTGATGATAAACACCCATAGCAGTGGAGTAATTGGCTACTTGGCAGCCAGAAAATAAAAACAGCAGCCAAATATCTCCTTATCTGTGTTCTCTGTATCAGTTTGGAATATGAAGAACAACCTACTAACAGTAAAGGAGGGTGACTATCTGCGGCAACTGATATGGGTGTAGGAAGATTGGTTGGAAAACCTTCCTCCCCCCTCTGACTCATGTGAGTCTCAACCTGAATAAGGTAAGTCCTTCTGACAATTAGGGGAGAAATCTTTCTTAGCAGGAGCCTGACCAAGATCAGTCTCAACACAATCACGTCATGTGAGTCCCAACCTGAATAAGGTAAGCCCTTCTGACAATTAGGGGAGAAATCTTTCTTAGCAGGAGCTTGACCAAGATCAGTCTCAACACAATCACTGGGATGGAGAAGGCTAAATGGGTTAACAGCAGGTTCGGTCAAACCTGTGGATACTTTGTTGCTGGAGCAGAGTTTAGCTTGACCAAGATCAGTCTCAACACAATCACTGGGATGGAGAAGGCTAAATGGGTTAACAGCAGGTTCGGTTGAACCTGTGGATACTTTGTTGCTGGAGCTGAGTTCGAGGGAGCACTATTCCGTCGAGGCGGAGGCACAAAGCGCTCCTTGGCCCGTGGCTCAGAACAGTGCCAGGTGGAGTGGGGCAACAGTGGTGGTGGAAAAGGTGGCAAATAAGGCTCATAGACCTTATACCAAATAAAAGGGACTGGTCCTGCTCGAACTTATCAGCATGATAGGACCCTATTGAGGAAAAATATTTGGGTCTGCCTGACAGCTGCAAGGTTCTTGGGTCAACTCCTATGAGTCCTTTCCCTATGAGCCTACGCTGGCTCCCACGATTGAGGTGGGACCCACCAAAAAGGTGTTACCCCAGTCAGAAATATCACTGACAGGTGGGGCTGGCAGTGGGAGCTGCAGAGGGCTCTTTCTCTCCCCAAAAGCAAAGCCACGTCTTACCGTATGTCGCCGGAACATCTTCAGCCTCAGCAGCCAGCTGTCTCCGGAATTAGGAGCTGTATGAACAAGCCCATGAAGGAGGGCTGTTCCGCACCAACCTCCAAAGAGGTTTTTACCTCAGTCAGGAGAATCAGTGATGAGCGGGGATGGAGGCAGGAGGGCTTTTCTTCTTCCAAGGGCAAAGCTAGAGCTACCATATGTTGCTGGGATATCTCTGACTACAGTGCCCAGCTCTTTGCAGATTTAGCTCAGATGCTGTTCTCTTCTTTTTTGACACAAAGAGGATGATTGCAAAGATGTGGAAAGCTGTTGCTCTTGAGCCTGGGTGTAGCATTGTTAAGAAGGTAAAAGAGACCTTATTTCTTTAAGAGAAAAGTCCAAAGCCGGCTTCGTAAAGGCTTTGTAAAGCCTTCACAAGAACAGCTAATGCCAGCCAAGAGACCTTATTTCTTTAAGAGAAAAGCCGAAAGACGGCTTTGTAAAGCCTTCAGAAAGAACAGCTAATGCCAGCCAGTACTTTCCCCCCCAGGCAGAAGAAACAACTTGTTACTGAAGAAAGAACAAGGGAGGTAAAAGAAAGGAAAGATAAGGAATAGAATTGTTTTTTATTGCAAAGTTCCTAACGAAGCTGCTGCTACAGTGGTGGTTGAAAAAAGAACGGGTGCACTGGGTGCCGGGGGCGTAGTTATATAATTGGTGTAGGGGAGGTCCTGGCACCAAGTGCTTAAAGCTGTGGAAGTTTCCGAAAATGCTCTGCTCAGGTGCAGATTAACCCATTAGTGTGTATTCACAGACCCCCCCAGGCAGAAGAAACAACTTGTTACTGAAGAAAGAACAAGGGAGGTAAAAGAAAGGAAAGATAAGGCATAGAATTGTTTTTTATTGCAAAGTTCCTAACGAAGCTGCTGCTACAGCGGCAGTTGAAAAAAGAACGGATGCACTGGGTGCCGGGGGGGGGGCATAGTTATATAATTGGTGTAGGGGAGGACCTGGCACCAAGTGCTTAAAGCTGTGGAAGTTTCCGAAATTGCTCTGCTCAGGTACAGATTAACCCATTAGTATGTATTCACAGAGACCACAAAGGAGAATCATAAATTCAGAATTTGTGATTTGTTGACCTTAACAGACCACAAATCAAAATTAATCACCATTTTTCTCATTTGTTTCCATCTCTAAACCTTATCCAATATGCAAGGGAAGTAGCTCTGAGAGATAACGAATACCTCCAAAGACAAATATATTCATAATTCAGAATGAACTAGATTAAATGGAAAACTAGGTTGGAATTGATATATTAAAATATAGTAGAGACAAGTGTATTTAGGCATCTTGAAACATAAATAATATACAAGCATAAAACAAAAAAAGAACAAGAACACACAACTATAGGATACAGTATATCTGGTTTGGCAACAGTCCATGTGAAGTCACTAGCTGAGTATGAATTAGCAGTTTTATACAGCTGCAAAAATGCAGATGTGCTTTTAGGCTCCATTAATAGAAGAACAGTTCCAAAATTATAACAAGTAACAATTCACTTCATCTACATTAGTCTGAGGTTGTAAACTAGAACAGCTTAAGGGGAAGGCTTCCCACATTTGCCTTCTCAAATTGAAATTTCTTCTGAAGGCAGGATCTGTTCTCATTCATCCCAGAGTAGAGGACATGTAATAATGGGCTCAAGCTCCAGGGAGTCAGATTTAGGCTGAATGTCAGAAAAAGCTTCTTAACTGTGAGAGCAGTATGACAATGGAACCAATTACCTCAGGATGTGGAGAGCACTCCAACAGGGAAAATTGGACAACCATCTATCAGGTCTGCTTGACTTGGATTTCTGCATTGAGCAGGGAGTTGGGCTCGATGGCCTTATAATCCCCTTCCATCTCAATTGTTCTATGATTCTATTCTATGATTCTGTGAGGGGAAAAAACTCTTTTACTGCTGCACTGAGATTTCCATCAGCAGGCATGAGGTAAAACTCTTCTACATTTGTTTTGGAATATGAAATGCCTCATGTGTACAAACCTGGCTAATGATAGGATTGCAGCAGCCAAAAGAAGTGATAAATGGAAACTTTGGGTTCTGCCTCAAAAGCCAAAATGCCACGTTGTTTTTTTTTTGCTTCAGATTATATCCTCCCATCATCACTTTAAAATAAAAAATGTTGCACCTGTGGTCTGCAAGTTCAGTTTTCCAACTTGATCTTCTATTTAAGACCATGTAAATACATTTTAGTGGAGAAGAGGCAGGGGCCAACAAGAGCACTGTAATGCAAATGAATAAGCAATCCACTTGTACTCAGACCAGTACTATCCCCATCCTCTCTGACAAGACACAACTTTGCATAGTGTCTCTTAATCTTTGAATTGGGCTCATTGTTTTCAAAAGGTGGCCTGAGGTTTCACATAACAAATGTTTATTTATCAGTTACAGTAGTTCTAGGAAAGAGAGTTATAGGTGGCACACTTCAAGGCACTACCAATAGTACCATTCCCACCCATCTCAAGAAACAGCATCTCCCACTTTTAAACCCAGCCAGCCAGCTATTGATAGAAGCAACAAACAGGCATGAGTTAACTCACAGGAGGATTCTTCTAGCAATAGAGTAATGCTGAGATGCTTCATATGGCAATACAGGACCAGGACAAGAAAGGGCATATTGGCTGGACCCACTCATTCCATCCTCCCCATCTGGATTTGGACTTGAAAGACCAGGACAATATGGAGTGCCTGGAGGGTAAGCTGTCAGCAATTTGTGTCATTTGTTATTGATCATGAGGCATATCTGTTTGAGATGTCAACTTTAGCTTCTAACTTCCTCACTCTGTGGAGCTTGAGTCAATGTAAGACATTAACTCTGCCTTTAAACTGGCAGTTTTTGATCACTAAATGTTAAAACTAAAGTTACCTCCATAATGCATGCAAGCTGCTCCATTTCATTCTCACCAGGAAAAAGGGGATAACCTGTGTAGAGTTCAGCCATGATGCATCCTAAACTCCACATATCAATAGGGGTGGCATAAGGGTGACCAAGAATAACCTCTGGGGAACGATAAAACCTACTCTGGACATAGGTATACACTAAAATAAAAAGACAGAAAAATACAAAGGGGTATCAAAATTAAGACAACAACCATGTCACCACATAGAAAAGGGGAAGGGACATTATGATACCTGTGACTCAGCACGGGTTTCTCAAAAACTAAACATGCCAATCTAATCTTATCTCTTTTTTGGACATAGTCACAAGATTGGTAGATAAGGGGAATGCTGAGGATGCAATGTATCTTAATTTCGGCAATGCTTTTGACAAGACCCTTCATGCTATTCTTGTGGCTGGCAAGATATGGGCTAGATGATACGATGGTCACAAGGGCTTGTAGCTGTTATGGCTTTGGCCGCAACAAAAGAGTGCTCTTGAATGCCTCATCACAATCCTGAAGTAGAGTAACAAGTGGGGTACCAAATATTTCTGTTCCAGACCTGGTGTTGCTCAATATCTTTTTAAATGACTCAGATCAGGGTGTGAAGGGGATGCTCATTAAATTTGCAAGTGACATGAGACATGGAGAAATAGGTATTGCATCAGTCAGCATTAGGATTCCAAATTGCCTTAGCATATTAGAGACCTTGGTCAATACCAAACAGTGTGTGTGCATGTGCATATGTGTTTCAACTTTCAAATGTAAACTGCTGCAGTTAGGCACAGAAAATCAGATCAAATAGGATGGATGAAAGCTGGCTTGGAAGTAGTACATGTGAAAAAGATCTATCCAGGATGCTTTAGGTGTAGAGTTCCTGCGTAAGCAGGTGGGCTGGAAACACTGATCCTTGGGTTCCCTTAAAATGGCACCATTCTATGATGCTGTAATTGTTGCAGAGAAGTAGAACAGAAATTCAGTAAATACTGCTTTGGTTCAGATAAACATGTTAAATTAATCTGCAGATTTGCACAAACAGAAATAGATATACAGTATAGTACAGAAAAACAGAGAAGGATGTTCTTTCCAAAGGAAAACCATCTGCAAAAAACTGTGCGTAACCTGAAAAAAAAAGTGAATACAAAGTATACAAATTTGTTCATTTTGAGAAATGAACACACAACTACGTACATGCACATTTTCATGTGGCCCTTTAAAAAAAAATTAAAATGTTGGAATTAACTTTCAAAAATGAGAGTGAAACTGAATGAGACAGATCCATCCATTCTTCTTCTAATCTATCCTGTAACAAGGCTATTCATAAACAAATCAAAATCCTTTTATTTTAAGCTTTGACAAATGCTTAACCCCACACTAGCTTGGGACGAATTTATAGACTATGTTGGGGCTCACGTGCTAAGGATAGGTAATTCTGAGGTAGGAAAAGGAAACTGCATATTGACTTCTTTTCTATAGAAAATAAATACACATTAGACTCAAGAAACATTCTGCTACCCCCTAGTCACCAACATTAGCTTCAAATAATATCCAGGAATGCCTGAAGCTTAATGGACAGGGTGATTTTTTAAAGGAATTGGCAAGTGATATCAATGGGTTCTGTCCCTGCGGCACAAAGACAGTTGGAGCATAGGCCTTTAACAAAACAGCAGCACAACAGTGTTATGCTCGTCCATCACCATCTAGTCAGTCATCACAACACTGGGAGCCAAGCTAAGAAAACACTCAGCTTACCAGAATGACAACCTATTCCTTTGAAGAAGGATGTGCTATTTACAGTGTGAGGTAATATCTTCTTTTGACCCATCTGGTGTGGCAGGTATGATGTATGTTAACATATCACATACATAATATACACAATAAGCTCAACATTCTAAAACAGAAAAGTAATGGCATGATTTTTCTACAAACCTCTTTGGTGTTCATAGCAACTTGATCCAAAATCGATAACTTTAAATGAAACTTGACCATGTTGAGGTTGGCTTATTAATATGTTCTCCTAGAAGGGGTTAGAGCAGGAGAGAAGCAGATGAAATATCAACACAGTTGATAAATAAACCCAGTGCCAGAGTTATCCTTGTGAAAATAACCTTTGAATCTGATCCATTTCCCAGGAGAAAAATGTATTGTCAGCTTCTCTACTAACTTTCTCAGTGTTCACTTTTAACCGCTAGGTTTTTGAAGTGCAACTCTTCTTATATATGATGTGGGCCACGGGGATACCAATGTTTGCATTTTCCTCAGTCAGCTATGATATTCAAATATTTGCACTACATGCACTGTCACATAAAACTTAACTGCTATCCTAGTGCTACATACAGATCAGTCACCACACATGACAAGTGCATTAAAAATTCCAGCTTCAGCCTAGTGTTGTTTGTCACTTTAGGCATGTATTATAAAACCACATTTTACTCGTGCCAGGTTCCATGTGAGACATATTTAAACTCAGGTTCCTAAATATGCAGGCCAGTATCATTGCAGAAGTGCAGAGTGGCAGGGCAATTCTGCAAGTGCCCCCCTCTGCTCCAGCTGGCTCTCATTCTCGTGTCTGTTCTCACATTGATTGTGACATCGGTCACACAACCAGACATGTGATAGGGTGACTGCTAAAGTCAATGGGATCTGCCCCTCCATGTTTCTGTAGGAGGATACTAACCGTGCTGTTAGCACATCAATAAATAAATCTTACGCAGTTTATAAATAACACCAAGTGTGTGAAATCATTTGGAATCCCTTGTGAAAGTGCATACATTAGGCCAAATTTATACATACATAAAAGATGAAGTGTACACAAACATTTTTGCATACGTGTATTTTTTACATTAACAAACTGACACAGAAAAAGGACAGAATAAACATGATGTTAGACAAATCATAACATGGAAGAAAATTAGAGTTATCCATCCCTACTGATTTAACCTCTGACTTTCACATGTGTCACAGCAAGCTTAAAGGTATTTTTTTGCTAATCAAGACAAAGGTGATCTGTAGCTGGGAATACAAAAGAATTCATTGTAGTGGAGTGGGCACTACCTAATAAAATTTGGATTTCTTGGGATTCTTCTTAATCAATCTCTGAGGGATTTTTGAATGCTGTGGAAAATTCTCTGAGCACAAGAGATGACATCCTGTCAAAGCCTTGTGTGATCTGTAGAATGGAAGGATGATCATTTGCTCCTAAAAGTCTTCTGTTTGGCATCAAAGCACAGGTTCCATGCTTTTCTGAGGTGCTCAGGGCAATAAAATACCAGGAGACATGATGAAAAAGAGAGTGGAGAAAAACGAGCATCAAACCTCAACAAACTTGGGCTAGTCCTTACTCTGTGGTGGTGAGGATGGCAAAGAACTCTGTTTCTGCTATGTCAGCACAATGTTGTCTAGCAGAGGCTGTTTGTGGATGAATAATGAGTTGTACTGTACAGCCTTCATTAACCCGGTGCCCTCTAGATACTCTAGAGCACTCCTTACATCACATTTGGCCTATGTCAGCACAATGTTGTCTAGCAGAGGTTGTTTGTGGATGAATAATGAGTTGTACTTTGCAGCCTTCATTAACCTGGTGCTCTCTAGATACTCTGGAGCACTCCTTACATCATATTTGGCTGGAGTGATGAGAATCACAGAGCAGAACATTTGGAAGTACCAGACTGGGAGAGGCTGCTCTAGACTTACAAGTCATATGGAGAAACCTTCAATTTCATCTAGTCCAACCTGGACTCCAAACTGAGAAAAGATTCTGGTGAGATATTTGAGGTGGATACTTGGTCAATTCAAATGGACAAGTTTCAGTTATTCAGCCCATCCGTGAGGACAAGTTGTTTGAAAGGGTAAACTAGCCATATGCTCTTCAACCCTGTGTGCATCTTGGCATATAAAAGTTGGTAGACTGATTGTTGGAGTTTTTAAAGGCCTGGTTATGTTCCAGCACCTCTAAGTTTATCTTCGCTATTCTTCCAAGACCAAGCATGCAAGTTAAAAGCAAACATGCATTGAACACCACACCAGGTTTGCCTAGATTTCATCAATTCCAGAAATAACATATATTTATACCCTCTAGAATAGCATTTATAATAATAAAAAATATAGATTTAACATTATTTGTTGATTATCATCTGCTCATACTATCAAAGCAATCTCAGATAACTAAGAACTATACAAAACTTTATAAACTATACCGTGTATCAGAATTGTGGAAATCCCAGGAGATTAACCATAGTTGGCTGTTGTAGCAAAAGACAACATGGGCCATTAAAGATTAAGAAGTTTTATTTGACATACCCTTTCATGGACTAAACCCCTCTTAATCAAATGCAAGATCTGCTGCTGCTGCCACTGCTGCCACTACTGCTGATCTAATAGAAGTGGACTGTTGCTATTAAACCTTATGCCAGGTAGCCCACATGCTGTCCATTGGCTAGTTGCAGTCTCAAGGGGTTCAAATGTTCCTCCAGCATCCCTGCTGCCTCCCAGCAACTCAAGACACCTATGGCCCAAAATTATTATTTTTTAATGGTGCATGCATGTGCATGCGTGCATGTGTACAAAATTCCTGTGTGCCTTCTAGTGTGCACGGGAGTGTTTCTTCTGTGTTTTGAAGGATTCCCAGCACCCCTGTGGCCCTACAAAATTCCTGTGTGCCTTCTAGTGTGCACGGGAGTGTTTCTTCTGCGTTTTGAAGGATTCCCAGCACCCGTGTGGCCCTTGTACATACATACACACACACACGCACACACACACCACATTTTAAAATTTCTTTTATTTATAAGTTGACTACTAGATGATTCTCAAATGTTTTATCTTTTGTATGAAGACACTGATCCTACTTCATTGGAAAAAAATGATTACTTTTATGAAACCATACAGAACAGTATTTAACTTTCTAAGCATAGTATAAACAATTGAAATGTCCCCAGCATCAAAGACAATACTTACAGGCTTCAGATCACAATGAATTATCTTCTCTGTGTATAGCAGTTGTAAGCATCTTAAAATACACTGGGTGAATCGACGAATCAAACCCAAGGTAAAACCTTGGAAATTATTTTTCTTGATTAATTCATATAAATTTATACTGTGGGATGTGAAACAACATTTCAGTTTTAGACTGTGAACAGTTTCCCTTCTACTTCCAACTGAAAATATTTATTTATTTGTTTATTTATTTATTTATTTATTTATTTAATATGCCGCCCACTCTACCCAGAGGTCTCTGGGTGGCTTACAATAATTAAAATTCAATACAATAAAAATAAAATGATTGAAATACAATTAAAATACAATTAAATATTACATCTGAATACAGCACACAGGATCCAAAGAACTTAACTCCATGCTCCAGATCTTTTGCTAACAAAAGGTTGCTACCCTAAGATAAAAGTGCCACTGCAGTTAGAAGCAGCTGGTGGTGGGGCTATGGATAAGGGTTGACCCAAGACTTAAATCAAAGTGCAAGGATATTTGGCTTTTATGGTAAAGGGACCACAGCCAACTAGTGCTGAGCTTAGAGCTTTTGCACACTGTGGAAAATTTTAATTATGTGAAAATTGAAGTTTCACATTCAGAGTTTCAGGAATCTATTCAGAAATATTGTAGGTGAAAGAGCTTTAAACCCGGTTACCGAATGCCTGAAGCTGTATTGTTTACTTATCTATATACATTTAGTATGTAAAATGATTATGTCAACCTGGGGAGAGAGAGATTGGCCCCAAGTCATCCACTGGGCTTGAATGAACACTTGCACCACTAGAGAAATAAGAGCTGTACTGCAAAACTGACTGATGAGAATGCTGGGTCAGCATACAGGGAAAGGTATCAGAATTAGGAAAATACTTCCACACTGCTCAGGGAAGAAGGTGGATATGTAAAAAGAGAGCTGAGCACCATGCTTATAGGAGCTTTCTTACCTTTGGGGGGAAAAAAACACTGTGCCTCCTTTAGAAGGGCTGGAAATGATGATCCATAAGGCCTCTTTGAGCTCTGCAGCCCTAAGGTTATTATAAGTTATTCTACACCCCTTTAATAACTGCTTTAAGCAATTGTGAGAAATAGGATAAGATTCCTACTAGACCAAGGAAAAATTTGTAACTTGATCATAACATTCCGCCAGGAAGCTGCCTCCAACTTTCATCATAAAGCAACGAGTCCACTTGGCTTAAGTGCTCTCATTCTAATATTTTTCTTGCCCCCCACCCATCCCGGATGAAAAGTTTGCTGAAAGAAAACAGCTAGGCTTGGTAAGAGAAGAAGAATCTAGAGAAGTGCAGAGTGGGAACTTTTGGTTCCATTTCAATTCAGTTTCTTTGGAATGGGGGCATTCATTTGTCAAAATTTTCATTCTTCTGTTCACCAAAAAGGGGGGCATCTGTTTGAATAATTTTGTTTTGTTTCCCCCATGAGGAAAGGAAGGGGAAGTGAAACTGGGACTGACAGAGCTGGCAGCAAGATAAGAACCATGCAGGTGCTGAGGGATGCAACAGCACCTTGTTAATAAGCGGCAATTAGCCACCAAGACTTACTTGATTTTTCCTTATATGGGTGCAAAATGGCAATAGGATTCTGACCAAAAGTTCTCAGTTATTCTGGACACCAGTCACTGGAACTCTGGTTGAGAAGAGTGACCTTGGTTGAGAAGAGTGACACTAAAGAATTTGTCTCTCAAATTCTGAGATATAGGAAGCTGATGGATTGGAACCTTTGCCAGGCAAAGGTCTTTGTTTGGGAAGGAGACAATGGCTGCAAGACCTCATAAATCATTCTCTTTCAGTGAGGAAAAGATGGTGAAGGAAACCTTTGCAATCAGCTTAAAACACAGAACAAAGTGTAACATCCTACACCAGTGGATTCACCAATTAGTTCCCTATAACTTTCTCCCATAGAAGTCTGTAGAAACAGTTTGCTTTTATGGGACACAGTACCTACAGCTCTAGCCAAGACCTATCTTGAACAGGAAAAACAGTGCGGGTAAAATAAACCAGAGACATAAAAATAAAAAATGTAATTTTTGAATAATTAGAATATTAGGAGATGCAATGTTTGTAAATGGAACAGGATCCAAAAACCTAATTCCAGAGAGATTTCCAGAACCAGCTGCTGCCAAAGAGAAACACAAGGTCATAGAATAATGTTAGGGCTTAATCAATCCTGCCGAAGAACCCCAGTTATACAGAATCTTTCTATACCTCTGTTGTACTGATATACTTATTTTTGCAGTCACATGGTGTATATATATTGGTGAGTGTTCACATCAACAGTGTAATAGAGAGGTCAAGAAGAGAAAACAGTTTTTGAACAACTTGCAAAGTATCATGAAGAGCAGGGTTGAAAAAGAGAAAGAGGAGATGCAACATTCCTTTCTTAAATTAAAAGCGGAAAATGTCTCTGCTCGTGCCCTCTTTCACCCGCAAAGGGAGGGGAGCAGGCTGTCTCCTTCTGAGCAATGTATTAGGGTTGCTTTTGCTAGCAGCAGTGGCTGTTACTGCCAATGTGTCAATATACCTTTAAAAGAAAAATAATTGTAAAAAAGGTACAAGTTCAATGGCCATGAAGTGGCCACAGTGCCCAGAAACCTGACCCCTTTACAAAGAAAATAAATCTACAGCAACATTCACACAGGCTGAAACAACAAGGGATGAAGCGATTCATCATCAGTACAAAATAAAACAACCCTGCTGGTGAGGGGGAAATAAACCACTGTTCAGGAAAAATAGCCATTTTAGCCAGGCATTGTGTGCTTGGAAATTTATGAAAGGATCTAAAAACTGCCATATTGGTATAATTGGGGTTCTTCTGTGATTGAGCCCTTAGATCACTCTCTCATGGGAGCAGCTCACTGTTTGTATTCTCACTCCCTTTGCTAGAAGCTGTAAATACGGTGAGACAAAAGCAATACAAAATTCTGTACAGCAATTAATGGAAGAAAGCAGAACCTTTGGTGCAAGACATTTCATTTTGATATGATCATCAGCATTTTACGACAGATCTTTACAGTATTTGGAAAATCATGGTTCCCATGAATATCAAACAAAATAAAGATCTGGGTTAGTACTATGCACTTCTAAGAAGTGTGGTGGGGGTGGGGGCAGAAGAGGCAACTAAAGATGGACAAATTAGTTGGGCAGTTTCATACATTCAAATAGTATAATTTAGTCTGCAAAACGAAGTGGTAACAAGACACAACCATGATTCAGATCTCTTTTGCACTGCTTAAAGAAATGTTTCTCCTTTTGAATGAGATATGTGAATTTTTAGCAGTATCCCTGACTCCCACCGACCCATCTCCAGTTTGGGGCTAATAATATCATTCTACCTTACAAGGAGATTGTAAGGGTACCAAGAAAATAATACTTAGAATCTACACTGTAGTTGCTGTAACATTATCATCGAAGGAGAGAAAACAATGCCTTACCCTAACAATTCAAAGGAAATGCAGAAATGATTGCGGAAATAAAAATATTCTTTCATGTGGACAACATTATACACATGGTCTTCATCCTTTTGCCGGAGAGCATTGAGGATGCTGACTTCTACCATGGCCTGGTTATGAAATCTTGAAACAAGAGAAGGAGGAGAGTTACATAAGCTGGTGCAAAAAGCTAAAGTGGTCCCCAAACCTGAGGCCCAAATATTCTTTTTCTGCCCCCCCTTTTCTCTTTTCCCTTTTTGTTACAACTTCCAGAAGCACCAGCCAGCATGCCCAATAGCCAGGGCATGAGAATTGTAGTCCAGCATTTGGCTCAAAGACTGGAAACCACTGGACTATATACTGTTCCTTTATCTGTTATTGCTGTTGTAACACAAGTGGATATGAAAACAAATCACATCACCAGTAGAATGGGGTGTTTCTTAGGAGATTATCAACTCTACATGATTGTACCAGTTCTGGTGAGGTTCCCTCTGCTATAGAGCTCTAGTGCCTTTCCTTGAACTGCAGCAATACAAATTCCAAAATTCTATAGGATGGAGACATGATACCTAAAGTAGTATCAATGATGCAATCATTTGGATCATTGGTTCCCAACCTTGAGTAACCCAGGTGTTCTTCGACTGCAACTCCTAGAAGTCTTCACCACCAGCTGTGTGGCCTGGGATTTCTGGGAGTCGCAGTCCGAGAACACCAGGGTTACCGAAGGCTAAGAACCACTGATTTAGATGGTCTAATAACTTGTTGGTAACTGACAACCATTTTCTTGTTACAAATTGATCTTGTCTAGATACTATTATCTTCTGCCTCAGTTTAATAAGATTTGCACTATTACACCCAAACCAAAACTGTAAGTAACATATAATTATTTTTAAAGGCTAAAGATGAATTTTGTTTGTTTCACTGAAACAGTGAGCTATAAATTATGGTTAGGATCTAATTGGGAAGCCTCATCAGCCAAATAAGAACGGGTTATTTCCTCACCACTGGCCCCTCAGAAGTCTCTGCATTAATCCAGAATGGCTCTGCGAGAGTCTCTCAGCTATTCAGAGGAGATCCTGGGTGCACACAGGGCTTCCTGAGAACACTGAGAGTTGTCTTGCCTCTCCTTGGGGCACCCTTTCATCACCGGAAGTATCCAGCTGCCCCTGGCCTTGTTGTTTTGTCTGCTTGTGTGTGTGTGTGTGTGTGTGTGTGTGTATGTGTGTGTGTGTGTGTGTGTGTGTGTGTATGGTTCTTTCTAGCTAAGTGTTAGTAACTCCTCCAAAGTAACAAAATACAGTAACAATAGAGCACATTTCAATAAAACAAGTCATAATGAGCACTTCTATTACATTACTCTAAACTTTTATTTCATGAATGTGAGCTAATGAAAAGTTGGGCAGAGCATACCTCTTCTTGTTCCTTATTATTTTCACTGCCACTTTTTCCCCCGTCTTGTGGTCCAAACACTTCACAACATGTCCAAATGACCCTTTCCCAATAACAGCCAGTATTTCATATCTGTACGCAATATGATCACTTAAAACCTATGTAACATGACAGAAACATGGAAAGTCAAGATAGCACACATCCTCATAGCACTCATGATAAACGCATATTTGTGTGCAAAACGTAAGTAATACATGGCCTGTGTTTATCACCTGAGTGTCTGCCTTACTGTTTTCCCCCAACTTACAGTACCTTGGTCCTGTACTATCCTAGTTTGTTTATTTTACCAGGCCAAGGTTCTCACCTGGTGAATCTAGATTAGAGAATTCTGCAATCACAACCATTTATGTCATCCAATTCTATAAAACAGGGATTGCCCAGACTTTTAGCTCACCAAACTGAACACACTTTCACCAGTCATACTTTGCAGGATGCTAAATAAAGAGACTGACATTTTTTCCTTTTCAAATTTCCAGGCAGGCATCAAAAATGATTTTTATTAGCCCCTCAGTATGCCACGATATGTGACTATATATTGAACACAGGATGTGTTCAGCTGGGTAAATCACAGTCGGGGTAGTAATGCTATACAGTAGGACCCCCATATCTGCAGGGGATAGGTTCCAAGCCAGCCCTGCAGGTGCCCCAAACCACATATAGTAGTGAACCCATTTGCTACTATCTGCAGTGAGGGGCAAATGTTCGTGCAGACCGTAGCATGTTCATGCAGCAGCAGTCACAGACAACTGAAACTGCAGATACTGGTTCCATGGATATGGTGGTCCTACTGAATTCTCACAGTCAGAATTCAAACGTCTTCTTTTTCTGTTCACATGGTGATCTGCAGTAGCAAATGGCTCTATGGACAAAATACCCATTGACCCAGTGCAGCAATGGCCTGTTAATTCAAGCAACAGACTTCTCCCTCCCACAGATTGAGGTGCTAGAGTAGAAACAACTTAGTGTGCCCAGCTTGCAACTGTCTATGTAGGAGAGGTGTCAGAAAGATTCTGGCTTGAGGATATAAAGAAGAAAGACTTCATTCCTTCTTTTGTCCTCTTTAACTTAGATGAGATGACAAACTTCTTTTCCATCTCAGATTAAAACCCATGCTAGGGAGGAACTTTAGGGCTGTCAGTAAGACAATGATTTTTAAATCAGAATCTATGAATCTCAGCAAGTTCACTAGTCCCCATCTCCTACCTTCAGACATTGCTACAGAGGATCAAAGCCAGAAATCTTCCATTGGGGCCTTTCCCTGATCAGGAATGTCAGTTCTATCCTCTCACCTTTTTGTAGGAGCCATGATCATCATCATAGGAATTATTGTTCTCTGCATCAGAATGCCCTTCAATCTTCTTAGCTCCAAGTCCAAGAAACCACAGCTCCTTATATTCCTTAACTTCTCGTTGTTCATACAATGTTAGTTGGTTTCTAAAATGCTTCAACGCTTCTGATTTAGAGAGAACATTATCTAATGAACATCAGAACTACTGGATGCTCTAGCCACTTGTCAACTATGATGGACATAGAATCAGATTTCCCAGATTACAAAGCTCAGTGATTTAGGTATCTGGCTGAGGAACCAAAGGTTGTGAGTTTGATTCTCTACTGTGCCTTCTAGCGGAAGAACCAGGCTGTGTAACTATGGGCAAGTTGCACAGTCCCAGAATGTCCTGGGAGTAGGGAATGCTAAACCACATCTGAGAACTTTCTACTGAGAAAACTCTGGAAAGAGTTGCCATAAGTCAGAACTAACTCGATGGCCCATTATTATTATTATGCAGTTTACACAGAACCTCATCTGCCAGAAACCTTTTAAAAGGCAGTAACATTGTCTCCATCAATCTCTTTATAATTTATTAGCATACAAAATAGGTACTGTACCTGTTGCGGTCAATGGCAGCTTTAGATTGTGAATTTTTTCTGTTTCTGTCTTGCTGGACAGGACTCTTGTACTGTTTTCAGGCAGAGTTGAAGAAAATGCCTGACTTTGAGCTCTGTTTTCCAGCTAAAGAGTAATACTGTTGTTGTTGTTGTTGTTGCTTACTTTTTCCATATTTTTTTAAAAATAGACTTGCCCAGTGCTAGCCCAAGAAACCACAGTTCCTCCACCTCTGGTCCATTGTCTTAACTGATTTCCGCTGCACCATAAAGACCCGCCCTGCATCTGGAACTGTTGTCCCAAAGAGGCCTGTAAAATCTCAGTTTACTGAAGAATCTGATCCTTTTTGGTACCTCCCCTTTGTACCTCCTCTTGAAGAGTCCCTGGTAGATGTCAACATGTATAATGTCACAGTATTCCCCAATGTTTTCAGCTTTTCTAATGACTACAAGGAGATGCAAAACCAGAAAGATTACCTGATGCAGCACATTTACAGTCTGCAAGTTCTTCATGGCAATTTGTGGAAAGATTGCCTCTTGAGCTTGGGACTTCACAGCACTTGAAACCATACTGGGTTTTGCCTGGAATTCCAGGTGAGGGAGCACACTAATGCTGCTACTGACTTTCTGATGAAAACATGAAATTGACACAGAACAGTTAGCTTGAATATGGTTGTCCAAAGCTTTTAAAACATTTAAAAAGAAATACAGAAAGGCATGCCAAAATGGAATCCCTAGCAAAAAGATATTTTCCATATATCCAAAAGAAAGTCTTATTGATTTGGTCTTAGCTGTCAAAAATTATTTGCAGTTGTCCATAAGTTCCCTTCCTCCCTGTTGACCCTTCCTCGATGCCAATGGTTTCCTACTTGGATAACCCAGGTGGTCCTGGACTGCAGCTCCCAGAAGCCTTCACCAATAACTTTGCTGGCTAGGGTTTCTGGAAGCTGCAGTCCAAGAATGTCTGGGTTACCCAAGGTTGGGAACAACTGCTCTATGGCAGCTGCTTCTGAGCATGGCAAAGGATTTATGAAAGGAATGTCTCTGGTCTGTCTCTGCACCCCAGCAGATCAATTTCTCTTCCACCTCACAATTTTTTTGAAAGTTTAGAAAAACTTTAAAATGAAGCCACTGTCTCACTGAAGAGGGTGCAACAATATGAAAGCCCCACTGGATATAGCCTGAATGCACTTCTTGAGAGAAACCCTTTTGCTATTGACCTGAGGAGACAGAGGCCATAGCTTGAGAGCGCAAACAGAAGATCCAATTGTAAACACACACATAAACATATACATGGTGAAATTATAACAAACTTAATACACTTGCAGCCTTTTAAATCTATTGTCTTAAAATGGGTCTGAATCCCTGGTGATTAAGCTATTCAGATTTGGCCTCCCTACCTCAGTACTTCAAAGTGGCCCTTGGAAATAAACACTGGAATCTTATTTTGAAGGCATAAATAGTTTCTATACCTGACGGAAAACTTTACTTGATCCCAAGCGGGTATTCTCCTGAGAGGGCAACTGAGACTCAGATTGTGCCTCTGCTTGTGATGGCTGGAAAACACAATTTCATATTAAACTTAGAAAACATTCTGGCTTAATTACTTCTATAGGTATTGCAAGTATGACACCTCATAGGTGATGGCTGACCTGTCGGGCAAATGAGCCACTGCCTCATTTCAGGCCTAGGCTTTCACAAACCTGCCCGCTTGTGCCTGCCTTCTCACCAGAAGAGGAAGGTTAGGATCCCAACTGTATTTCCCCTCCTACTGTGTGTATGGGGGAAAGGTTACACACTGGTCACTGTATATGTGTGTGTGTCCATGTGTGTGTGCGCATACACATATGAGTACCCATTTATGCCCTGGCCCTGACTGTTACCCTTTACTCCACCCATTATTGTTTGCTCCGCCTTCAGTCCCACCAGCCATAAAGGCCAACAGTCACTACCATTCATCAGAGGAAGAGACAGGGCACATTAGCAAAAAGATGAGAACAGGAAACATAACAGGCTGTTCTTTTAAAATATGATAATCTTAGTTTCAAGCATCTGTCTGGTGGCAAAATGTCAGTGATATAAGACCATAACTGATTGTGATAAAAACCTGTTGTTGAAAAATTCAGGTAACACCCCAACCATCCACTGCTTAGTATGTGAGAGAAACAACATTGCCCTACATAAACCCCACTGAAATGAGGAAGAGCTGCAGAAAAGCATTTAATTTGCACCATGGATCAAACCTCTCCCTATTCTGCTCAGCTACCTTTAATTATAATATAAATTTGATTAAACTGTCTCATAGCAGCATCATTCTGAATAATTTTCCACTAGCTGGAGTCTGTGATTGTAGTGATGCCCTTGTCATGCTGGAGGAATGCAGAGATGGGACAGGCCATAGAAACAATTGCTCACAAACATCCTCTTTGGTGCCGTGGAGTTTGTATGGGTCCATGTTTAATCAAAAAGCTTCAGAGACTGAAATAAATCAAAAGCCATCTGAAGTGCAGTGGCTACAACAAGACTCACCATGAAAATGAATAAAGGCATAGTGGGAGCACCTGATTGTACCTCCTGTGCTTTTCTGAATGGTTGAAGGGTGGCTCTCATCTATCCAAGACCATACAGAAGCCCTGAAAGTCTCACTATGGAGTACACATTTTGGAGCAGTACAGCAAGAAAAGTGGGAGACTACTGGGACCCCTTGCACTTCAACCTGAAAGGCAGACAACTGAATCTCACCCCAACAAGCCTATGCCTGTGTTCTACTGTAAGAAGCCAACAAGGGAACAAGATCCTTCAGAAGGCACAAGAACAGTTGCTTAATGAAAGGATCAGACAGGTCCCCTTCATCATAGACACTATGAAACACAAAGTAGACCACCTTCATCAAGAACTACTTTCCATGCTATCCAAACAAACACTGGATGCAGTCTTAGATTTTGTCCTTATCTTCCGAAAACAGTCAGCAGGGGAACTTGACAAGAAGGAGGACGACGAGGGGACCACAGCATTGGACACAGAGGACAAATGGATGAAGAATCTCTCAGAAGCAAAGAGAGGCAAACCAGGAAATTTGATACTCTTAGCTTCCGAAAACAGTCAGCAGGGGAGCTTGACAAGAAGGAGGACAATGAGGGGACCACAGCAGAGGACACAGAGGACAAATGGGTGAAGAATCTCTCAGACAGGGAACTTACTCAGTCAGAGAGGGTTTTAGCCAAAGGCCTAAATTTTGCCATCACCCCCAAACAGATTCTGGTTGTGGAATTCATTACAGCCACAGAATTGGCTATCTGGAACAACAATCTACCACCACCGCCATCCAACCTCACCGGACAGGAAAGTGCTCTGACATCCCTAAGCAGAGATGAGACCATCACCATACTACCTGTGGACAAAAGAAGATGCACTGTCATCATCAGCACTATGGATTACCATAGAAAATGTTTTGGAAGGTCAACAAACATACGAGAAACTGAAGAGAGGCCCAACAACATTTACAGAAGAAAGTGATAGAATGCTTGAAACACTTGGGAAAGGACGATGCCATCGACAGGGCAACCTACTGGACAAAAGAAGATGCACTGTCATCATCAACACTACGGATTACCATAGAAAACCTTTTGGAAGGTTAAGAAACATACAAGAAACTGAAGAGGGACCCCACCACCATTTAGAGGGAGAAAGTGATAGAATGCTTGAAACACTTGGGAAAGGACGATGCCATCGACAGGGCAACCTACCACCAGTTGTATCCTGGAGAGCCCCCACCTTTATGGACTTCCCAAGACGATACACAAGGAAGGAGCCCCCCCCAGACCCATTATCAGAAGCATAAACTTGGTAACATACAAAATTGCTAAATACCTGGCCACCATCTTAGCACCAATGGTTGGAAACTTGGACCACCACATTCACAACTCAGAGGAGTTTGTGTCTAAGGTCAGGGAACTGAAACGAAATATTGATGAAATCATGGTACGCCTTGAAATCATGGTATGCCATCTTCACCAGCATTCCCACATGTGATGCCCTAACAACAGTAAAAAGGAGACTGGAAGAAAACACCCTCTCCACCAGAAGCAGCCTCCACCTGGGCCAGATATGCCTGCTCTTGGACCTATGTCTGAGCATGATTTACTTCACCTATGGAGGTGACTTCTACAGATAGGAACATTGTTGTGCCATGAGTTCCCCGGTGTCACCCATTGTTGACAACTTACACATGGAAAAAGTGGAAAAGAAACAACTTCCAGGGGACAACGTTCAGGTATGTGGATGACACCTAGGTGAAGATCAAGATTCAGGAAGTTCAGGTCTTCACAGACCACATAAATGCAGTGGACCCAAATATCAAGTTCACCAGGGAAGACACCAAAGACAACAGACTGGCTTTCCTGGACTGTGCAGTCATCATAGGACCCAACAGCAGATTAGGAATAGAAATCTAGAGAAAACCTAGACACTGATCAATACCTGTGGTTTGACTCTCATCGCCCATTGCAACACAAACTAGGGGGTCATCAGGATGCTAAACCACAGAGCAAGAAACATCTCCACCTCCACAGAAGCCAAGAAGAAGGATTGTTACGCATCTTGGAACTTCAAGTATTGCTCTAAGGAATTTAGATGAACCCGCTCTATTGGGTCGAAACTGCTGGAAGGAAGAACTGACAGAAGAACCCGGTCATTCCTTACATGGCAGGTGTGTCTGGAAAGCTCATAATGATTTTTGGTAGACACCACATACCCATGCACTTCAAACCCACAAACACACTAAGGCAGAGATTCGTCCACCCAAAAGACCAGACACCAAAACGCAACAGGAGCAATATACTATACACAGTCCAATGCAAAGAGGAGTGTTTGGAGCTCTATGTTAGAGCAACCAAAGAGCCACTAAACAGAAGAATGGCCCAGCACAGCAGGGGCAATGCCTCAGGACCACAATAGGCAGTGTTCCTTCATCTGAAGGACAAAGGACAATCATTTGATGACCAAGATGTACTGATTTTGGACTGAGAAGATAGGTGGTTTGAGAGAGGGGTCAGGGAGAGAAAATCCCTCACTCACAGGAGTGAATCTGTGTCCTATTTATCATGCTGCCCTTTCACCTGGAGCACACCCACCAGAAAGACCACTGTTAATGACTGCTAATCATGACAGTGGATGGAGAAGGTCTGCAGAGGTGGGATTTTCACTAACCCCCCCCCCATCCTTTGTTCATCTAATGAGCCTATTCAGACCAGGGGGAAGTGAAACCAATGTGGACGATATATCAGAAGTCCCCTCTCCTCAGGCTGAAGAGGATAACCTAACCTCACCTGAATGACTGAGAATCTTCACAGATAAGTGAACAAGTAGTTCACAACAGCTTATAGCAAATCAAATATGTTAATCTTAAAGGTATCACAATAATTTTTGCTGCAATTCTTATGAGCAATCACAAAGATAATTGGAACTGGGCTTGTGTCTTACACACCACCATATCTGATTCTGGTCACAGGTAACAGCAACCAGTTCATGAAATGACTGAGAATCTTCACAGATAAGTGAACAAGTAGTTCACAACAGCTTATAGCAAATCAAATATGTTAATCTTAAAGGTATCACAATAATTTTTGCTGCAATTCTTATGAGCAATCACAAAGATAATTGGAACTGGGCTTGTGTCTTACACACCACCATATCTGATTCTGGTCACAGGTAACAGCAACCAGTTCATGAAAAGGAACAAAATCAGAACCAGTGCAAATGGGTGGTGAAGTGAAAGAAATCTCAGATTTAGAATAAGGAGAAGTCTGATTTCAAATGCCTGCTCAGTCAGAAGGCTTGCCCAGATCTCAAGGCCCCACCTTAACTTACAGTATGTCACAGGCTTGGTGAGGGAAGATAGGGTAACAGAGAATAACAGTCCTGAACTCCTTGGAGAAAGAGAGGAATACATATGTGATACATGCATGTAACTGTCAAGTAGTGTGAGATAAATTGTTGCTGTTGTTTAGCCGTATAGTCGTGTCCAACTCTTCGTGACCCCATGGACCAGAGCATGCCAGGCCCCTCCTGTCTTCCACTGCCTCCTAGAGTTGGGTCAAATTCATGTTGGTACCTTCGATGACACTGTCCAACTCTCTCGTCCTCTGTCGTCTCCTTCTCCTCTTGCCTTCAAACTTTCCCAACATCAGGGTCTTTCCCAGGGAGTCTTCCCTTCTCATGAGATGGCCAAAGTATTGGAGCATCAGTCCAGGGGACTCTCAAGAGTCACCTCCAGCACCACAATTCAAAAGCATCAATTCCTTGGTGGTCAGCTTTCTTTATGGTGCAGCTCGCATTTCCATACATTACTACAGGAAAAACCATAGCTTTGACTATGCGGGCTTTTGTCAGCAAGGTGATGTCTCTGCTTTTTAAGATGTTGTCAAGGTTTGTCATCTCTTTCTTTCCATGAAGCAGGCGTCTTTTAATTTCGTGACTGCTGTCACCATCTGCAGTGGTCATGGAGCCCAAGAAAGTAAAAGCTGTCACTGTCTCCATTATCTTCCCCTTCTATTTGCCAGGCAGTGATGGGACCAGTGGCCATGATCTTAGTTTTTTTGATGTTCAGCTTCATACCCTTTTTTGCACTCTCCTCTTTCACCCTCATTAAGAGGTTCCTTAATTCCTCCACACTTTCTGCCATCAGAGTGGTATCATCTGCATATCTGAGGTTGTTGATATTTCTTCCAGCAATCTTAATTCTGGTTTGGGATTCCTCCATTCCGGCCGTTCGCATGATGCATTCTGCATATAAGTTACCAGTAAATAAGCCGGTGGACAATATATAGCCTTGTCGTACTCCCTTCTTGGCAGTGGCCCCTTGACTTTAGAACAGCTTGCTGTCAGAGATCTGACTGGCGCACTCGCTGGGTGTCTTTGAGAGCCAATTAAAGACTTGGCTCTTTAGGCAGGCCTTCCCTTCTACCAATACTTGACTTTTACTTTTTGCTTGGCCTTTTGCTTATTTTTCCATCCTGATTAACATTAATATTGTCAATTTAAATTATTGTTTTAACTGTTTTATGTATGATTTTGATGTGATCCGCCCTGAGTAGATGCAGTCTAGAAAGGTGAGATAAAAATCTAATAATAAATAAAAATAAAATAAATAAATCTCAGCCTCAAAGCCACCTCACCTGGCCACACTTGTGGCCCTACCAATTTAATCTAGATGTGGCCTTTTATATGCTTGGTGTTACACTTTTAAGAAAAAATAGCAAAGCCTGAATCCAGTTAATAATCCCAGTAAATTGGTGGGTGGGTGTTCCGTGCCGTCAAGTCTGAACTGACTTATAGCTACCTTAATAGGGTTCGCAAGTAAGTGAGAGTCATTTCACCAGCTCCACTCCCCTAAGTGGGGATTCAAACTCTCTTTTCCAGAGTCCTAGTTTGTCACTCTATCCACTACATCACAATGGGAATTCCAATTTAAATTGGTGGGACTTACAAAAATCCCATTCAGCAGTTGATTCAGTGAATCTGCTCTAGTGGGATTTAGGCTCAAGTCTCCAATGTGCATTTGAAACATATTCATATTCTAGAAAGGCCTTTCATGAAGCTCCTCCAGAAAACATGTTTCACTGTTTCCCTCCCATCATCTCTGTCCATTGCTGGCATCCAAATCCATGAGCTCTAAATCAACGAAAACTATACCCACCTGAAACAGAAAGCAGGGATCTTGTACCTTTAACGGATGTGTGAAAGGGAGAATTTGAGCAGAAGAAGCTTGCATGACCAAAACATATATAACAAGTTACATTGGCTCATATTTTCTTTTCTACGCAGCTATACATGCATACATGCATACATGCATACATGCATACATGCATATAACAACCCTCTTTTGAATGGTAGAACTTTAGTATCACATTTGTCTTCATAGCTATAAAATGCAGGAACTGTGCCCTGTTTTATGTGGCCAAATTACCTATAAAGTGCTTACTCCTAAAATGACACAAACTTAAAATACAAGACCCTGTGACCGATTTCCACAGAGCCAATATAATGTAGAGAATCCTTCCTGTTAGCCCTAGCTAGCATGTTCAAAGCTCAGCAATGACAGGATCTGGAGTTCAACAGTGCTTTGAGGGCTGCAGATTGCCTGCCTGAGTACAGAGAATTGAGTGATGCCCATAGAGCCTTTTGTTTGTTTCAGTGTTCCTGAATTATGCAATCCTTATCTGTGTCGCACACTTTGTATACAAAGAGTATCATAAAGGTAACTATATTATGACAAATCAAAGATGGGCCTAATTCAGAGCTCAGAATGTTACACTGAAAAAGAAACTACTTATTACTTCTCAGTAGTTAGGCTACCATTATCACAATATTCATTTTATAAAGGAATGATATATAAACTGAAAAATCCCTGTCAAAACTTCCCAGAAAATACCTTCAAATGCCCTTTAAAAGTAGGCAGAAACAGTGGTTGAAATTCTGTAGTAAGTCACCCTTTGAGTAGTTGAATCAGTGAGGATCTGGTGAGTCAACTCCTCCATCAGTTCTATTACTTCAGTGGGTCTACTCTAGTTGTGACTTACTATTGGATTTAAAGCATTGCTTGTTATGCCTAAAAACTAGCATGACTTTCTCTGTAACTTTGTACCTACTTGCTACATTGCTGGTTGTCCAAAAGTAACTATTTGCAATAATTAGTGACTCCCAATTTATTGTCTAATTATAATTATAAAACAATATGGGTATGCAAAAATAATAATGCAGTTACCAAACTGTATCACCAGTTCAGTTCTGTGTGGAGGGAAAAATAAAAAGCAAGCTCCCACATATCAAGCCTTCCACAGGCCAGGTATCCATGGGTCCAACTCCTAAATTCTAGGTCTCTACATATACAGTCTAGCTTGCTTGGTTGCTACCAATATCTCCTCTAAATCCCATTTGCATGTTCATAGTCCACTGACTCCAGAAAAGGTTTATAGTGGCATGGATGAGGCCTATGATTCTCCTTGATTGTGACAAACGATTGAAGAACAGTTATCTTTAGGGGGCCACAAAGTCAGTCACTTTGGAAGATGTACATAAAGTACAACGAACAATGTGAGGAATTCTACGCACACATATCCACACACCCCTTCTTTAGATTTTCCACCATCATGGAAAATTCTGAAAAAGAGGTGTGGGAAATCTCATAACTCTACTGCTTATTGTCTTCACGCTTCATTATTTTTAGTAAATATTTCCTCTCTTTTTAAACTGCACATTAAAGAGAAACATAGGAGAAGCACATCACTCATTTTATTCAGTACAGAATATAGAAACAAACGGAACTGTGTAAGAAAACAGAAGCATTTTAATCCTATCATTACCTATACATGTCTGTGGGCAACAGCCTTATTATTAACTAGGGTTAATATTATTAACCACAAGTTGCAGGAAAGGAGGCAAACAAATTCCCAGAAGAGTTACCTTCGGCTGAATTCTTCGCTTCCTTCTCATTGGTAAACAACAGATGCTGAAGAAACTGAATTCACAGCAGTTTGGGCCACAGCTTTCACCCCCCATAATGACAGGGTTCCATGTTTTAGACCTGTCTCCATTTAAATGTTCACTCTGAAAAGTTAAATTAAACACCACGCTTCTGTCTAATCTGAAAGCATCAAAGCAGGCTTGCCTCTATGAATAATATTAGCATGCACTCCTGTTATTCCAAGAGTGGAGTGCCAAAGCAGATATACATTTACATTTTGCTTAACTTCTTTTACCCTCTTGCATTTCCTTCAACTCAATAGCAACTAAAGTAACTATGAAAATGAGCATATGTTGTGCTGATGTGCCAGGGAAATCTACGGGGAGTTAAGAGCATCACAACACATTCATCAGTGAGGTTTGTTATTTCATCAGAACTGTCTCCTGAGAATCATTGTGCTGAGATGCTTCTGTTATCACAAAAAGGCAGACATTATTACATTTCAAAAATTACAGACAACACTGGGCTGGATGGGCACCACAAATAAAAGGATTGTTTAAATAATGAATTTAAAATAATAGAATTATCTAGGGTTGTGCCTTTTTATAATTGCCCCTGCTTCGGTTTTTGTCTTGTTTTGTGAGAGGGTTTTTTTTTTTTTTTTTAAGGAGTAAGCATTGCTAGGGGAACATTTCCTTAAAATTTGCTCATATTACGGTCAAACTAGATGTTAAGGGGGATTTCCTCAGAAACATTCTCCAGCAATTATACTTGTAAAAGAAGGCAATGTTTACCTGCAAGTGACCAATCACAAAGCAATCCAAGTACAAGATACATTGCTAGGATAATCAGGCTCTTTTTTTAGCACTTGAGCAAGCTACTTTTCTTTTAAAAATGGGCTAAGTGTATAGTTAGGTTGGCTCAGTGTGTTGGCTGAGAAATCTGTTTTTTAAGCCTAAACGCTCATCCTGTTTCTGTTTTTACAAGCTTACTTGTTACAAGTAACCACACAATGGAAATTCACTTTGTTTTCTGAGTGGGAGGATTTCACAGACTCATTAACATTGATATTCATAGAATCACAGAATAATGAAGTTGGAAGGGACCTATAAGGCCATCAAGTTCAACCCCCTGCTCAGCGCAAGAATACAAATCAGAGGACATCTACCTGTTTCTGTTTTTACAAGCTTACTTGTTACAAGTAACCACACAATGGAAATTCACTTTGTTTTCTGAGTGGGAGGATTTCACAGACTCATTAACATTGATATTCATAGAATCACAGAATAATGAAGTTGGAAGGGACCTATAAGGCCATCAAGTTCAACCCCCTGCTCAGTGCAAGAATACAAATCAGAGGACATCTCCCAAGTGGTTGTCTACATTTCTCATGAATGTCTCCAGTGTTGGAGCACTCACCACCTCCCGAGGTAAATGGTCCCATCGATGTATGTATGTATGTATGTATGTATGTATGTATGTATGTATGTATGTATGTATGTATGTATGTATGTATGTATGTATGTATGTATGTATGTATGTATGTATGTATGTATGTATGTATGTCCCGCCTTTCTCCTTAAAAATGACCCAAGGCAGCTTACATCATTAAAAAGTCAGCATTTAAAAGCTTAAAAACAGTAAGCATACAAGTATTACAATAGAATTAAACAACTATTATATTAAAATGGTAAATAAAAACAACATTAAAAGACATTTACAACATCAGAGCACAACAATCAATTTAAAAACCCTCGCAGACCTGCAATTGTTAAGGAAAAGTCTGCACGAAGAAAAAGGTATTTGCCTGCTTGCAGAAGGAACACGAAGATGTGGCCAAAGTCTGCACGAAGAAAAAGGTATTTGCCTACTTGCAGAAGGAACACAAAGATGTGGTCATACTGCTCTTAACAGTTAGGAGATTTTCCCTAATATTCAGCCAAAATCTGGCTTCCTGTAATTTGAGCCCATTGTTGCATGTCCTGCACTCTGGGATGATCGAGAACAGATCTTGCCCCTCCTCTGTATGACAGCCTTTCAAATATTTGAAAAGTGCTATCATATCTCCCCTCAGTCTTCTTTTCTCAAGGCTAAACATGGTGAGTTCTTTCAGCCTTTCCTCACAAGGCTTGGTTTCCAGCCCCCTGATCATCCTTGCCACCCTCCTCTGAACTTGTTCCAATTTGTTGGCATCCTTCTTGAAGTGCACTTTCCAAAAATGGACACAGTACTTAGATGAAGCCTAACCAGTGACCAGCTTGGATCCCTTTTTCTGCCAAAGCAGAAATTTCCATTCTGCCTCTCTTCAAAGCTTCATTCCCTAGTGCAGCTACTAAGAGCTTTCCTTCATCTTGAGGATGGATAAGACATCCTGCTTTCAAACCAGTCTTGTTAGAAAACTAGTCATTTTAGTATGTTATTTCCTCGGTCAATCAGCAGAAACTATTATGACCAGCCTCCCTTTGGGCTGCAGCTTTTGCCACATCTTGAATTTGTATATTATTTTAATTTTCTAATTTTCTCAGTCTCTCTTTCAGAGCACTATAATTAATCTACTGATCCATCTGCTCAGGAGTTGCTACAATAATTAAGTTCCTTTTCTTTTTTTATAATATGTACTGAGTGTCTTTAGGATAGTGTCTGTGAAAATTAAGTCTGTAATTCAAATAGATTGGAATTGTAGCACAAGCTATTTCCCCCAACACAATTCATAAATAACTATTCAGTCATTCTGATGAAGTAACAGTGCTTACAGCTGTTGTGTGCATGCTGCATATCTGGTGATGTTCTCTTCATTCCCAGATTCATTGTTACATGTGTATACATTAAAATTTTACATATGCATGTTAAAATGGTCATGTAGCAATACTATTCCTCACTACAATGTTCTGAACTCAGCGATAAGCCAGGTAAAGCCTAACTCATGGTCACATTAATTCTTCCAAAGTGGATATCATACTAATAGTGATGCAACTTAGAATTTAAACCCTCTCTTGGCCATTGATTGGCATTACCAGCTCATATTTATCATGCATTCTACTAGAAAGACCTTAGATCCTTTCCACATGTCCCACTCTTAAGACAGTTGGCACCTGCAAGCAGGCTTTGAAAATTTATGTTGAACATAGAAAATGAGCAGGTAATTGTTCCTGACATAGCGCTATTCACTTGACTGTTCTGTGGAATGTGGTAAACATTCTGTACGAAGCAGTAACCTGCTTCTTCCCTTCTATTAAAGATTTGTGACAATTCTAGTCACTCATTTGTACTGGGGAAAATAGTGTAGAAACCATAGGTTTCTTTCTTTCTTAACTTGGGCAAGTGGGGTGGCAGTTCTTAGAAATTTAAAGATGGGGTCACACATTCATGAATACTATTATTATTTGACCCAATTCCACTCAAAAGTGCAGCATATCAGGAACATGAATGGGACCAAATGGTGTTTTTGCCTGTTGTGGTGGTAAATATGCATTAGCTTATTCACTGATATGAGTTATCAGTTGTGATTCTAGGGCCAGTTCACACAGGTTCCTGAGAAAAAAGGTTGTACATGGCAAGACATTTCCAGAGAACATAACCATCTTTCACCCTCCCTTTCTTCTATAGTGCCTGGCTTCTCTCTAGATTTTGGGCAGAGGAGCAGGACAAGTCCAAAAACAATTGAAGCACTGGAGCAAGTAGCTGGATTGCAACAGAGGAGATAATAAGATGCTCTCTGAAGGTGACTGTAAAAGCTAGCAGAATCCTTCACTTCCTCAGTTGTGACTGAAGCCACATTTGTTGGTTTCAGAGTTAACCAGGGAAGAATCATCAAGACCTCAGGCATATAATTGAAAGTCAGAGATCAATAAAAGGAACAGTAAAACAAAGAATGTAAGTGTGAATGCTTAGAATGAGGAAGAAGAAAAAAATCATACATAAATGTCCTGTAGATTTCTTTTCTAGGAGGAGTTGAGCAAAACTCCTTAAATGTGTATGGGCATGTGAGACTGCTGTTTGCCACTCTAGATTTAGAATAATCATAAAGATAACCTGCTGACTCTTTGTGGGTAGGGTTTCTAACATTGTTAAAGCACCACATATACACATGTACACACACACACAAACACGCAGAGAGAGAGAGAGAGAGAGAGAAACACACCCCAACAGAGAGAGAGAGATAGAGAGAGAGAGAAACACACCCCAACTATCTTGAAACAACATATTTGCATGCTGTGGCATATTGCTGATCTGATCTAAAATTAGATACGTATTCTGGACATTGGGAGAAGAAGGCAACAAAGAAAAGACAAGTTTGAGAATAGTTGTATAACAACAGCAAGATTGGCTAAACTTAGATAATGTTTAATTTGCTATCAGAGTTTAGGATTCAAATGGATAAACCAAGGGTGAGGATTTAAAGGAACAAATGTTCAGTTTTGATCCAGGGTGAAAGGAATTAACCCTTAAGAGCCCAGGCAAGGCTTTTATGAATGAGACCTTGTCTCATTCATGGGCCAAACACTTGCTGAATTGCATGCTAGCATAACACAAGTGGTACAAACCTGGGAGAAAATTGTCCCAATTTAGGAAGTTAGGGCAGGCATTTACTGTTGTGTACTGAATCATACAACTCAGTGTGCAACAGCAGATACCTACACTAACATCTTGCAGCAATTCACTGCTGAGATTTACACCAATTCCATTATGCCAGTGGGTGTAACTAATAGAATTTTGGCTATGGAATGTTAATGAGAGGATGGTGTCCAAGTTACACCATTTTCTATTCACAATCTCCCTGTATTTTCCCACACCTGCTTCTTCCCCCAACCCTCAACCTGTCATGCACACTTGTGTTAAAGAGGAAAAGCTAGGATAACTCCTCAGTGCCTTTTGTCTAGTGCAGTGGCTCCCAACCTTGGGTCCTCGGATGTTCTTAGACTAAAATTCTCAGAGATCCTGGCCAGTACAGCTAGTGGTGAAGGCTTCTGGAAGTTTTAGTCTAAGAACACCTGGGGAACCAAGGCTGGGAACCACTGGCCTAGTACCTGTAAGAGTGTTCTCTCTGAAAACACTTTTATTATCAAGGAAGAGTGATAAAATTTTCAATGATTTTCTCATTTTTGGTAGGAATAATGAGTATCATTAGAATGCTAAATTAAGAAGATAAATTAAGAAGATTAGAGAATTTGTTGCCATGCCAGTTCCTGAGCTGTGTTTCATGATCCCTTGCTCATGAAAAAAAAACCTTATCCTCAAAAATGCACATTTTGAATTGGAGTTCTTGATCGACACACTCACTCTCTACCCAATGGGGCAGGTTCAATCCACAAAATGCAACCCTATTTTTCGGGAGAACATGGAAGAAACCATATAGGAAAAGCAACGTACATGAATCTTTCCCACCTCATCAACATTATTCTCAGTGGGAAGTTACTGCTGAAGTAAATGAAATACTTGTGTTGCTCTTACCTGCTGATGCCAGTCCTTATGACTAGTCAGCCCTAAGTTTCCTTTCTTGAACTTGTGTGTCAGGGATGTGTTTTCCTGGGGAATTAAAGAAGGTACTTCCCACTGTCTTTGGACTGTAGCTTTGGGTTCAAGTAGAGACTGCAACAATAAATCATGACATTTTAAGCCTCAAATCTCAGTCCATTTCTCTCTCCCTTTAAATAGCTCTTAAATTTCCTCTATTTTATACCTGTTCAAGGCATGCAGAAACATATCACTTAGTTGCTCAAGAAATACACCAAATTCATTATAACCTGATTGGCTACCAAAAGTACTTGAAGGTAACTTGCCTCATTTGCTGTTTGATCTAGCTTGGTTTTACTTGCTGTACGGCATACATCGCCCTTAGGAGTCTTTCCTGTTTGGAAAAATATAGGTTACATGTGTACACATTTAAAAGCATAACCATCCCACCTTGCCCAATGGGAGTCTGGTAGTAGAAGAGTGGAGCAATTAAAGTGGGTCATATTCTGGAGTCAAAGCAATGCCCTTGAGGATTGTGCACACAAGTATACCACATGATATCAGTTGTAATGTGAGAATGTATTTACTACTGTTTTGATATTGTAATTTACTGTGCTTTTTAGCTGACTGTTTTTCAAAGGTATATTTTAAGCTGCCTTGGGTCCTACAAAGGAAAGAGGCAGGAAATCAATGAATAAGTGAACTAACGAATTGTCTTGTTCTGAATGGGAGATGCTAGTGCAGCCTGCATAAACCATCTTAAAGGGCATCTGTGACTAAAACTAGGTACTTTACTTTTCTCCATTCATGAATGGTTTCTTGGCACAATAGTACATGTTTTGTTTTATATTTTACCTTAATACCAGTACCCAGAATAATGGCTTGTTTTAAATAGATCTAAACCTGCAGCAGTAGATGTCTATACTCTCTTATGCTAGAATACCAAAGTTTCTTAAAATAATTTCCTGGGAATTTGATTTACATCAAGTTTTGCTGGTCTTCTCTTATTCCGAAACAACTTTTCTATCGCTTCATGTATCCCATAAGAAGTGATCCATGGCTTTGAGAAATCTGGACTCTGATGTCTACTGGGTACAGTTCCAGGTCTGAATTCCTCCCATATTGGTCTCCTTCACAAGTGTCCAACACCAAAGCTGAAACCTAGCTGCCACTTCGGTGAAGGAACTCTGATAAGAGTTGAATGCACTGCCCCGGTTGTTTGGCAAAGCTTCTATAAAAGACAGCTTACTTTCAAAAGAAAGGTGACTTATAAAGTAACTTTTACTTACCACAGGAATCAGGGTGGCCTGATCCAATTCTGATTTTTTCTCCATCTTGTTTTGAGTTATGAACAACAGCACTTAGTTCCCGCTCCTACACAAAAGCACATGGTGAGAAAAGGAAACTCAAGAAATCCATACAAACTCTGTAGAAAACAAGATGACCACAATCCTGGATGATAACAAAAATTTATTAGCTATACTGTATTTCAAAAGATGCTTAAGTGCAAGCTCCTCACATAAGACCTCCTCTCACCAGGAAAAATAAGCTCCCATACTGTAAATGTGCAGAAATATAACATAAGCCACAGACTTGGCAGAAAACCCTTTTAAAACTCTTAATTTACTCAAACAACACTGTTACATAGTCAAATAATGGTAGCCCTATAAAGAATTGAGTTAGCTGCTTATCTTACAGTATGATACACACTACCCTCTACCTTGCCTGACTTGCATTTGGACACATGTACTTGCAAACTTCATGCCTCTGGTGATATTGGTTCTTGTCCACAAAAAACTCACGTCACGACAGATATAATACTCTTTAACAAACACTCCTTGCTGGATCCAGAAGAAGTAACATTCTTAAGACCACAGATCAGGTACTGGATTTATTGAAGATCATAGCTACCTCCCTTTACATCCCAAATTAGGTATCCATAAAACTCAATATTACTTAAAAAAAATATCCCCAGATTACTTTTACTTTTTGAGTTTTGTTTCTGTCTTCCAAGCTGTTACTCATGCCATTCAATTTTGTGCCATCTGCAAATTTGATTAGCATTCCCTGCACCCACTCATCCAAATCATTAGTAAAAACTTTGAAGAGTACAGGGTCCAGGACTAAGACTTGTGGTACCCCACCTGCTAACTTCTGCCGGTTTGAGAAGGAGACATTGATACTCTCTGAGTACAACTCTGTAAAAAAAACCTGTGTATCTGCCCAGTTGTTGTTGTTCTATCCAGCCCATATCTAGTTAATTTGCTGATCAGAATATCTTGGGGCAATTTGTCAAAAGCTTTGCTGAAGTCAGGATATATTATGTCTATAACATAGCCACTGTCTATCAAAGAGGTCAACCAATCAATATATGAGACAAGTTTAGTCGGGCAGGATTTGTTCTTTTTTTGATAGGGTGGAACTACAACACTCAGAATTCCCCAGCCAACATGAGCACATGAAAGAGAGACACTACCATAGGGCATAGGGAGACACTCTACCAGAGAAAAAGAAACAATATGAAGTATATTTGGGACACAGCTTGCATATCTTACTGAAAGAACACTGGTTGCTGGCCTATCGCTGAACAGAGCCCCAGGGCTCTATAAACTACAAAAAGGAATACAATACACACACTTCTTTAGAGAAAAGGGCACAACTTGATTGGTTACAGCAGCAGTCCCTGGCCAACATAGGGGACTGGATCCAGTGCATCAAAAGGCCTGATTGCCACTGGATGCCCACCACCGTTCACTTCAGCAGCTGGTGAAGGTTGCAGTAGAAGTAGCCATCTTCTGGAAACCACATGGGCGAATACCACTCCATGATTCTCACATATCTGGGGCAGGGTTTGGACCTTAAGGCCCCCAAGCTGGGCCAGACGATGACCCTGTGCTGGTCTCCCTGTACAGGGGGCGTTCCTTCACTGTTCTGGGTTAGTAGGCTCCTGTCTTTGCCCTTAAGCCATCCGGATCCACCCCCCCCCAAATGATCCAGACTGCCAACAAAGTTGTAAGTAAATTATTCACTGCATTCCCACACTATAGCAATTATACCCAACCTTCCGCAACCCACCACTCCACCCTTCTAAAAGAGGAAGGAAAGGAGGGGGAAAGGAAAAAATGGTGAGGTGCTGGGGAACAGCAGACTGGAAGAAGCCTGGTTGCAACCGCTAGCTTTTAAGCTGAGCAGGCAGGCCAGTGAAAGCCCTCCTTTCCCCGGTCACTGGCAGGAGAACCCCACTCCTTGTTGGCCAATCAGGACTGGCAGGGGGCTCTTTGGTAGCCACTTTTCCTCTTTCTGCTGGACCGCATGGCTATAGGCATGCCTGCCCTGGCACCCTGAGCCCAAGTGAGTCCCTGGCTCAGCAGCAGCAGCAACGAGGGGTGCCCAAGTAAGTCTGGGCCCCTGTTTTACCAGGAGAACACAGGGTGTGAAAGGGGTGCCCAAGTAAGTCTGGGCCCCTGTTTCACCAGGAGAACACAGGGTGTGAAAAAAAGGGGGTTGAACTGCTGTGAAGTGGGGAAAGGGAATAAAATTTGGGGAGAAGACTACTCTTTCGCAGAATACATCTGAACCTTTGGGGAACAGCTACAAATTCCTAGCGCACATGTGCGTCTTCTCTGTTTTCGGCTTCCAGGCTGGTTGGCTGGCAAAGGCAGTGCAACATTCTTTAATATGCATCTTCACATTTGTCAGAATTTGTGTCTCTGTGTATGCGTTTTCATATGAGCTTTGATGATTATCATTGTTTTGAACAGATGTTACTTTATTTTATCTTATCCTTTCCTATATTTATCTCAGTATTTTTTGAAAGCCATTCAAAAAATAAAACAGGTAAAATTAACACAAATTACTGCTTTGTATGGAGATGCTGTTGACTGAAAAAGTAGCAGAGATGCTTAAAAGGCATGGGATTTTTTTTACTTTTTGGACTACAAATCCCATTATTCTCCATTCTGGGAGTTCCATGTGACAAACCCACACCTAACTGTGCCTCACCTGGAGAAAAGGCCTGGCTCTGCTCTAATTTCCTGTTCAGAAAGGAAAATGACAGCTAGCAGTGGGGCAGCTTCCTTTTTTGCATAGAAAGTGGGCAGAGTTAGGCCTCTGCTAGACCCTGAAGCCTTCCCAGCTAATTTGAAGAATGGAGAGTTAAGGGATTTGTAGTATAAAAAATCTGGAAATCCCATGCCTGATGCTTAATACCTTTCCCTGCTCATGTAGTGCAGCTCTGAGTGGTACAAAGTTAGCTACTCTGACTTGGGAGGGGTCTTGGTCAGGCAAGAAAGCATAATCCCATTATCCATGTGATAGTCATTCTGTGGGTGGTACAAAGTTAGCTACTCTGACTTGGGAGTGGTCTTGAAAGCATTATCCCATTATCCATGTGATAGTCATTCTATGGGAGGCACTAGGATACCCTGTCAGCTTGGACTTGCATCAGTACATTCTAAAGTTTCACTTGCAACTCAGGAAAACTAGAAAATTACTTTAAAAAGTGAAATCTAGAGTCTTAGGAGCCGTAAGCCTCATGATCATATCCTATGCAAAAAGTAAGAAACCAGTCATTGAATCACCTTTCCTCACCTTTTGGAGTATTAAATTTGATTTTTCTCCGGGTTTCAGTATAACAGGAAGAGCACTTGATCTCCCTTTTCTTATTTTTTCAGACTTGGTGGCAGTCTTTTTCCTAGAGAATGGCCAAAGAGAAAAACGACAGGGCAAATGCTAGAGAAATACACTGCTCTTCAATATTTAGGAATGGAAGCTGAATAAATTTGCCAGAAAATATTTCCGCACTCCTCAGAACTTCAAAAGTGTAGACTCCCACTCCCATAATGAGAATCAGAAAGAAATGTAACTTCATTTATACAACAGGCCAAAAGGGAGAAGAGGTCTCAGAAAAAGTATGGGACTGGAATTGTATGCCAGTGATTGCCAGAAGTCAACTTATTTTTGGAAGAGAACACCACTGAGACCTGATCAAGAAGTTTATTTGTTTGTTGATTTATTTGACTTCTAGTTGTTTGTTTGTTTGTTTGTTTGACTTCTAGCCTGTCCATTTAGACTAAAGGTCTACTCTGGGCAGCAATACATACATCAGACTTTTGACTGACCTGATGGAGAGGAGGATTTTAACACTTGCTGGGGTGTCAGGTGCTCCTTTAAAGCTGTCCAGGAGACAAAAAGCACAAGTACAGTGGTGCCTCGCTTGACAAAATCGCTGTAGAACGAAATAGTTGTCAAGTGAAAGTAAAAAACCCATTGAAATGCATTGAAAACCGTTTCAGTGAGTTCGAATGGGCGAAATACCTCAGCATCCAGCGAAGATCCTCCATAGGGCGGCCTTTTTCTGGTGCCTGTAAAGCGAAAAAGCCTTCCTAAACACTGCGGGGAGCCGTTTTGAAACCCGATGAACAGCTGTTTTCTGATTGTCACAAAGTGAAAAATCGGTTCCCAAAGCAGGGAACTGATCATCATCAAGTGATTTTTTCCTATTAAAACATTGTTTAGCGATCGCTATAGCGATCGCAAAATACTCATCGTTAAGCGATTTCCTCGTCTAATAAGGTAATTGTCAAGCAGGGCACCACTGTACTGTGTCCTCCAATGTTTCCAAAAAAGTGAAACATCGTCAAGCAGGGCACCACTGTACTGTGTCCAATATTTCCAAAAAAGTGAAAACTCACTCTAACTACAGGGCTGGTGTTATTGTACCAAGAGAGAGAAAGTAATAGTGGCTGAAATCCAGTAGTAAGTCATAACTATGATAGGCTATATAAATACAATTTTGTTTTAAAAATTTGAAAAGTACTGACAATGTGACATCATAATTCACAAAAAAGAGTGTAGTTTTACAATTGGAAATTCTTAGCTGCACTTCTTAAAGCCCAGTTGTACAGATCCAGTAAATGGGAGGAAGGGGTTGAAATGGTTCCACAAGCTATGGGTAGCCACCAGAAAGACCCTCCTGTTTGTGGACAGTTTTGCCTTTGAAAGTGATCATATCTGAAATATGGTTACCAACCTTCACTATAATTTAGAGAAGAAAATACAGAATATATTCTTTCTTATGTTAATATGCTTTTGCATATTAACATAAGATTATATTAATAAATAGTATAGTTTCCTTACCTTGACAGAATTGGCTGAGAAGTTACTAGCTGTGGAACCAAGGCATTCATCTTATTCTCTGAACATTCCTCCATTGATCTTAATACAGATAGAAATGTCTTCCATGAGATTTCTAGTGAATCTCCAGTTTCCACAGCAGGAGCCCCAGAGAGACTTATCCTGCAAGGAGTAGGACAGCCTACTGTTTTTGGAGCACCCGAACACTCAGTTGTATCCTGATAATCACCAATCTCCAGTTTATGTTTAACAGCAGATCTCTGCTGATTTTGTTCAAAGATTGGCAGCCTCTTTTTCTGTGGCATTCCCACTATTCATCACATGAACAGAACACCAGATTCCACAGAAGCCCCAAAATACCAGCTACTGTTTAAACGCAGTGTATAGACCAGTCAGAGCAGTGGCATTCCATTGTAACCTTTCTGTTCTGCTGATTTTATTATCATTTTCAATATTTAATGTTTCCAGAGACAATGATGAGATATAATGGGTACATGATGGGCCAATAGAACTTTACAGAGGATGGCGTCTGTGATGTAATACTGTCATGCATGAAAGGTTAGAATTTTTGAGGATGTGATGATCAAGTTCCATGGAATTGCTGTTATCATCAGCAAGCAGAAAACGTTGCTTTATTGTTATTTAGTCACAATGGCACCACCTTACTCTGGCTGAGCTACTGTACATGTACAAATGTACAACCAGATTTTTCTGTAATGGGTACTGTGTTCCTGCATGCATGATTAATAAATCACTTTGATCAAAGATCAGCTGGGATCAATGAAAGGTTATATGGATGTAAACGGGAGATACAGATTAAAGGCCATGGTGATAGTCTAGAAGCTCGCATAGCTTCACATTTTAATACAAATGAGTTGTTCAGTGAAATAATAAAAGTATTGATATCCCTGGAGACTTGTGCTCTCTGGGGTTGATTGGGCAGTTGGTAGTGTCAACCAGACAATGAACAGTCTTTCACATACCCAGGAGCCCATATCACAGAGAGAAGAAACATAGGCTCATAAAATCTTGGAATTGTAAAGTTGGAAGAGACCCCAAGTATCACTGAGTCAAAACCCGTGATGTAGGAAATCTACAAGCAAAATATTCTGGACAGATGGCTATCCTTTACCTCCCAAGGTTGTCTATCCATTGTCAAACAATTTTTACTGTCCATCTCTTTGGAGATGCGGGGCTGCTTACAGTCTATACATTGTCAAACAATTTTTACTGTCTACAGGTTCTTCCTAATGCTTGAAATCTAATTTCTTGTTTGCATTCATTTGGGCCTACTCTTAGGAACTGCAGAATCTTGTTTGCATTCATTTGGGCCTACTCTTTGGAACTGCACAAAACAAGCTTGCTCCATTTTCCATGTGACACTCTATTAAATATTTGAAGATGACTTTTATATCTCCTATTAATACTGTCTTCTGCAGGCCTAACATGTCCAACTCCTTCAACCTTTCCTAATAAGATTTTGTTCCCAGACCCTTCACTATCTCTGTTGCCCTTCCTTGGACATGTTCCAACTTCTTAACAAGCTTCTTAGACTGGGGTGCCCAGAAGTAGGCACATTACTTCAAATGAGGTCTGACTAAGCACAAAAACTTTAAGATCAGGCATGCATAATACTTGAAGCTGTGAATGGGTTAAGAGAACGGAAGAACTTTTATATTATCATAATCGAACCATAGAGAAAATTAGTCCACAGCAACTTCTGGGAACTTTCTCAATCCACACTTGTGCATGTTCACAACAAAGCATTCCCTAAATCAGCCTTCCCCATGTCTTCTCAGATAAGAAACACAGTATGTACAATAGTCTATCTCCTGTCGGCCAGAGAAGTCTGTAACTCAAAAAGTCTGTAAGCCAAGCCGTCTGTAAGTCAAGGGTCCACTGTACGTACAATAGTCTATCTCCTGAATACCTACTCCAAAGTAAGATGAACTACATCACTGAGGAATAACCATGAGCAGTAGTTTCTGGGCATTCAAAATATATTTCTTTTTATACAAATACACCATGTCTTGTGTAGCCAGATACATAGTGAAAAGCAGCACGGTGCATAAATAATGGCTACACATAGCTGCTCAATAAAGAAGTCGTGTTTACCTATGAATCAGCATGGGTAAAAAACTGGAGCATCCAAATCCAATTCTTTGAATGGCCATAGAAACAGACCCCATTTGTTTACCCATCTATCTAGAATTTCTCTCTCACACACCCCTCTATCATTTTGCTCTGTAATGTGCACTCTTACACACCATCTTTCCCCATTTACAGATACTATATCCCTTCCCACCACTTAAAGCACATATAAACCTCATTCTTCTTTCCACAACACTTCTGTCCCTATCTATACTCACCCTCAATTATATACTATTAATCCACACTCCCACCCATTCCCTAACGTTGTCACATACCTTCCAATAGACCGCCACTTTATGTACATGTCACATTTGTATCTGTATGTATATCCATATTCATTATCTCTTACACACAGCCCATTCTCTCACCATCTATATCCTTTCCTCCATACATTACCCACTCTCACGTGTGCACACACATCATTATTTTATTCTCATACACACCTTCCATCCACATTATTTTTTCTTACTTTCTGATTCTCTTTTACAGTTACACCAGAAAAGTCTAAACATTTTATTTTATTCTCATACACACCTTCCATCCATATTAATTCACACATTATTTTTTCTTACTTTCAGATTCTCTTTTACAGTTACACCAGAAAAATCTAAACATTCAGATACCACCCACTCCCATCTATGCCAGTTTGTCATAGGTGTGTTATGTGCTGTCAAAAATGATTTGATTTTTAAAAAGGATAGAGATAGCCATTGCAGAAAAGAAGTGCTTGGATATCAAGGCTTGGGTAGATATCAAAACTGTTGGAACTAAGGAATTGTACATATTGAGGTTTGACTTGCTACAGAGAGTTTCAGTACTAAGGAACTCCAGGTATTAAGGTTATGGATTACCTCAGGTAGCTGCAAAGCAGCATATAGAGCATATGTGGCTTTGAACACATGACAGCAGTCTGTTTCAGCTTCTTTGCTCCTTGTGCTCCCACAGTACTGGCTTTCGCTGATATAGTCAGAGGAATCGGTCATTTGTTGTTAACCAAGAACAGGATCCCCAGCCCTGCATAGATTAGGTCAGTGGTTCCCAACCTTGAGTAATCAAGGTGTCCTTGGACTGCAAATCTCAGAAGCCCTGGCCAGCATGACTGGTGGTGAAGGCTTCTGGGAACTGCAAAACATCTGGGTTACCCAAGGTTGGGAACAACTAGTCTAGCTAATTAAATTGCACCAGTAGTTTTTTTAGTCCAAATGGTCATTGCATCACATGTTTAAGACCAAAGCAGATGGAACAAAAAACACATGTCTAGTGGACCAGAACTATATCCTAAGACATTTCTCACCAACAACTGGTTTGGACAACCAACATTCTGGGGGTGGAATCTTCATAGTAACAATAGCTGACAATTCAGACTCATAAACAGAGGTTAAAATCCTATTGACTAGCACAAGTTACAATTAGAGTAGATGCAATTAGAATTCCACCATAATTGTAAGAATTTATAACCGATTTTTTTTCACAAACTGTAGAAATTTCACACGAGCTTTATGTGCTGCAACTATAGATGTCAGGTGAAAACCTTTGACAGGCCAGAGGTCAGTTTTCTCCCCATGGACATCTGTGGCTATACAGATAGGGAAAAATAATACAGTAGTACCTTGGTTTGTGAAACAGATCCATTGTACACGACGTTACATAGTACGGAAATTTTGCAAACCAAAATGCCAATTGCGCTACGAAAGTGGCGGCACTATGGGCCCAATGCACCCTGGGAAATCCCTTTCGTAGTGTGAAAAAAGGAGAAGAAAACGTAAACCGAGGCTTTATTTCTTATGGATTTTGGTTCGTAAACCGAAAATTATGTAAGCTGATGCGTTCGCAAATCAAGGTACTACTGTAATAAGAAATCCCTCCAAAAGCAAACAAGACTGGAAATCAACTATCAATTTTTCAGAGTGTATCTTTTTTGGATGTTAATCAATGTTCATGGGGCAGTACAATCTATTAAAAGGAGAAATCACTACTCCTAAGATCACCAATTCACCTTTCATTGTGGAGAAAACTTTTACGAGTGAACATTTGGTGGAGTCTGGGATCCACAAAAACAGCCTCTAGGGGCTGCCCTTTCTCTTGTGTCCCAACTTCCCCAACCCAATATCTATTTCCATTGAGCCATCATTTTTGTCTTAGGCAAAAATGCAACTGAACCAGTTGTCTTGTGTTTTCAGCTTGTCAGTACTAAGAACTAAGGAGGACTTACAATGAAAACAAATTGCTAAATCAAAGTAATTTTTTATATTTCTAAAAATATTTTATTTAGTTTTCCTTAAAAGTTATGATACATAATATACATATACCATTAAAACTCACATCTATGTACCAACATCAAGTAACGGTTCTTACAAAGATCTGAGGGATAAAGCTGAATCAGAGAAACAACTGAAAACAACAGTGGTTTCTATCAAAGAAAGAAGATACTAAAGTGGAAGTATTAAGATTGCTAGCAACTAGATAGCCAGATTTGACACACACACACACACAAGCTGTGCTAGGTACATTACAACTTTGTAAGGTTTAAAAACATAGTTTCTGGATGAGCATTACAGGATCTGAGATAAGTGACAAACACCATACACAAATGATACACTCAGGGGCTTCCACTGTGGCAGAAGTACGTGAAATGTCAAGCTACTTCAGGCCCATACAATTGGAAGGAATTTGCTGATGATCAGAAATTTTCAGTGTCTAGGGAAGAGATAACAGCATCAACATAATTACTGGAGATTATTTTAAGTGCTAGTAGCTCTAAATGCTTTTCATTAAAAATTGAAAATCTTCTAATTTGGATTGTTTATTGCCTAGAATAAATGTCTTGCTTTACAAAAATGATGATGCTTCCTCCAGCCAACCTCAGTTCCTTTAATTTTAACCGGCAAATCTCCAAAACCATCACAGGCATTTTCAGCTGTTGACAAAACTTTGATGCAGCGGTTTCACTTTTGCCAACCTGGAAAGACCAAGTCTGAGACCTTGAGTGGGTGATTTCACTGGGACTCTTCTCAGTTGGTTGGAACCACTTCCAGAGGCACCTAAAAAGATTATCAGAAAGATGTGTTAAGACTGAATATTTTAGTCTGATCCGCAATCTCTCATTTATACATCATTACATATTTTTATATATTTCTCTCTCTTTTCATTTTGCCTTTTGTTTGCACTGGGATGCAGTGATGCTCTTTGGGATTATTATTGCCCTGTCTCCCTACTCTTTTCAGAAGCCTTCCATAACTTGATCATAATTATGTACGTATAGAGTTAATACGATTTAACATAACTTGATCATAATTATGTACGTATATAGTTAATACGATTTAACAACAACAACAACAAAAAACACACCATTTTCTGTGTCAATTTTCCAAAGTCTCCCCCTCTTTCTGATATAATTTTTATAGAGATTTCATGATTCAAACCAAAGAACCAAAATTCCCAATGCCACATTCTTGTTAATTTGGCAAATATGCTATTTTCCTGGTCACAGACAGCAATAAGTCTTGCAACAGGAACTGCTACATTTGTGGGTAATGGAGGCTGTGTCAAGCCAGTCTAATTCCAAAAGAGCAATCATCAGTGCCCTTGGGTCAAGCCAAGCATTTCAAGGCAAATACTCTGTCACCTTAAATTGTAGGCAGTGGACAAACAGGTTGTCAGACAGTCCAGTATTGCATTCTGAGCAATCCTGGCAAGACAGAGATGGGAACCTCTGAGAGAATGTTAATAAATAATCTCTCATAAATTAAATGAGTTGTATCCCAGAAATTAATTGATGTAGCTCACAAAATGAATAGCTGTCAGCATACCTCTCCAATTCAGCTGTTAAATGAGTTGTATCCCAGAAATTAATTGTTGTAGCTCACAAAATGAATAGCTGTCACCATACCTCTCCAATTCAGCTGTTTCTACCGTGTTTCCTCCAAAATAAGACAGGGTCTTATATTAATTTTTGCTCCAAAAAACGCATTAGGGCTTATTTTCAGTGGACGTTTTATGATTAGGGCTTATTTTCAGTGGATCTTTTATGTTATAGCCATGTCATCTTCTTCTGGTTGCTGCACAATGCCACACAATGGTGGAAGGCAGGGTTTCACTTAACTAGGGCTTATTTTAGGGGTAGGGCTTATATTACGAGCATCCTGAAAAATCATACTAGGTCTTATTTTCAGGTTAGGTCTTATTTTTTGGAAAACAGGGTAACTAATTAGCAACAGTGGATCTTTTATGTTATAGCCATGTCATCTTCTTCTGGTTGCTGCACAATGCCACACAATGGTGGAAGGCAGGGTTTCACTTAACTAGGGCTTATTTTAGGGGTAGGGCTTATATTACGAGCATCCTGAAAAATCATACTAGGTCTTATTTTCAGGTTAGGTCTTATTTTTGGGAAAACAGGGTAACTAATTAGCATTAGATCTTTAGACACTGCCACTCCTTTTACTCAGATATTTGAAGCCCTCCTCTCTCTTTGGTAAATGGGTCTCAAATCTACCAGGCTCTCCCCATATTCTGACTTCTCATTGGCTGAACTGGTCTTTCTCCCCAAGGTTTTCATGAGAGTGCTGTCAGCTGGACCAATGAGCTTTTTCTGTTCATTGGCCCCTCTCCAACTGCAAGATGTCCTCTGCACATTCCAAAGATGGTCAAGGTGAGGCATGACAGGAAGAGAACCATATTATACCTCCACCTCACCTCACCCAGACATTCTGGTGTGTACAGAGATGTATGATGAATGAATGTGATAGGAGTTATAAATATACCTGGGGGTGTCCAACTGGGTTTCTTAGTTGTTGAAGGGCTGGATGTTTTTAATGGTTTTCCAATTAGCTCTGGAGAACTACATGCATTCTGCAAAGTTGTCTTAGATTCTTCTTGAACTAGTCACACAATGGAAAAACAGGGAAAGATAAATGAGAGAAAATCTTCAATAACCAAATTTGAAGGATGGATAATATAGAATGCATTCTATATTTAAGAAAACTTGGAAGCTTTTAAATAGTAACAGATAACAATAGAGTCAAAACATTTCTCAGATACCTTCAATGAACAAATTAAAGAAGTTTTATTCTAACAAGTTTTCAACCTTTAAAAATGCAGTAATCATTTGAATCCCAAGCCCAGGTAGAACAAGAGATTGAAATGACTCATTCAGGAATGGATTTGGGAGCACAACTAACTTCTTGGATATTGTTCTTCAGTGTAACTGACATAGGAAGCACATTTATTATGTCTGCCAACATCTGTATTGCAGAAATTAAATTACTGAATCAAACCCATTTGCATTCCACCCCTTAGGGACAAACCCAGATTTATAATTGTTGCTGTTTCAACTTATATACTGCACAATAGTGCTAGAGCACTCTCTGGGCAATTTACAACATAATTAAGCAAACAACAACCCTGGGTGCTCATTTTACCAACCATGGAAGAATGTAATGCTAAGTAAACCTAGAGCCAGCTACCTGAACCTATCAGGATTGAACTCACAATGGGAGCAGAGGCTTGAACGCAGTACTGCAGTTTCACCACTGTGCTACAGGGCTTACTGATTGATAGCTATTCTTTAAGTCAGTGGACCCCAACATTGGGCCTCCAGATGTTCTTGGACTACAACTCCCAGAAGCCTTCACCACTACCTCTGCTGGCCAGGATTTCTGGGAGCTGAAGTTTAAGAACACCTGGAGGCCCAAAGTTGGGGACCACTGCTTTAAGTAACTCTAGAAATAACATATTTTTATTCAGAAGTCTTACTGAGACCAATGGCTCTTATATCTATGTATTGGATTACAGGTGTTGCTATTCAGAATCAAGTTTCACTTTCCTTAAACTGCTGCAGAATGCACAGTCCTCACCAGAAGGACATGAAGGACACTTGCCTCCCTTTTGCTGGCCCTAATTACAGAGAAGTAACCAGTTAAGATACAATTCTGGTGATAAATACAGATCGTTTTTTCCTCTCTGCACCAGATGCATTTTGGACTGGACCCAAAACTCTTTAGGAGATTCATTACATGATCTCTATTCTTTTCATCAGTTTTTCTGAAATATGTCCCATCAGATGAACCATTTTTTGCAGAAAAATTAAACACATTTACAGTACAGTGACAAAAATCCTCCTGGCGTTCATATACGTTTACTATAACTTCCTGCAGCTAATTTTGGCTAATAAATGTGCCAGGGCACATATCAGTTGCATGATTCAATGCATGGTAAGGCACATGTTTGCACCTTGTCAATTAGCCACCACAAGTTATGCAGATTTTACAGGAACACCAATAGGATTCTGGCCAATGTGCATAAACTATATCCATTATGCTTTATAGTAGGGATGAAATTACTGCATCCAGCAAATGTACATTTTGTATTGTGAATGTTTGTCAAATGCTTCCTTCATAAGAAACAAGAATGGTCAAATTTGTACATATGTTCTGCAACTACAATGCTGTCCTGCTTATTCATAACAAAATCAATGCAACATGGAAACGGTGCACAATCTACAGGAAATAACTTGCAAAAGGAATTTCAAATGATTCAAGAGGTTAACAGAATCGTAATGGAGTTGCAAAACATTTGCATTGTATTCTGTCTGTTTCTCTTCCCATGGTCTAGTTTTATTATTTGTTTTTAATATAAAATAACCTGGTTTCACGGACAAATCCCAGGGAGAAAAATGCAGTGGAATGATATATGAATAAAAAGTCATAAGACTATTTGTACTGTAATTTTGATACTTAGCAGGGCATATTAGGATGCTGTAATCAAGTAGTGATGTAAAAATGAGAAAAAAAATGAATGGGATTGAGTTGTTTTTATGTCAAATAAAGAAAAAATTGTTAGGTGGCAAAAGTTGTTACTTATAAAGCTGCTTATAAAATGAAGTTAAAATATGTTAATATCCAAACTAAAAACAAGCGATCTGAATTAGGCTTTCTTTATTTGCCTCCATTTCACAATCTGTTGCCATCTTTTAAATAAACAAGAAGCTGAATTTGTGAAAAACATGAAATGGAAAATTAATTATTCTTCCACATAACATCATTCATTCATTCATCATAAGGATAAGAATGCAAGTGAAAGTATGTTTCAAACAAGCAACACTGTGTATGCTCCTAACTATATTGTTTCAAACAAGCAACACTGTGTATGCTCTTAACTATCTGAAAACCAAATACAGTGGTGCCTCGCTTAACGGGAGCTCCATTTAGCGATGAAACCGCATAGCGACGAACTTTGTGATGTTTCCTACGCGGTTTTTTCGCTTTGCGATGATCGGTTCCGTTTCGCTTACCAATCATTGCAAAGCGAAGATTTTTAAACACCTGATCGGTGGTTCCAAAATAGCCGCCGGGTAAAAAAAATGGCCGCCCGCTGTGTTTAGGGACAGATTCCTCGCATAAGAGGCAGCGAAAATGGCTGCCGTATGGAGGATCTTCACTTTAAGGTGAGTTTTAAGCCAATAGGAACGCATTAAACAGGTTTTAATGTGTTTGTATGGTCTTTTTAAAATCGCATAGCGATGAAATCGCTTAGCAGCGATTTTTGCTGCATGGATTAACGTCGCTATGCGAGGCACCACTGTACAAGAAAGCTGAACATTACACTGGCAGGGATTCATGAAAGAATTCAAACTGCTTACCCATTAAATTCCTTGCTGATTTGGAAGACTTCTTTATTTTCTTTTCACTTCTGATATTTAACTTCGTTCCTCCTTTCTTGTTTTCTTTAATTTTTTTCTTCACTACAAATTCATCATTATCATCTTCACTGAGGCTAGAATTATTCTCTGACTCTTCAGCTGAAACCAGAAACAATATAAAGATGGTGAAATACCATGAAATGGTGAAAATTGGCAGCAACAGTTAGGTATAAAGTAATGGGATGCATTTGCTAAATAATAAGTTTTGAAAAATGCTTTCCTTCTTAAAAACAAAAAACAACCCCTGAACCCCCAAGTAATCTAAGAATTATGTCAAAAGAAATGGAGCTAGAGCTGACAGGCCTGCAGCTAAACATTTATTTTCCATTTCCTTAACTTTTCCCAGACCAACTTTTGTCAATTTTCCTGAACATTCAAATATTATCCCAAATTTAAAAAACTGATAGGTTTCACTGGATTAAAAATCTTATAAACTGCTCTAAACATTGCTATCTGCACAAACATGTTTTTAAAATTACATGAAGATAAAAGCTTCAGTTCAGTGAATCCCTGAACAATAACAAATGACGTATTTTTGTTTTTTAAAAATATTATATAAACAAATCCAAATCGCTGAAATCCTACTGCTTAGCACAGTAAGTTTCATTAGAGTAGGACTATTTTAATAAATGGAATTTACAGGAGTGGACTTACTAAATCCCCACTGATTCAATTCATCTACTAACTTTTTTTTAGAAGAGATAGCCAATTTAGTCTACGCTAATATACCAGGCCAAAACAAAATAAAAATAAAAAATAAAGAAGACAAAACATGGTGACATCTTAAAGATTAAGTGCTGTATTTTAATGTGAGCTTTCATGGACAAGTCCACTTGCTCAGAGCAGGCTACAATATGAAGACTATAAGTCCCAAAGTTAATATGTTCTTCTTCTTCTGCTGCTTTCTAGTCTGTGAGATGCCCCCACATTGCCTTCCATTGAGAAGGTCAGTTGTGGTCAAACAAACTCTTTTATTTTTGTTGTTGTTGTTTAGTCGTTAAGTCATGTCCGACTCTTTGTGACCCCATGGACCAGAGAAATGCCAGGCCCCGCTGTCTTCCACTGCCTCCCGGAGCTTGGTCAAATTCATGTTGGTAGCTTTGATGACACTCTCCATCCATCTCGTCCTCTGTCGTCCCCTTCACCTCTTGCCTTCAGACTTTCCCAACATCAGGGTCTTTTCCAGGGAGTCTTCTTCTTCTTCATTATTATTATGTATAAAATCCATCTATGCTTATTTAACATTGTGTCACCTGGGTTCAGCTTATAATCATTTGTTAATACAGTGGTGCCTTGCAAGACAATTGCCTCGTGGGGCAAAAAACCCGCAAGACGATTGGTTTTCGCGATCCCTATGGTGCTTCGCAAGATGGTTTTTTCTATGACCATGCTCCGCAAGATGAATAAATGTCATTTATCTTGTGAGGTTCCCTATGGAAACATCGCAAGACGATTTTTTCACTAGACGATTTTTACGGAACAAATTAAAATCGTCTTGTGAGGCACCACTATACAATATATATTAAGCTCTTAATCTATACAACATACTTCTAACCATTGATAAAACAAGTTCCATGTTTGATAATATTCTGCATCTTCCTTTCCTTTAATTTTCAGTGTCAGTCTATCCATTTCGGCACAGTCCAATATCTTTTTAATTATTTCTTGATCTGTAGGTGTTTCATTTTTCCAGTGTTGTGCAAATATAATCCTTGCAGCTGTTAAAATATGCAGTATTAAATATACATTTTGTTTATCAACACTTTCTGGTATTATACCTAATAAAAAGAGTTCTGGCTTAAAATCTACATTTTTGATTATTTTAACAAGCCATATATGTATTTTTTCCCAAAAATTGTTTGCTTTATCACAGGTCCACCAAAGATGATAATAAGTTCCAGTTTTTTATGACATTTCCAGCATTTACTTGACCTAGCATTTACTTGACCTATTAGAGTACATGTAAGCTAATCCATCGGATGGTAAATGCTATCTATAAAACATTTTATATAGTTTCTCTTTATAAGATGTTGCTATTGTCATTTTATAGGTTCAAGACCACAGTTTTTGCCATTTTCCAAAGTCAATATTATATCCAATTTTTTAGGAGACTTTTAATGTTTTCTGGTACTTTAGGGAGGTTTGCTTTTTTGATATGTTGTATTGTTTTTTTCAAGGGAAAATTATTGGGTATCATACAGATTAGCATAATATTCTTCAGTTTTTTATTTTCTCTTTTTAATATTGTAAGTTTCCATTTTCATCTTGTAGCTTCCTTATTAATCTTTTTTGTTTTTCTTTTTTCAATCTATAGGATAGCCATCTTCCAGGTTTGTTGGCATTCTCAAAGAAATTTTGTTTAGCCCTTTTAACTTGTTGAGCTAATTCTTCTGATTCTATTAAGTTTAATTTATGTTTCACTATCTTCCAGGGAGTCTTCTCATGAAATGGCCAAAGTATTGGAGCATCAGCTTCAGGATTTATCCTTCCAATGAGAACTCAGGGTTGATTTCTTTTAGAATGGATAGGTTTGTTCTCCTTGCAGTCCAGGGGACTCTCAAGTGTCTCCTCCAGCACCATAACTCAAAAGCATCAATTCTTCGGCAGTCAGCCTTCTTCATGGTCCAGCTCTTGCTTCCATACATCACTACTGGAAAAACCATAGTTCTGACTATGTGGACCTTTGTCAGTAAGGTATTGTCTCTGCTTTTTAAGATGCTGTCTAGGTTTGTCATCGCTTTCCTCCCAAGAAGCAAGTGTCTTTTAATTTCGTGATTGCTGTCACCATCTGCAGTGATCATGGAGCCCAAGAAAGTAAAATCTGTCACTGCCTCCATATCGTCTCCTTCTATTTGCCAGGAGGTGATAATATTTTATTTTATTTTACATGAACTCAAATAGTACTTGCTTGGCATATAATAGAATGTGTCTCTTTAAGGGTGCCGGGGAGTTTTGACATTCTCCCAAATGAGCTAATCTAGTCTTCAGAGCTATGGAGGGCAAAACCCCACTTCCTCCATCAAGTCCAAGATACCCCTCAAGCGCACTAGGAACAGGGTATTACACCAGGGATGGTGAATGCAAGCTTGTAGCCTTCCCTGCACTCAGGTAGTTTCAGTGCACAGCCTGCCGGTCCTGGATACTCCTCTGAGAGTGTGGGTGTCCCCACAACCTGGTATGCCTCCCCTAAGTCCACCCAGGTGCAGGAAATCACACTGTGCCTATGTGAAATTCATGGCAGCAGTGGAGTAGTGGGTCGAGCCCTTGCATGCCCCTGCTTGGCATCTGGCTCTGGGAATGGCCATCCCTGCGAATGCAGTGTGCCCAGCACTAATTTCTCCAACACCTCGCCTCTCATTGCCTCGCCTTGGCCCAGCACACCCTGGCCACTTCCTCTGAGGGAACACAAAACTCCACCCAACGACTGGAGTGTGGGTCTTGAGGGTAGATGATCACCTAGCCTTTCTTGGAAAGTCCAAAGGTGAGCTGATTGTGTGTCGGTATTCACTGGCTCATGTGGAGTTTGAAAGTTTACATTGCCCAGCGGAGACGGAGCTATTGGGCTCACATAGTCAATGTTGGTTCCCATCTCTTTGAGTTTTTTTTTAAAAAAGAAAAAGGAAATCTACATTTGACCCATTCATTGATACTTGTAATAATTTTGCAAGGAATAACTAAAACATGCCTTTTTGAAACTTCAGAAGGTCTTTAACATTAGCAGTTTGAAGAAAAACAGGGCTCAGCTATCTTGTGGAAACTTTGATATTCATCCCAAAAATGAACCAGTAAATTCATCTGTTCCTTTGAAGCAACTTGTTCAGAGCTTTGTCAAAGTGGATTACAAATATTTCTCACTGTTCAGGTAAATAATAATAATAATAAAGCTTTCTTTTTCCAAGATGAAATTGTTGTGTTCTTTAGCTATCTGAGAAGATTCTACTGAATATCTCACAGACACAGTTGCAAGAGTTAAATGTCATTTTCTTCACTGCAGTTGCAGAGCCTACAGAAACTCAGCCGTTATAACAGTCTTTGATTGCATAAACAACCACACTAATTTGCATGGCACATAGTTTTTTGCCATTTTTTATTCTCTGAACAATTTTTCTAGTTTTTGTAGAGGCTGTCACTTCATATTCTCTGATTTTACTGTCTGAACTTGAACTTGGCTTTTAACCTAGATACAAAGCAATGGACTGTTGCCTTGATTCAATTTTCAGGTTCTTCTGATGTTGTAGTACTTTTGCGTGAGACTCCGCATCTCTAATTCCCATATTAATTAATTCAAAAATTCTGCAGCACACATTACAATAACCTTTGCCTTTGTTTCCAGCAACTGGTGATAGCCATGGAACAAAGTCAGCATGAAGTCTGATATCCAGTCATTGCATTATTAAAAACTGTCCTCTTAAATGCCATTTTCAAAATAAAATTTCAGATATAACTGCACAGAAACACCTGCCTGACACCGCCATTTAGACTTTTTTATTTGGCAAGTAGGAACTTTCCAAAACTGGGATGGATAAGCATATCAGCAGCAGGAAGAAGGTGGAGCTTAAAAGTCTGCAGATCATTGCTATGTGAACAGATCATTGCTATGTGAACATATCTAAGCCAGTTTCCTTGATTTTCCTTGATGTCTCACCCATTTCTTTGACCTTCCAGAGTTTTTAGAAGGGATGTAACTGAGCTTATGCTAGTGTTAGGACCATTGTAAGCACCTTGGAAGGATATCCTGCTCTCTCATTTTGAATGTGCAGTTTCAGTCTGCTGTTCACCAGCAATTTTAAATGTTTCCATATATGTGTTTGTGAGGCTGGGACTACCTCTAAAGGCATTCCACAGAGTGTACTGTCCATCTCTACAAGATTTAGAAGGGATGTAACTGAGCTTATGCTAGTGTTAGGACCATTGTAAGCACCTTGGAAGGATATCCTGCTCTCTCATTTTGAATGTGCAGTTTCAGTCTGCTGTTCACCAGCAATTTTAAATGTTTCCATATATGTGTTTGTGAGGCTGGGACTACCTCTAAAGGCATTCCACAGAGTGTACTGTCCATCTCTACAAGAGGAAAGACTTGTTCACCAGCAATTTTAAATGTTTCCATAGATGTGTTTATGAGGCTAGGACTACCTCTAAAGGCACTCCACAGAGTGTACCATCCATCTCTACAAGCGGAAAGACTGAGGAAGATTTGACTACCATTGTTGGGGATTTACAGGAGCTACATTTAGAGTCAGAAACACCAAAGGGCGCCATTTTGGCGGGAAAGCATTTGAGAGCATATAAAGCATGTTCTCAAATACTTTATACCTTGGGGAAGGTATAAAAGAGGAAAGAGAAAAAGGAGAGAAACAGTTCAAAGGTAGAGGAGGAAAAAATTCGTTGGGTACAGAAGGAAAGAGTAGAAAAGAAAGGGGATTTAGTGGAAATAATACAAGAAGACCTCTGGATGGGGGAACGGGTAGAATTTAAAATTCCTAGAGAATATGCTGAAAAGGAATGAAAAAGACAGATATATAGGAAGCCCCCTTACTGGGGGGAGACTGAAGAAAGATGAAAAGGAAGAGAAGTTCAGCGAAGAGAACAGCAGAGATGTACGGAGAACCCTGAGAGTTCCTGTGGAGTCAGTCCCTTCCAACCAAGATTGAGGCAGAACCTGGGCAAGAAGGTTTGGGAGCCACAGGTGGGCTGGTTTTCCATCCCCAGCAATGATGTTTGTTTGTTTGTTTGTTTGTTTATTTATTTCATTTATACCCCGCCTATTTAGTCAATTGTGACCACTCTAGGCGGCTTACAACACACAATTAAACATATGACATATCACATAACATAATTTGCATAAAGAAATTTTCCCCAAAGATGGCGAGAAACAGGGTATATTGTAGTGGAAAAGAAAAAAAAGAAAAAGTAGGAATTAGCTGGAAAGGGGGAAGGCCTAATGTTAACTGACCACGCATCTGATGGACTGGGCCCCACATCTAAATGGAATCATGGAGTTATGAGTTCTTCTCCCTTACCGTTAAAAAGGGATATGGTATGTTTTGAAAAGGTTAAAAGTTATGACTTGCTATTGAAACTGGAGACAGAAAGTGTTGGCATTAATGAAGCAGAAAAATTGTTAACAAATAAACCAGTTTTATTAGAAGATTTTGGCTTATAGCGTTTTTCATTAAGGTGGAAGGTGTCAGAGGAGGTAAGAGGCATGGGACAAGATCAGTGTTTAAAGATAAAATGTAAAAGAACAACTGTTGAGCCAACAAGCTGAAACTGTCATCTACTTGATGCATTCATGATCTAGTTGAAAAGACTAAAGATGTCAGGAAGGGAATCCTCCACTGATTTCGAGAAGGTTCATTCAAATGTTATTAAAATTTCTACTCCTTATTAAACTATGTAACATCAATTACTGTAGTACCTCGGTTTACGAAATGAATGTGTTCTAAGACATTATGTAAAGTGACAAATTTGTAAACCGAAACGCAGATTGCCACAGGAACGGAGGCAGTGCTATAAACCTTAGGAAGGGAATCCTCCACTGATTTCGAGAAGGTTCATTCAAATGTTATTAAAATTTCTACTCCTTATTAAACTATGTAACATCAATTACTGTAGTACCTCGGTTTACGAAATGAATGTGTTCTAAGACATTATGTAAAGTGACAAATTTGTAAACCAAAACGCAGATTGCCATAGGAACGGAGGCAGCGCTATAAACCTTCAGGTAAAATGCATCCTGGGGAAACTTTCTTTGTAAATCGAAACAAACAAAAATAATGTAAACTGAGGCATTATTTTCAATAGATTTCCGTTTGTAAACTGAAAATTATGTTAACCGAGGCATTTGTAAACTGAGGTACTACTGTACTAAAAAGTTACAGTATGTTGTACATGCTCTGTTTCATTTTGAAATAAGAATGTTACCAATACTCTAATAATTGTTAGATGATTTCCTCCTCCTAATATTGGAGATCACTGTAGCATTTTAAAAACCCAACAATACAAGAACAGGCACTCTCAGAATAGAATTTCATTATATCAGAGGCAAGCAAATGCCACACGTCTGTACGTGCTGACCAGTAGACCTTGAAGGGCCACAGCCTTCCTGTACAGCACCCACCCACCCTCAAATGCTCTCTTAAAATGGGCTCAAGATAATTGAAAAAAAAAACAACCACCTATATTCTTTAGTGGCCAATTAAAAGCATCTACAGTTTTTTGTAGTATGTGGAGGGTAATGGTGGAAAATGGCAAAATCACCATAAGGGTACAAGGGGATTTCTTGAGCAATTAATTTTTTCCTAAAATGGAGGTATGGGTGGCTGGGAGTCACAATATTTGGATATGCCCTCCATAGAGCCTAACAGACAATGAAAATATGAGTCCCAGCATCCTCTGCATCTGGGAGGACCTGGTCCCTGGTCGGTCAAGTACTATCGGGGTAACTGGCAGACCAGGTGCGGAGTGCACTGGGAGTTAGAGTCCCACTCCCTATTAGGCTGTAAAGAGGGCACCTCTTGAAGAACAACTTGCATGAATCACCGTAGCAGGAAGGGGTAAGTGAGAGGAAAAGTGTCGGAAGTAAGTAACAAAAGGCCTTCTCACAAGGGCAAAACATATACCGTATTTTCCCATGTATAAGACAATACTTTTGTCAAAAATCTTTAGACTAAAAATTTAGGGTCGCCTTATACACGGAAGCACTGTAAGCTTAGAAGAGAACAAAAACAAGTGGAGGGGGGAAGGGATCAAAGTGATCCTGCCACACTTTGATCGATGCTTTCCTCCTCCACTTGCTAAGCTCCGTGGGGCTTAGGAAGTGTTGAAAAAACCAGCGATCCAAGTGATCCTGCAGCCCTTTGACTGCTGCTTTCCCCCTCCTTTTGCTAGGCTCCAGGCTTAGGAAGTGGCAGGGAAAGCAGCGATTAAATTTTCTAATTTGAGGTTAGAAAAGTGGGAGTTGTCTTATACATTGGGGTGTCTTATAAAAAGAAAAATACGGTAGGTCTGCAAATCCGTATTAATACAGTTCCCACAATTCTGCTTGAGAATTTTTAGAGAATTTTGGGAGATGCAGTCCAAAAACATGGAAGAGTACACTCCTATTCTCTATAATGCCTCTAAGGGGATTTAATTTCCTCTCATTTTGAAGTTCCAAATCTAAAAAAAAACTTGAACTCTGATAAAATTCAGTCAAATTGTAACGCAGTATCATGATGGTGAAGAGTACTAGAAGGCTCTCTGACACTGTCAGATCCATCCTGTTTACTGATGTAAGCACTGAATAGGCCCAAGACCAGTAACAGGGACCCTCTTCAATATAAAGGATCAAACACTTCCTAGGGCAAAAGACAAGGACAACATGGAGATCTTTGCTGTTCCCAGATAGTCTCTCCTCATCATCTGCATATGGTCCTGAAAAGCCTTTGAGGCTTTTTCCCAGCTTGACCCAAAATGAGATAGCCTTAACACTGATCTTTAGAACTTGGGCCTTAAATCGGCATGTTCCCCACCCCCAGCCAACATCACTAATATCTTCTTGCATCAGTGATGGTTATCAATACAAATTTTCTAACATGCAAGAGAAAGCCAATTTAAAATTCAAAGCTGAGTCAGCAGGGCAAAATTGTAAATTTTCTGCTGTAGTGTTAACAATAGTTTTCTAACTAGAATTATTCTGAATTCTAACATTTTCATAAGATGCTATAGTTATTTTCATATGATTTCACATGACCATGACAACACATTGGATTTCTTGAGTATACATCTGTTCATTTTGCCAGCAGCACAGATACAGCACAGATTTATGGATGATCCTGACTTGGAAAAATTCTATCAAACTATGCCAAGAATAAAATTAACATTTATCTCAGAAGGTCCTTAAATGAGATGAACAAATATTATTGGTAAGAAATAAAATGTGGTGGCAGGAGCAATAAACCAGATACCACAGTTTATTTAAGGGGAATTAAAAGATATACACTTCAACAGCTGCTGTCTTAAAGCACTTAACATATTTTTCGCACCATAAGACACACTTTTTCCCCACAAAACAGGGGGGGTGAAAAGTTTGTGCGTCTTATGGAGCGAAGAAAACAGATTATATTTTCCTGTTTTCTTCTTCTAAAAAATTGGTGCATCTTATGGAAAGGTGCGTCTTATGGAGGGAAAATACGGTAGCTTACAAGATGTGCTGTGTTTATATTTATTTGTACTTTAAAAATTATAGTTTAATATTTTAAAGCTTAGATTAGAACATGCAATGTTTAGAACATGTATTAGGGAAAGAATGAAATATGAAACATTTACCTGAATCAAGCTCCAGCTCATAATTATTGGTTCCATTAACTTTATCTTTTGTTTGTAATTTCTGTTTGGATATTTCTACTTGTTTTCCAAAGGTCTCTTCAGTTATATTACAGTCTTTTGTACTATCGTCCAGAGCTGTAATTGAAAAATGAGCTTAGTACAACTTAATTCTTAGAGAAATACATCACAAACAAATGACTGAGTCTTCTTGCTCCTAAGAAATTATGTTTACTCAGGAAATCAACAACTTTGAATCCTGAGAGACAACCATTAAGAAATATCACGAAGGAAAAATGGAAAATCTAATAAAAACTTGAGGTGGGGAGGAAAAGGCTACATCCATACAGCAAAATGTAACAGATGGTTAAAAGGGCTTAAAAGCCCAAGCAGCCAATGTACACACAAGAAATATCTAGAGAAGGATACCATGCTACATGTTTCAATGCTAACACCAGAAATCTGCCAAAAAGGTACAGCTGAAGTGCTTGTTTTTAAGGGATAACATAGATATAGTCCACATAATAGAACTGAAGATCAGCTTCAGGCAAAATGTCTGTTGGAAGAAAGGGGATTATAGGGCAATCCATGAGGACACCGTATCAAATGAAGAAGAAATCTACCGTAGTTGCTGATTCCTCCTCACAATCAGCGTTAGGAACAATTGTCACCACTCCTCACAGTAAATTAGTATTGGTGACACGACATAATCCTCCTAATCTAAATGCTCAGAGGAATCATGAGATGAGAATAAAATCAGGGAGGCATAAAAAACATGCTGTATTTATCATGACTCACTTTGACTTAATAAATGTGACTCAATCACGAAAGAGGAAAAATTGTTAGACAGCCTGAACAATTGTGCCATACAAAAGCTGGTGATAAAGAATGTTAGAAGGAAGCACCAAGAGATTTTTCTGGAATTTGAAGGTCGCCTTGAATTACAATAACAGAGACTCAGCTAGAAAGAATCTAAAAGGTTGCAGAAATTTGAAAAAATGTTAACAAGCACCAATTGCGCACAAAGTAAAGGAAGCAGATAAAAAGGGATACACAAATGGATTATAAGGGGAGTACCACTGACTGCATCATTAATACATTAAAAACTCCCAACCAGCTATGAAAATGGACTCTGGATGAAGTTAATGGAGTACTAAAGGAGAATCAGAAAATTGTCAGAAAATCCTTAAATACCTTCCATCTAACGTCATTGCAGTTTGTAAGCAAATACCCATGCTTGAACTAAGAATCTGAGGATCCGAGGCAAATGGCAATGACCAAAAAACCTGTATTTTGAACCTCTGGATTTCTTAAAGAACTCAATTGTGAAATTGCTGATCTTTTAACAAAAACATGTAGAATCTCATGGGATCAGCCACTCCTAAAAGAGTGATCAATGTAACATGGGCTTGTTCAAAGAAAGGGATCAAAGCAAATTATAGGCAAGTTATTCCAGATAAACTGGTAGAATGTTTAAAGATAGAATTGTCTATCTTTAAAGGGAAACACTGTTTTTAAAAACAGTGTTTTTAAAAGGTAATTCCTTTCTTATGAACATTTTAGAGTTCTTTCAAAGAATCAAGAAATATGAGAAAAGGGTGTGATCTGGTGGACTTTGTTTATCTGAGCTTCCAAAGTTTTTGGCAAACGCTCCTGAAATGACTTATTAGTCAGTGGAAATAACTATGAATTAAGTTACTTTAATGCACCCTACTTCCTTAGTAAGTTTTTTTAGGTGTACAACTTAAGACAGAATGTTTTTAAAATAAGCGCATCATATTTTTCCATGTATAATACTTTTGTCTAAAATCTTTAGACTAAAAATTGAAGGTTGTCTTATACAGGGAAGTAAGCTAAGAGAACAAAATGGCCCATACCTTGCCTCTGCAAACAGACTGTCTCCAGTCATGAGGCTTAACTTCCTAGTCAGGAGACTTAGTTTCCTCCAGTCGTGAGCCTTATGTAACTGACATCAGCTAATGCTGAACAGACCAATTGGAACACATCTCATTGGAGGTGGAACATGTAGGCAGTGTTCAGATACAACAGGGACTCATAATGTCTGAGCATTGTGAACCCAGAGGCTGAATAAAGTTAAAGTGTGATAGTACTGGTATGTAAGCGTTACTTAATTACTAAATAAAAATGTGTTCTGTTTTATGCCTGAAATATTGATTTCATAATTTTGGGTTAGAAAGGGGGATGTCTTATACATGGAAAAATATGGCAACTTCGAAGTTTCACATTCTAGCTAAAATGGCTAGGGTTCCAGAATTCCTACTCCCGTATTGTGCCATATAAATCAATACATTCTATATGTTGAGATTTTCATCCAACATTAGCATCTCTCAGTTATATGGCACACTGCTGGCAGATGGTTTGGAGCCTAAATATCTTATAAATCTTTTATTTCAGGTACTAAAGACATGAAGGATTGCAGCCTAAATCCAGACAATATAATTGCTAATACAAGAATAGAAAGAAGCACAAGTGAGAGGATTTTTCTATCATGAGCCTTAAGCATCACCTTGTTCCTCTAAGTCTTGTATTTTATTGTTGCTTACGGATGATTGATTCACCGACAACGCTAAGGCAACTTCTAAGTCTCTCTGGTAGAGTTTATCATCCAAGGCTACCCTGCAATAATTTGAAAAGTTAGTTAGGAAACAAATTCTTAATATATCTATTCATTAATAAACACCAGCACCAGGAAAAAACTATTTTATGTATTCATTGAAAGTACAGTTTATTGTTACGGTCTTAAGACCAATCACACAGGGGGAAAAAAAACAGACATTTACAGTTTCCAAAATTCCAAATACCTTGTAAAAACATTTGACATTAAAAGACCATTTAAAATCTAGCATCTAGCTACCATAACATTTCAAAATTTCAGCTACTTCGTAAAAAAAATTGGCATTTAAAACACAATTTAAAATATAGTATCTAGTCACCATGGAACTTCAGAGACCTGAATATCACTATACAAAATCTGGCTATTTGATAAGTGATCTTGGAGCCTATATCAAGAAGCTCAAGTCTATTTTTTTCTTTGATCTGTGGGGTGATGATCTCCTTCCAAGCCACCTCATAATCAATTCTTAATTTACAGTCCTTAGATCTATCATAGAGTGCAGCCCAGATCCACACAATCTCTGCAATAAGTAAAACCATTGAAAACAAGTATACAACAAGTATAAAACAAACAAGTATACAAGCGATTCACAACCCTCCATACCAATATATATTCATAAATGCAGAACTTTAAAAAAAAGTTAACCAGGCCTAGGTTCAGTGCCAACCAATCAGTTAACAATGGTTAAAGTAGACATGGGTTATATAGTACAAAAAAAATCTGCATTCTAAAAAATGATTTTCATTTTCTCTTGCCTTGCCTTTTAATTTGTGATGTCTTCTGTAACTGGCTCCCCTCTTTATGGGCCTGCTTTTGCTGTTCTGTTTTCTTCTTTGCTGACTCACAGCGTATTCTCTTAGATTTTTTGTTTGAAGGTGCACTAATGTTTGCAAAATCTTCATCTTTGAATAAAAATGCATGAGACAAATTACATCTATTCAGTAAGAGAACGACAAATTTTCAAATAGGCAGGTTTCATAATGTACTGTAAAATGTTGTTATAGTTCTTCTAATATAATCAAACAAATAAACAGAAAACAGAAAAGTACAGTCACAGTTATGGCAGAATGAAGACAAGTGAATGTGAATGGGCAATCCTCACTTCTCAAAACTGCATGCCTTCCAAGAAAAATCTATTATGAGATACGAGTGGAAGACACTGTAAAGCAATGGTCCCCAACCTTTTCCTAACCGTGGACCAGTTGGGGGGTGGGGTCCATGAGCGCAGGGTCGTGGCCTGTTTGCATGCACGGGGCATGCTCGCAGCAGGACACTTGCAGAGGGGCAGAAGATCTGTGTCCGCAACCCAATCCTGCCTACGCCATAGACCAGTACCAGGTTGCGGACCAGGGGTTGGGGACCCCTGATGTAAAGGATTAGTACTCCTGCCCCTCCCAGAAATGTTTCCCAACCTGTCTTTACAACAGTTCAGCTTCAATGTGAGTATGTAGATGTTTGCTGAACCCAGAATTTAAAAAACCCCAAAATTGGTGTACAGTTTGAATTTAAAAGAAACACAACATTAATTTTAATTCTTAAGCAATGGAACACGCTTTTGACGCTAGACCAACATAAAACACAGTTGCAAACATGCGTAGTCAAAATGGAAAATTGATTACATTGCATGCCTCCTACCCATTAAACCTACCCTTTAAAAATAATTAACTATAAGGTGCCACTATGCTGTCAAATCAAGAGATAATTTATTTATTATTTATTTATTGTATTTATACCCCGCCTATCTAGTCATTTCGACCACTCTAGGCGGCTATATATAATTTATTGTATTGTATTTATACCCCGCCTATCTAGTCATTTCGACCACTCTAGGCGGCTATATATAACAAGCACAACAGGTCATCTCCCACTAAAGGACATGCACTGATATGATGATGTAATGAAAGATTATTGCTCTCCCCCACAGGAATTATGTTATGGTATGCTATAGAACTCTTCTGTCAGCCCTGCTCTTTAACATTTATACGTACAATAAAAGCTGAACTAGAGTTTGGAATCACTGACAGACAAGATCAAGCCTAATAATTGGAGCTCAGTTAAGAAAAGCCAGAAGTACTGCTGTATATTTTATTTATTTATTTATTTATTTATTTATTTATTTATTTATTTATTTATTTATTTATTTATTGCATTTATATCCCGCCTATCTAGTCGAACAACCACTCTAGGCGGCTTACAACACATAAAACAACAATCTAACAAAATTACAACATAACAAAAATTTTAAACATCCGTATAAACGAATTATCCAAGAAGAAAAAAGGGAAAAAAGAAAAACGGACAAAAATCAGGTATTAAATGGAGGGAAGGCCTGTGTAAACATCCAAGTTTTCAGTTGTTTTTTAAAGATGCCCAGTGAAGGAGCAGCACGAATCTCCGGAGGAAGATTATTACAGAGGCGAGGATACACCGCCGAGAAGGCCCGATTTCTAGTTTTTTCCTTCTGGGCCTCCCTCAGCATCAGGCTTCTCAGCCTCACCTCCTGGCTCGATTGGGTGATATGGGTAGATCTTGGTGAGAGTAGGCATTCCGCCAGGTACTGAGGCCCTAAACCATTTAGGGCTTTATATGTAAGCATTAAAACTTTGAAGTCAATGCGGAATATCAGTAAGGTTGTTTAGGACTGCACCCCCCCAGCCAGTAATATCATAGTAGTAATAATTATGTGGCATCCATTCAGTTCTGATTTATGATTATCCTTTCAAGGGTTTTTAGGTACAGAATACCAGATGTGGTTAATACATAGAGTTACCATAATTCAAAAACAACTTTACAGCACCTAACAAGTGAAGAAAGGCTATTGATTCTACATCTCTACTTGACATACTCTTAGGCAGCCAGTAATATCATAGTAGTAATAATTATGTGGCATCCATTCAGTTCTGATTTATGATTATCCTTTCAAGGGTTTTTAGGTACAGAATACCAGATGTGGTTAATACATAGAGTTACCATAATTCAAAAACAACTTTACAGCACCTAACAAGTGAAGAAAGGCTATTGATTCTACTTCTCTACTTGACATACTCTTAGGCTGATTTTTAAAGCTTCGGTCTCCATCTTTAGACTTCCCTTTAATTTCAGATCCTATAGCTTTAACATTTCGCCAGGATAATATTTGGGCATTTCTATTTCTACAGGCAACTCAAGTTCTATGCCATCCAGCCTAGAAGAAGAGGTCTAGAAAAATTGTATTTTGGGGGGATGGCGGTGACGCTTTTATGCTCAAATGACAGCTGTATTTCTTATTTATTTTTGTTGCTTTATTTGGTTATGTTAGTTTTTCAATTTTTAAAACTTTGTCAGTAGAAAAACTGACAAGTGAAGAAGGAAGTGGCTTGTTTTCACAAGTACGGAGAAAATGCTTCTGTCAAACAAATAGTGAATTCCACAAAGACTAGAGCTTGCTCAAAGGAATTACATAATATGGCTTGAGGAAAGCTCATACTGTTTTGGCAATTGGGGGCTCCTATTTAGGTATGTACAGCCACATCAGAAATTGCTGTTATATGCTTCTGTATAAACATTTCTATCAAGATCTTTGTATTTTTTAAAAAGGTGCCTAAACACAAGAACCACATCTATTTAGGTATGTACAGCCACATCAGAAATTGCTGTTATATGCTTCTGTATAAACATTTCTGTCAAGGATCTTTGTATTTTTTTAAAAGGTGCCTAAACACAAGACACCTTTTTTTTTAAAAAAAAAAAAGGTGCCTTTTTTAAAGGTGCCTAAACACAAGAGAAGGGACATTTATTTTTGTTGCTTTATTTGGTTATGTTAGTTTTTCAATTTTTAAAACTTTGTCAGTAGAAAAACTGACAAGTGAAGAAGGAAGTGGCTTGTTTTCACAAGTACGGAGAAAATGCTTCTGTCAAACAAATAGTGAATTCCACAAAGACTAGAGCTTGCTCAAAGGAATTACATAATATGGCTTGAGGAAAGCTCATACTGTTTTGGCAATTGGGGGCTCCTATTTAGGTATGTACAGCCACATCAGAAATTGCTGTTATATGCTTCTGTATAAACATTTCTATCAAGATCTTTGTATTTTTTAAAAAGGTGCCTAAACACAAGAACCACATCTTGAATCTTAGAATATAACACTAAACTTTAACTTTAACTATTTCAATTTTACTTTCCTCTGAGTTACACATTATACCACAATAAAAGAGGATAATTTAAAATGAGATCTGAGCCCTTCCGGTATAGATGACTTACCATCATCATCTGCATCACCAAACTGGGAATAGTCTATGGCTTTCTTATTCCTGAGAGAACAAAACCGTGCAAAAGAAGCATCATTTATTATTTACATACTAATGTAATTTGCATACTCAGACAGCAAGTAAATAAACATATTTCAATCATTCTTTAATTAAAAGATTAGTATTCCTAAAAGTATTACTGTTAGTATAAAATACCGTATTTTTCGCTCCATAAGACGCACCTTTCCATAAGACGCACCAATTTTTTAGGAGAAGAAAACAGGAAAATATAATCTGTTTTCTTCCCTCCATAAGATGCACAGACTTTCCACCCCCCTGTTTTTTCCCTGTGGGAAAAAAGTGTGTTTTATAGTGCGAAAAATACGGTATTTATGTGCATCATGGGAGGGAGTCTCGTAATACACACAGAGAGACTCAGACACACACGAACATACTAATACACAGATTCCCAAATTAGGAAAAAAACATTTAAGGAAAAAAGTGAAGGCTAAACTATAATCCCCCATCAAAGAAATACAGCCCACAAATCAACCTGTCTTCCTCACTGATAACATGGGTACTCTGATGAATTTTTCTTGAACCTAACCTCCACCCCAAATAAAAACAAGGAATGACCTTCCCACTTTCCCTGAAGAGGGAAAAAAACTCTACTTTGCCATTAAAGACAGAGACATACCTCCCACAAATACAGATGTTGAACCAGACTAGTAACATTTATGGCCTGAATCCAATTGGAAATTCCAAACTCAGTATACTCAGTAAAACAATGAGATTTATGTAAGTATTCAATTAAATTCACTACCCTGCCACATTCTCCTTCAAGTCATGAGAAATGGACAAAAATAGTTTAATTTCTCACACTCGAATTTTGGATAGAATTTGGTATTATTTTGTCACCTTGTGTTTGAGCATTATACATTTCCAGCTATTTAAAAAAACACCACGAAGGCCACTTTTAAACTACAGGCATGAATCATGACTTACAAGTCTTACTCAGGACAGGGGATCTTTGGCTCCTCGGACATTTCAGACTATAAATCCCATAATCCCTCACTACTGGTGATGCTGGCATAAGCATCTGGTGTGCTGAACATTTGGAAGACCAAAGGTTGCCAATCCCTACATTATAGAAAGGGATTCAGTTCTGATGGAACTCAGCATCTCTTCTTTGGATTTTTTGCCTGTACTGGTTGGTACAAGAGGCTTCATTCCAAATCCACTCCAGAGAGTGTATCTGAGTGTTCAGTCTACACTGCCTGTTTAATCCCTCAAAATGGCACCAACCACACTCCTTTTGGTAGCACCTGTTTGTGAGGAATTGTGCCAATAAAGCAGATGGGGGAAGTATTGTTTTACACCAATAACGTTAGTCATGACGAAGCCTTGATCACTGACAGTCTGATAGTGGGTTAAATGAAGACAGTATTGGTGTACAAACAGAACTGATCTCTATGATTTCTATGAAATGTTTTAAATCAAAAACAGACTTAAGACGAATTGCAGTTTTTATCACTGCCTTTCTGCATCTTTTAAACGCATAAAATCTCTTCTTATCAACTTGAACCTACATTGGGTAAAACTATATAGCTCCAAACTAAAATTATGTATTTGGAGAACTCACACAGGTATTTTAATAAAACTGACTTCCCCTCCTGGAAAGTGACTTATTATCAATGATCATCATGGCTGTCAATTTTAGTACTGAAATTCAGTGCAATCCTAAATCAAAGGTCTACCAACTGTAGTTGGTTTGGAATGGGCCAAAGTGTATTCTGACATCACAACTGCCCTGGTGCTAGCAGAATTTCTAGACCCAAACCTCATCCATCTCAGGAACACAACCACTGTGCTACCATAAAATGAGACCAAGGTAGCCCTAAATAATTTCCGTCATCTGTAAAATGGAAAACTTTTGGATTGAGCACATCAGCTGACCCAATGTCAGTTTACTTGGACCTCAGTTGGAACTGCACCCCCAGCTTTGAGAAAGGACTGACTCATTTGTTCAATCCAGATCCTAATGATAATCCACTTTAAGATCCATTTGCTGCTTAAAAACACTTCTCTCTCAATTGAATGTTCAAAGACAACCATCAGCTATACAAAACCCAGTAACAATGTCTGCAACCATATTTTAATACGGGCTAAACCGCAGAAGCCTCTGTGTGCTGCAGGGTCAGAAGAACCAGCAGTCGTAAGATCAAATCCACGTGACGGAGTGAGCTCCCGTCGCTTTGTCCCAGCTCCTCGCCCACCTAGCAGTTCGAAAGCATGTAAATGCGAGTAGATAAGTAGGTACCACCTCAGTGGGAAGGTAAAACAGTGCTCCCTAGTCACGCTTGCCACGTGACAACGGAAACTGTCTTCGGACAAACGCTGGCTCTACGGCTTGAAAACGGGGATGAGCACCACCCCCTAGAGTCGAACACGACTGGACTAAAATGTCAAGGGGAACCTTTACCTTTACAGTACAGTACTTTAACGGGATAAAACAGGGAACCAGCAACAGCATAACTGCATCCTCCTACCTTGGGCCTCCAGATGTTCTTGGACTTCAATTCCCAGCCTGCAGAGGTGGTGGTGAAGGCTTCTGGGAGTTGTAGTCCAAGCACACCTGGTTGAGGACCACGGCTATACTGCATCTCCCTATGTCCAGAAAGCCACTAGCCAGCACGAGAATAGAGACGAACCGCCGCGATTCCCAACAGGCAGGCCATTCCCTCCCTCACACGCGCTGAACCCCATCCGCCTCGAAAGAGGCGGGTTGTCTCCACAAGATCCCATATCAGATCTCAGCCGTTTCCACAATAAGACTGTAGAGTTCAGGCGAGCAGGCAAACCCTTCAAGCACCCCGAGCCCCGGTTGTTTATGGCTCTGGACGTCAAACCGAAACCAGTACTTCACAGCTTCCATCGGAAAGCTGTCAGTCCCACAGGAGCCCAGGGCGGGCGGGGCGCCGGCCTAATTCCTCCCCGTCAGGGTTGCTGGGGGGGGGGAAAGGAACTCTGCGTCGCCAAGACAAATACAGGCACCGGCGGGAACAGGTCGCTTTGGTTTCTTCTTTAAACACTAACTGTGCTTATCGGAGAGAAAGAACGGCGGCCTTTTTCCAGAGGCGAGCCCCGTCTCCGTCTCTAGGCAAGAGACCCTCCAAAGAAAGGAAGAGAGAGGGGGGGGGGAAAGAAGGGGAAAAAACAACAACAACTACACACACCCGCGCGCCGGTCGCGCCATTTCCCGTTTGTAATTCGCGCGCAGGACTTCCCGAGAGGGCAAGTCACGTGGGGCGGAAGGCCCAGCCGGGCGCCGCGACCAGAGAGAGAGCCTGCGCACAACGCCCGCCCAGCCCAACGGGCTGAGACCAAGGAGGAAGTTCGCAGAGATAAGATCCGTGCAGAGTAACGCTTCGGCCGATCCGCATGGGGCACTTAGGAGCGTGTCGCTGGGAGCGGTGTTTTAATCTCTTGTGAGGTAGAAAGGGATAAAGACACGCGGGGTTTTAGCGGAGCTGCTTTAGGGGGCGGGATGGTGTTCCAGCCACTGACGAGAAGTCGCGGGTCTTCCTGAACGGGAGAAAAGCCTGGCTTGTCATCCGAAAGCCCTTGTGGAACCTGAACTGAAGAGCCCCGCCATCGAAAGAGCCCGCCGGCCAAGCCTCTTCGGAGTAAAGCGCGTTCACTCAGAAACGCCTGCGGATATAAATTAAATAAAATAAACCCTGAATGCCTTCCTTCCAGGCGCCTGTCTCTCAGTACCGCCTCAGAAAAGGGAAAACGAGTCTTTCAAGCGGATGTTGTGCTCTGTGTTTCGGTATTACCCGGAAGGCCAGCGGCCTTCCTTCTCCTCTTTCGGTGGCAGAAAGAGGGCGGAGGCTTTCCCAGCCGTCATTGCTGCCGCCCCGGAGCCCGGGGTGGTAAAACACCCAGGAAGCCGGTTTCGGGGCAGCGGCCGCCGGTGGAGTGACCGAGCGAGCGAGTGAGTGAGTCCGCCTGTGGTATATGGCCGTGTAGGGATACCCATTGTGCCTATGAAAGAGACACGGTCCCTGCGACTGTGGCTGTAGGTGCACGAATGAATCCGCAAGAGTGAAGGGAGAGGCTGGATGTCATTCTCTCAGAGAATGTTGCGACTTGAGCAGCGTTTTGTCCAGCCTGTAAGTCGGCATGCAGTTGGAATTGCTAGCATATGAACGACTGTAGTGGGGCTTACTCTCCCGTGCTCAGAGGTGGTGCTCCCGAGCTTTTTCTCCGCTCCTTCCCTGCACTTTTTGTGTTTGTCTGGTAAGCTTTCTGCTGTCCGTAAGCTTGCAAGATTTACTTGCGCGTCTTATGCAGTGGTGAGGAGAGGAGATAGACCATTGGTTTACTAGTGGACAGGTTCTAGTGGTCCAATTTGCAACCGCAGACAACTGACTTCAGAAAACCTGGCAATGTGGATTATTCGTTAACCAGTGTTTACTTGGAATTCATTAATTTAAAAACTGTTCCTGAAGTTTAACACTCTAGCCGCCTAGAGTGGTCTTATAGACCAGACAGGCGGGGTACAAATCAGATAAATTAATAAATAAATAACACGTACCATTTTAAAATCAATTGCACAAAACTGAACTGGGCATCACACAAATAAACACCTTGCTGGTGAGTTTGCATGGCAGAATGGCATTTTCTACATCTTAGCCCTTCATCTTAGCCCATCCATTGTGATGCCAAAGCTTGGAAGGATGGCTGTGGAAACAACAGCATTTCGGAAGCAAAATCCCTGCCCCAGAAGTCATTCAGAACAATCTTTGTTAAAAAAAAAAAAAGTAAAGATGAAGAATAATGGGTTGGTCTGTGCTTTGGTTTGTTGCAAGGCACAAGCAGATACACTTTTGTCTTTTTCTGATCCTTTTGTTGTGTGCTGGAAGGGGTTTTTCAGTGAACAAGTGGGCATCATAACACTTATTTATTTATTTATTTATTTGATTTATATACTGCCCATATTTAGATTTTAGATGCTTTGGGCTCTATTATGGAGGGTTTTAAACACAATATATATATTAATAAACTGATCCCCCCCAACAATTGTTTTAAGCAAACTTTATCACACTACAAACTACTCTTTTTGAAAATGCATATCCTGAAAATAAGGCTGTGTAAACTCACATTGTTTACTTCCATTTATTGCCAGAATAGCCAGATGTCAACAATGGTTGGCCCCGTTCCCATGCCAGGTACACATATATAAACTTTTGGTCCAGATGTTATCTGAAGAAGCAGATTATAATACATGCTAAAATTGGCTAGTCTTAAAAGTGCTGCCATACTTCAATTTTATTTTTATTGTGCCATAAATGAGGACAGTACCTAGCCTGTTAAAATACCTAGCTTGTTAAAACTAAAAGCCAATATGGATTTATCAAGACCAAACTCTAACATACTAATCTTATCTCATTTTTTAATCTGGTGACTTAATGACTTGGATGAGAGAATCCAGGGAATACTTAATACTGAAAGCAGCAGAATAAAATTTTTACAGGGATTAAGTGCAAAGTTCTACACCTAGGATAAAGAAACCAAATGCACAGTTACAAGATGGGGGATACTTGGTTCAATAATACTGCAATCTTGGAATTGTAGATTACAATGTGAACATGTGCCAACAGCGTGATGTGGCTGCAAAAAAGGCCAGTGCTATTTTAGGTTGCATTAGCAGAAGTATAGTCTCCACATCCCAGGAGTCCCCCTCTAGTCAGCACTGGTTAGGCCTCATCTAGAGTACTGTGTCCTGTTCTGGACACCACACTTTAAAAAGGATGCCAACAAACTGCAACAAGTTCAGAGGACAGGTACAGTGGTACCTTGCTTAACGATGATAATTGGTTCCCAAAAAATCGCTATTAAGCGATTTCATCGCTAGGCATGGTTTCCCATAGAAATGCATTGAAAGCCGGATAATCCGTTCCAATGGGAACGGATTGCCGTCCTTAAGCGAAAATCGCCATAGGAAACATTGCTAAGCGAAACACGGTTCCCCAATTGAAATGCATTGAAACCTATTCAATGCATCTCAATGGGGGGAAAATTACAAATTTAAAAAGAGTCGGAACAAAGTCAAATTAGTTTAACAAAGGGTTTATTAAGTGCACTTATGATTTCAAGCATTATAAACATCTTAAAACATTTTTAAACATTTAAAAAACAGCCAACATGAGGCTGTCAAAACCATTGTTAAGCGAAACAGGGGGACCCAAACTGTCATTGCTATGCGAAGCATGGTCCCAAACATCGCTATGCGAAAATTGCCCATAGGAACCATCGTTAAACGGAGCGGAAGATCGCTTCGAAAAGTCATCGCTAAGCGATTTCATCATTAAACGAAGCAATTGCTAAGCGAGGCACCACTGTATTCAATGGACTGGAAACCAAGCCCTATGAGGAAAGACTGAAAGAACTGGGCATGTTTAACCTTGAGAAAAAAAGACAGGGGAGATATGATAGCACTTCTCAAATATTTGAAAGATAGTTGTACAGAGGAGAGGTAGGATCTATTTTCAATCATCCCAGAGTGCAGAAAACATGGTAATTGGCGCAAGCTACAGGAAGCCAGAATTAATTAATGATCTTGGGTTCTAATTCACCTGGAGAGGCCCCACAGACAGGAGAGGTTATCCTTCTTTAGGCTTATTGCTCTTTATGTATTTGGCATGATGGAATTAATGGCATGGTGTATGCATCCCCATGCCCTTCACAGGCAAGAGAATGTTGAAGGGGAACCATGAGGTTGATCGTCATTATGCAGCAGAGAGGTCTCTGTTATTTGGGTTTTCTGTGGTTTATCAAAGAGTCACAACAATTCCCATCTATCTAATCACACCGAGTCCTTTCTCAGGCTTTCAGAATAACATTCTCTCTGCTCGCCTAGAAAACAACTTGTCAGCATAGCAAAGATACTTTATACAAAGAAACAAGATGGAACCTCTCTGGCTCATTTCTTAATTACAAAACCCATATGCCTTAAAAGATTTTAACTCAAAAACCCATCTCATCACAAGTTGTACAGAGGAGAGGTAGGATCTATTTTCAATCATCCCAGAGTGCAGAAAACATGGTAATTGGTGCAAGCTACAGGAAGCCAGAATTAATTAATGATCTTGGGTTCTAATTCACCTGGAGAGGCCCCACAGACAGGAGAGGTTATCCTTCTTTAGGCTTATTGCTCTTTATGTATTTGGCATGATGGAATTAATGGCATGGTGTATGCATCCCCATGCCCTTCACAGGCGAGAGAATGTTGAAGGGGAACCATGAGGTTGATCGTCATTATGCAGCAGAGAGGTCTCTGCAGTACACCCAAAGTTTATTTCTGAACTATGTACAAAAGACCAGTTGACCTCACTGATGTTTTCACTTTCAAAGCCCACAGTGTCCCTCAAATCCAAGTCTTATACAGCAGAGCGGTTAATAGTCACCACCTGCCTGCTTAGTCCAGTGGTCGTCTCCACCCCTTCTCCTTGTTGTTTCTTGTCTTCCTCCTTAGCATGGAGGTCTCTTTCAAGCTACCACCATCTTTTGAATTGACACTCTCTCCTCCAGCACCTCAGTTGAATCAGGACTGGAATTGATGAAACTGGGATGAGCTACATATCTGCAGGAGGGGGAGGGTGGGTGACTTCTGGGTCCGCCACTCCCTGGTCTTCTACTGCCGCTGCCACTTCGGGGGCTGCCGCTGCCGCAGCGGTGGCACACCACCTGCTGGTTTTTTTTCCCCAGTTTGGGCATGCAAGCCCAAAAAGATTCGCCACCACTGATCTAGGCAAACAGTTCTTCAGACTACAGTAGTGTCCTCCAGATATGTTGAGCTGTGGGTGACTTCTGGGTCCGCCACTCCCTGGTCTTCTACTGCCGCTGCCACTTCGGGGGCTGCCGCTGCCGCAGCGGTGGCACACCACCTGCTGGTTTTTTTTCCCCAGTTTGGGCATGCAAGCCCAAAAAGATTCGCCACCACTGATCTAGGCAAACAGTTCTTCAGACTACAGTAGTGTCCTCCAGATATGTTGAGCTCCCAATTACAGTACTCAAGGCCACTCTGTGAGGGAAGATTGTCTTCCCTGGAAACTAGCATTTTGTGCTTAGAGATAAGTACCTGTGGTAAATGTAGGAATCTATTTAACACACATCAGTTTTTAAACAGGAGATCAGAGTTCTCATTTTAGAATGGGAAATATCACTTGAAATTTTCTGTATTGGATTGTACAAATTTATTTTAAAAGAAAATGAAAAATCATTTTAAAAAGAACTAGTATTGAACAATTCTTACTGCTTAAATATATTTATTTTATTCGTATATTTTCTGAATTGTTGATTTACTGTATAATTGTCTTTTTTGTGTATTCATGTAATGATATAGTAACTGGAACATTCTCACTTGCTAGAATGCAGAAAAACTTTTAAATGAAGGATAACCAAGTGAAAACGTGCAGTATGGAAAGAGAATTTTTGTATGAATTCTGCGCTGGAAATGAACATTTTGTGCTTACAGTTCCACTGAAATTTCCAGTGCAAGAAAAAGCTAGCCATTTGCATGGACGCCTAATGCTTCTTCACAACTTGCCATGTTTCATAGAAAATGGTAAGAATTTGTTGCAAGTAAATTGAATAATATGAGTTTACTCTGAGGTACATGACTTTTCAGCATCAAGTGTCAAAATGAAAGGGCTGTCATTAAACTGCCATCAGAAAAATAAGTTAATTTGCCATCTTTGTTTTGATGGTACATTGCCACATCATTGTGTAGTCCACTTTTTTAGTATACCTATTTCGGACAAACATTGGCCCTACGGCTTGGAGACGGGGATAAGCACCGCGTCCTAGAGTCGGACACAACTGAACTAAATGTCAAGGGGAACCTTTACCTTACCTACCATGTTTTAAATATTTTTTCTATAGCCACAGACTTTATATATGTTTTACAAGTGTATACTGATATTGTGAAAATTTAACAAGATTGTATTTGTCATTTGTTGGCCTGCTTCTTTAAAGCTCTGTATATCTAAATTGCTTGCCAAAATGTTTTAATACTTAGATATTTTATAGAATTGAATTTCTGATGAATTAATGAGTTTTGAGGAAACTCTGATCTAAAGAAAATTATACATCCTGCCTTATTCTCTGTATGGTTTTCTGGTAGCAAAAAAAAGAGATAAATTATTTTTATTTTTGACCAATTTTCAATAAAAGAAATGTTGCTAATGTAAATTACAAGAATACCAATACAAGAGCATCTATTATGCATTGTATCTTTTAATCATTCTAGGCAATAGGAGCTACAATTTATTTTTCTGTTTGCTTTGTTGAATATCGATTATTGTTACCTTATGGTTGGGCCTCTTTGTCACTACAAATTGCTTTTCCAGAATAGCATGTGCTGTTTTAGTAGTCTCAAGGTTTGTGATATTTCATGAATAAATGATAAAAATGGGTTTCTGATCGTGTGCAGTGCATCTGGATTTGCTGCGCCATATATGTCTGTGTTAATTTTTTGACAAAAGTTATATTCCTTAATTGTTTTAACCGATTTTATGTGGATGAACCATCATGCGTCTATTCTTTTTTGTAATGTTTCTAGGCCATAGCTAATAATAGCAGAACTGATGGTTAGTGTATTTGGTGTTCATTTGATCTAGTAAATATTGATAATATAAGTAGTGCCCCCTAAAGCTGCATGGATTGATATGTAGTTTTTTGAATGACTAGTTGATGTCTCTCCAGAAACTTGGCTATTTGGAGCATTCCCACCATAAGTGAATAAACAATCCTGAAGCCTTGCCCGAACATCTTTGAAACCTAAGGAAAGAATTTAGACAATGTGGCTGAACTTAAGTGTCATCTTTATATTGTTTTAATTGTGTTTTTAGGCCATGATCACTTTATATGGATGTGAGATCCAGAGTTTCTCCATTGATGTTGTAGGATGTCAAGAAATGGATAATTTCACATGAAACTGTTGAACCTGTTAAAATACACTAGTCTTTATTATCTGTTCATATAACATAGATATCTGTTCCTTTGCTGTATTATTCTGCCCCATACAAATGACTTTGAATTTGGATAAAGAACATCATAGCCTGTCATTGCATGTTTATTTTTTCAGAAAACATATTAGTTGTAGCAAAATTAAAGTATATGTATACATAAAATGTAAAAGACTAGTGTAATGCATAATTCAGCTGATGATTTTCTCCTTCAATGTGACAGATTTAAAAGAATCTCTTAATAGATTCATTGAAGAGGAGTCCATAAAAGATTATGATAGAGAAGCAGAAGTTGCGCTGGAAGCTGTAAAATCTGACAAAGTAGATTTAAATCATCTGGCAAATGCTTGGGCCAAAGCCTATAGTGAGGTAAGACATGTCAGTAGGCATTTTAGAATTCTGAACTGGAAATCAGTCTGGAACTTCTTTCTGACTCCCCCACATTGCATGCCAACTCTTAGGTGGGTATTTTGCTTTGTGGGTAGAAATGTATGGGTGCTTTTGTCTTGGCAGAGTGTAAAATTTTGGCTAAAACATGTAGCGATGCAACAGCTACTGCAAAGACCTACAGAGCAGAATTTCAGATCTCCCCTGAGTAAACAACCCCTTTTTGGTTTTCATCAACTGGCACTTAGATTTTAAATAACTCACTCTGAGAGTTGGTAAGAGAGAAAAAAATTAAAATTCCATTTACTTACAGTTCTGAACAGATAAAAACAGCATATTGTAGAAAAATTAACTGGTCACATGAACAGACTATTCATAACTACACACTGACTTAGTGACTGACACAAACTGAGTACTGAGTGAATACTACATAGCTAACTGACTGAAAAAAGAGTAGGAAAAAGACTCTTAAGTAGAGAGGCAGGACTGTTTTCAAAATCTGAGGCAGAGAGGGAACAATTGGTTATTGCTGGATTGATTGAAAGTCACCCCAGCCCAGAATGGTTCCTCCCAGCCAAACTTCTTAAAGATAGCATATGAAGGGTGCTAAAACACCAACACATTGTGGATTGCTCCGGAACAGTACGGAAGTTTTTAACAGATTCAGAATTGTCACATTTGAACTGAATTCAAATGAACTCAAGAAAATGAGTTCCCAAACAATGATTTTGGAGATGTGATTTTATTTTCTTTCTCGTTCTTTGATCAAACTTCATGTTCCCTTTTATATACAGTCTAAAATGCAGGCTGAGCGATAAAGTCACTCACTACGTAGCTGTAGATTCACCAGTTTAAGTTATTTAACGGGGCTTTTGTGATTACCCTGCCCCCAATGCAATCTCCATTGCATTATATATACATTGGCGGAACTTCACTGAGCTGTCATGGAGGAACAAAATATTCAGCTTCTTAGGGAACAAAACTGTTTGGAATCCATCTTCTGTGACAAAAGCAAAATGTTGCTTCTGAAGTAGAGCCCTTTAGCACTGCTGATGCATTTCTCTTTTGCAGTCATCTGAAAGCCAAAAGAAGAGAGAGAGATAAATCTCTTCATTAGTAAAAAACATTGAATTAATGGGGCTTTGTTAATGCAGTGTTTGTACAAGTCCCATTCATTTAATAGATCTGCTCTGGTTGAGCATAACAGTTGAATTCAGCCTAGAAGTTCCACACAGAATTTGAGACTGTTACGTTGTTTCATCATGTTCCTCTCTGTGACCAAGGACATTCTGTGGTTTCTTCTTAAACTGGGAGGAGGTAACAAGTGGGGTACCACATGGCTCAGTCCTTGGCAAGGTGCTTTTCAAAATTTTTACTAATTACTTGGATGAGGGAATTTAGGGCATACTTATCAAATCTGCCTATGACACAGAATTAGATGGAATAGCTAATGCCTTGTAAGACAGGAACAAAATTCAAAAAGATCTTGATAGGCTTGAGCACTTGACTGAGAAAACAGAACAAAATTTAACAGGGGTGAGTGTGAAGTACTGCACCTTTACACAAAATGCACAGTTATAAGATGGGGGATATTTGGTTCAGTAATACTTTGAGTGAGAAGGATCTTAAAATTGTAGTAGGTCACAAGCTGAGTATGAGCTAACAGTACAATGCGGCTGCAAAAAAGGCTGATGCTATTTTAGGCTGTATTAGCAGAAGTATAGTCTCCAAATCCCATGTAGTATCAGTCCCTATCTATTTGGCACTGGTTAGGCTTCATCTAGAATACTGTTTCCAGTTCTGGACACCACCCTTTAAAAAGGATGCCAACAAACTGGAGCAAGTTCAGAGGAGGGCAACAAGGATGATCAGGGGACTGGAAACCAAGCCCTATGAGGAAAGACTGAAAGAACTGGGCATATTTAGCTTTGAAAAAAGAAGACTAAGTGGTGACATTTATTGATCGATTTATTGATTTGATTTGATTTTTATCCCACCCTTCTAGACTATGTCTACTCAGGGCGGCTCACAATAAAATTATTCATAAAACAATTAAAGCCATGAACTAAATCAACAATGTTAGTATTGATCAAGATGGAAAATAGAACAAAAGACTAAGTAAAAGTTAGAGTCAAGTACTAACCGGAGGGAAGGCCTGCCTAAAGAGCCAAGTCTTTAACTGGCTCTTAAAAACGCCCAGTGAGGGTGCCAGGCAGATCTCTCGCGGCAAGCTGTTCCAAAGTCGAAGGGCCACTGCCGAGAAGGCCCGGTTTCTTGTTCTTTCTTTCTGGGCCTCTCTCGGCGTTAGGTAACACATGGTAACACTTTTCAAATACTTGAAAGGCTGTCATACAGAGGAGGGGCAGGTTCTGTTCTCTGTCAACCCAGAGTGCAGGACATGTAATAATGGGCTTAAGTTATAGGAAGCCAGATTTCAGCTGACTATCAGGACAAACATGCTAACTTTGAATCAGTAGAGCAGTGGAACCAGTTTCCTCTGAAGGTGGTGAGTGCTTCAGTGCTGGAGGCGTTCAAGAGAAGATTGTACAACCATTTGTCAGATCTATTTTGATTTGGATTCCTGCATTGACAGGGGGTGGTTGAACTCCATGGGAAGAGTAGAGCTATGTATACCACCTTTAACTTATCAGTGGAAGATTGTGATAGAGATAGAAAAATAGAAGAATGTACTGATATCGCAGACTACATCTACAGTCACAGACCATGTTATCATGAAGGTTGTTAGTATTGATCCTATACTTGCTTTTCTATTTGTGGCATGTAAAATAAATATACTACCGTATTTTTCCATTTATAACACACCTCCATTTATAAGACACACACACCCAAACTTTCTAACCCCAAAATTAAGAAAACCTAGCTTTGAGGATTCAGCCACTGGTCTCTGAACATTGGACATTTCGTCTCTGTTGAATCTTGAACCTACAGGCTCCACCTCCAAGGAGGTGTGTTCCAGTTGGTTTGTTCAGGATCAGCTGACGTCAGTTCCATAAGGCTTGTGATTGGAGGAAGCTTATTTATTTATTTATTCATATTTATTTATTTATTTGATTTATATCCCGCCGATCTGGTCTGGTCGACCACTCTGGGCAGCTTCCAATAAGTCTCCTGTGGGACTTGGTGGCGCTGCGGGTTACACCGCAGAAGCCTCTGTGCTACAAGGTCTGAAGACCAACAGTTGTAAGATCAAATCCATGTAACGGAATGAGCTCCCATGGCTTGTCCCAGCTCCTGCCAACCTAGCAGTTCGAAAGCATATAAAAATGCAGGTAGATAAATAGGTACCACCACGGTGGGAAGGTAACGGCGTTCCATGTCTAGTTGCACTGGCCACGTGACCATGGAAACTGTCTTCAGACAAATGCTAGCTTTAGCTTTAATTCTCCTGACTGTAGGAAATTAAGCCTTGTGGCTGAAGGAAGCCTGTTTACAGAGGCAAGGTATGTGCTGTTTTGTTCTCTCCTCAGCTATCTCAGCTTACTTCTGTGTAAAAGACACCCCTCAATTTTTAGGGTAATGATTTTAGAAAAAAGTAACATCTTACAAATGGAAAAATACTGTATCTAAGCTTAAGCAACCCATAAAGAAAGAAATTCCAATGACCAACATTGGTGGTGCATTAAAATATGTAGTTATTCCATGAAGCATATGTCCATTCCCAGTCAAGTGAGAGAAAGAATTGTGTTCTTCCAGAGTTAGCTTGTATTTAATGTTTTTTGACTAGCACTGATGTTCAAGGATGTTTCAGGCACCCTGATTAGCTGCTGTAGGTCTCTTCAAGTATGGTTTACTGTGTTCTCACTTTGTCACTGGAGTTAATGTGTTTCAGCAGCTTTTGAAATCACAAAAAAGCCAAAAGTGCCTCATTTCTGTGCAGCCTTTTTTGTGCACCTTCTCTTTTGCCTGCAGCGTTCCCTCCTTGGACCAGGAGTGACCCACCTCTGTAGTCAGCTGCAGGAAGGGCTTTGGCTGACAGAGTTGACTGCTTTTGCGTCAATCACTGCTAACCATTCCCCTGGCAAGAATACTCCCAGTGCTGTCGAACTACTCATTAGTACAAAAGATCTTTTGTGGTTACTACTTGCCCACGTGAAGTGAATGGGCATAATAAAATGACAAACTAGAATATGGTCTACCACATTTTATTAAACAGCTAACTATAACAAGAAACAATTCAAAATGGGTTTTCGGGTGAAATAAGACTGTATCTTCACATGTGCATATTATTTTTTCAGGCAGTATTGGAACATGCAAGGCCAGAGGATCCTAGCTGGGATGAAGATTTTGCAGATGTCTATCATGATCTGATCCATTCTCCTGCTTCTGAAACTCTGTTAAACTTGGAACACAATTATTTTGTTAGCATCTCAGAATTAATAAGTGAAAGAGATGTAGAACTGAAAAAATTGCGGGAAAGGTATTCTGAAAATACATGTGTTTTTAAATCTGAAATTTTCTGTTCTCCTGAAAATGATTTATATAATAATCTAGTACTTTTTTTAAAAAAAGTAATCATCTAAGATTTAAGATTTCCTTGAACCAAAGAGCAGAGTATGCTTATGTAATGGTTTTGTGTTAGCCAAGGTATATGGTTGCAGTGATTGCTATTAAAAGGTAGATGATACTTCCAAGTAAACATACCTAGGATTATGTTGTAAGCCTCCTTCCGCTCATGATACTTATTCTAGGAGCCTTGCTACTAATTATGTACTATGGTGTTTGCTGTTAGGAGCTATGTTAAAAGGAATGACAGTTATATCAAAAATATGGTTATTACTGACTAAATGACATATGTTTGATTCTAGGCAGGGTGCTGAAATGGATAAGGTGATGCAGGAACTGGGAAAATCATTAACAGATCAAGATGTAAATATGTTGGCAGCTCAACACTTTGAATCCCAACAGGTAAATTAAATAAACTTAATTTTATTAGGGGAGAAAGTGCAAATAATGAGTAGTTGAAAGTTAATCAGCTGAATTTGTGTCTTATTTTAGGCACTGGAAAACAAATGGAATAATGAACTGAAACAAACATCAGGTATCCAGAAACAAGAATATCAAGAATGGGTGATAAAACTTCACAAGGACCTTAAAAATCCAAACAGCACTATTGGGTACCCAATTTCCTTCCTTCCTTCCTTTCTTTTCAATTTCTGCAATTATTCCACCAATGGAGCATAGAACCCACACTTCACCTTTAAAGACATATGTGAAATGAAAGAGACACCGATAAGATGCCTGTTGTAGTTCAGGATTCTGCTTACATAACAGCAGTAGCATCAGGGATAGAATCTGTTTTTCTCTTGTCTATGTCTCAATTCTAGATTGTTGAAAAGGTTGAAAAATTAAGCCAACCAGATATAAGCATGCACCATGCTAGGTCTGTCATGGTGGAGCTCTGATGTTAGCCTGAGAGAGAAAGTAAAGATGCACTGAGAAATCCAAGGATAGCTGACAGGTGTAGGTGGAATCCAGAATACACAATTCTTTCCCCATGCTTTAACTAAAAAGGCAGTGTGGAAGTGGGTTCATGACAGTTCCCTGCAGCAGCTGTGAGTTCAAGACTCACAAACAGAGATATCTTCGGTTTCACATCAGCTTCTTTATTCAAAACGGCAACTGGCTTGTCCACAATAGCTTAAACTACCCCAAGGCTAATCATACATCAAAACCTTTTTTGAACTCATTCTCCACCTGGGGTTTGACAGTTCCGTATTGGTCTGGACTGAGAGGGAAAAGTGGGAAAGGGAGAATACACAAATTTGGGTATGGACAGCCAGGGCATAGCACTCAGTTCAGCTTGCCCTCTTGCCAGGTGGTCACTCCTATTTCCTCAAGCCATTACCCGGAGGGGCGCTGACATTGTCTTTTTTCTCGTAACCTCTCTTGTCATCTATATCCCTCTCTTGCTATTGTCTTTTTCACCCTTGCCTTGGTTTCTCCCCAAAATGTAGCCTTAGCTTGTAGTTGTGTTCTCCTGTGCCTCTCAGCTTCCTCGGGTGGAATCATCAGATGCTCCCACTCCTCCACCCAAGGATTTGAGAGAATTGCCCATCCCATGGGTAATTTTTGCTGTTCTGTTCTTGTCTTCCGATCTCCCTTATCTGCCCCTTCTCCTCCTCCTGTCTTTTTCAGTTCCTCTGAGACCTCCTCCTTTCTTCCGGTTCTTTTCTCCACTCCTTTTCAAACTGTCCCGCCAAGGTTTCTTTGCTCATCCCCTTTTCCCCTCTCGGATTGTCAGCCTCACTTTCCGTCTCTATATACTGTACATTTCCCTCCATTCAATGTCCACCAGAGGGCTATTTGTTTCCACTTCTGTTTTTGAGGGAGGAAAATGGCATGATATCTCCAGATTGATCACTTTCTTTTCCACTCTCACAGGAAAGAATGCCAGATGTTAGTATTAACCAGGCTGTCCCACACATTTAGGAAGGATACATGCTCATCAGTTCCAGAACTGGTTGGGAATAACTGCTTTCTTGGAATATAAAAAGAGAGTGAGGTTTGCCTCCAGTTACATTTGGAGAGATGAAATTGTGATCTATGCTTCAAAAATCTGGAAGACATTGAAAACACTGTTCTACATAGAACAGGGATGGAGAACAAGTTTCAGATAGGAGACCATCAGTTCTATCTGGGCTGGTTGTTAGTGGGTGCAGTCATATCCCTGACATCATTGGGTTCCTAGGCAAAGTACCAACTAGAACGCTTCCACCTAGTGATTGGCCAGGAACCCAGGTTTGTTCCTGCTCACTTTTCTCCACATGGGAATGAAGTGTATGTATATATGAGAGAAGTGCAGTGTTCTCAGCTGATGCTTTCAGTCCTTGCTGACAGTGTAACCATTTTGCTTCTCCATCTTTCTTTTAGTGAATATTGGCAAACACCAGGTGAATCTCAATCTTAGGACTTAGCAGCTAGCTCATAGAAATGTCAGCTGAGCTTGCAGCTAACAACACATGATGATTGGGAGGGGGAGCAGCACACACTATGAAAATGACTGGTTGGTGTTCGGTTAGTGAATTTTTTTGGGAATGGAGCTCTTAAATCAAGACAAATCTGAAATGTGCTGTTTCTTTTTATTATTATTATTATTATTATTTATTTATTTAATTTATATGCCGCCCACACTACCCAAAGGTCTCTGGGCGGCTTACAGCATTTGAAATACAATAAAGATATGTAACAATTAAAATACAATTAAAATATATATAAAATTATAAAATTGCCATCGGACCCACAGCTAATATTATTTCAGTTAAAAGCCTTCTGGAACAGGAAGGTTTTGACCTGGCGCCGAAATGTCATCAGTGTCGGCGCCAGACGAATCTCAGTCGGGAGGGCATTCCATAGTCTGGGGGCAGCTGCCGAAAAGGCCCTTTGTCTACAAGCCGTCCCTCTTACCTCCTTGAGGGATGGCTCTTTCAAAAGGGCCCCCTGGCTAGATCTTAACTGCCGGGTAGGCTCATATGGAAGGAGGCGGTCCAGGGCCCAAGCATCAGAATACAATACCAGGAGGCAGCAAGTAGCCTATGGTGGATCTGAACTACTATTACTCTGTGGACTAGTTGAATCTCATTTTATGCTACCTGGGTGGCATGCTATAGTAGCCATAATAGACAGCTAAACCCTTAGACCTTGGTCTTATATTGCTATATTTGCTGTCTTATATACTTTACCTTTTTGTTTGTCTGGTATGGCTCTTTGTAGTTCATGCTGGTTTCTGAAGTTTTGCATTCAATTTTGTGTTATACAGTATATGACTCGATGCCATAACAGTAAAGTATGTATGTATGTACCTGGGTGGAGCTGCTTTAAGGAAAAGTCATTTAAAAGGAATTTCAGCTCTGAGTAGAATTCACTTGAGGAGTAAGTAAATTCAGCTAGGGAGAATTTGAGCTCTGAGCTGTCAGGCCTCCCTTCCCCTGTCTCCATTGGGTAAGACTATAAGCTCCTTTTTTGGCTTTGGCTATTATATGAGAGAGCAGCTCAAAAGTGTAGGACAGTTTGCTGAGCTTGAAAATTGATTAGTGAAAAGTTAATGGCCAGTGTATTTTTTTTATTCTGTGCAGTATAGAAGAAAACACAAAGTAATAGGTTATCAAGTAACATTTTTTAAAAGTTACATCAAGCCAGATTTTTTGGAGAAAACATATATTTTTAGCTAATACATTTCAACAGGAAAGTGTCTTAAAGTATATACTCACAAACATGGAGATGAAGAAAATCATAATGGCATTCAGAAATGAAGAAGTTTGCAAAAAGAAAGAGAAGGCAGACTGAAAATTGTGAGATAGTAGTTAACCTATCTGTGCATGAGGTCTATATACAAATGCCAGCAGTATGGGAACCAAACAAGAAGAGCTAAACTACTAAGTTCAGGAGGGTAAATATGACTTGATAGGAATAACAAACTTGGTGGGATGACTCCTGTACAGTGGTACCTCGCTAAACGACAACCCTACTAAACGACAAATCCGCACAACAATGACTTTTTGCGATCGCTATAGTGATTTGCAAAACAGCCATTCCTATGGGGGATTTTCACTAGATGTCGATTAGGTCTGTGCTTCGCGAACCGTTTGCTCGCAAGACAACGATTTTTCCGGCTTTGCAAAATGGCTGCCCTGTGTTTTCCGGACCCATGCATCGCAGGGCAGCCATTTTTACAGCTGATCGGTGCTCGCAAAATGGCTTCCCTATGGGCAATCTTCGCTGGACAACGAGGTATTTTCCCCATTGGGATGCATTAAACCAGTTTTCAATGCATTCCAATGGGGAAAGGGTTTTTGCAAGATGACAATTTCGCTAAACAGTGATTTTCACAGGACGGATTATCGTCGTCATGCGAGGCACCACTGTAACTGGAATACAGCAACTGAAGGCTATACATTGTTCAAAAAGAACAGAAAAAAATAGAAAGGGAGGTGGAGTTGCAGTTTATGTCAATAATAAATATTCCTGCAGAGAAAATCAGGAGTAGGAGATTGGTTGTCTCAATGAGAGCATCTAGTTCAATGTATCTGGGATGAAAAACAAAAGGAACATGGCAGTTGGAGTCTACTACTGACTGCCCAATCAAAAAGAGGATGTGGATGAAATTTTTGAAAAGCAAATTGGAAGGATTTCAGAGAAACATATAGTAGTGAGGGGAGATTTCAGTGGATACCTGTTGGGAGGAAAATCTGCCAACTATGGCCCTTCCAAGAAATTCCCAGGCTGTGTGGCTGATAATTTTCTCTTACAAAAAGTGGAGAAAGAAACTAGAGGGCTAGCTATCCTTTTATTGATTCTAACCGATAGAGATGATTTGGTGAAGGAAGTGGTAGGAAGAAATTGCAGTAAAGGTTCTGCCATGAAAAGCTGCTGAAGTGGCCAGACGGGCACACCAAAGTTTAGGGGACTTCCACATCCAACTGTGCATAAGGTTATATATCAAAAAGGAGTTTTAAAAAAAAAAATCTATAAGATCCAAAAGAAAAACCAAAAGGGTCAAGTACCTGAATATATTGTTCCCATTTTGACATGTCCCTATCAAGGCAAATTCTTTATTGGATTCTAAAACCTTTGTAAGAAATACTGTTGCATATTTTCATTATTAGTCCTTACATCATAGATTCAGAGGAGATATGTGGCTCTCCAGATATGTGTGGACTGAAACTCCCATAATACCCATCATGGTCAATGTGGGCTTGGGCAGATGGGAGTCTGCTTTTTCTATGTGCATTTATTTTATCTTTTGTGCATTTTTTCCCTCTGTGTTTTTGTTTTCTCTTTCTTGTCTTATGTGCACACCCAGGTGCACTCTTACAATGTCTCTTCCTTTATATGCGGTTTCCTTCCTTCTCCATTTGTTCTGTGTTTCATTGCATTTGTGTTTTCTGTGGGGAACCATATAGGTATGGGAGAGAGAGTGACACACACAGAAATGCATCATTGCATTTGTGTTTTCTGTGGGGAACCGTATAGGTATGGGAGAGAGAGTGACACACAGAGAAATGCATACTGTACTTTCAGGAAGGGGATGGCACATCCAACATTTTTAATCTGCCATGCTACCTATGTGAAGTGTTTTGTGATGCCTCATACATCCATGTCGGCCATCTTGTGGTTGCACCCATAATGATTTTTTAAATTCCATTGTGTCTGTGCACATGAATTAGACTTTTCACTTGGCTGTAAAAAAATACATGACCTTATCAGTTTAAAAACTAAGTAGACAGAAGCAGCTTCCTGCCTTCTTTTTTTCTTATTGGTTTTAGTGATGAAATAAAAGTTCAGCCAAATCAGTGGAGGGAATCTGTAGAAGGAAATGGGAGACTTTTTGAAGACCAGAGACAATTGGAAGAAAGTTTCACTATCCACTTAGGTAAGAACAAAGATGATCTTTACAGTGAATGTTCACAGCTTTAATGTGCTTGTGTGCAGATATGTTTTCCAAAATGTTGTAATTTGTGTTGTCCATGTGTGTCTGAAGCCATACACAGTGTAAATCTTGATCATTCTAGTCTATTCAGGAGACCAAGTTCAGTGAGTGTAGATTCATTGAAATAACCCAGGAAATACAGTTAATTCTAGAAGTTATAGCAAAGACATTAATTAAAGGAGATATGGAAGCATTACTATGTGCTGCTCTCAGTCACCCCAATGGATGATTTTCCGAGCATGTGTATACCTTTTTCTGTAATTCCATACCTTAGATTTGATTTTGCTATTGTTACAGCTAGCTTTCTGCTTATCCCATAAATTTCTCTGGGTTAGCACACTCTTGCTTTACTTAATGCACCTGCATTCACTATTTCTATATTTGGACATTATATTCAAGGCATTGAGACCTTGAGATGACTTGTAGTGTGGTACAAGTACAATAGAATAAGCAAAAGTTGTTAGGGGAGAGAAAGACATTAATTTAAGCCCCTTTCCCCCAGTTCTTAAATGTCCAGCTGCCTTTAGCTTCTAAAACTTTGCAACATACCAAGTCTCAAGGAAGTACCCCAACCCAGAAATGGCTACCAGATCTCAGAGCATAATGCTTCCTTTTACACATGCTACTGCTGCTTATGCCTCTTCATCAGTTTCCAGGATGGATGGCAGACACAAGAGACATTTGAGGGCAGTAGAGAGGATTATAAGCCTTTCCCCCATACTCTGATGAGCACTTCAATTGAGAAGATGTATTAGGACAGCAGTAAATTAATGTTTATGCCATTTCAGAAGCTTCTGGTCACCAACATCCTTAAAATATGTTATGTATTATCCCTCATTTCTGTGCTTCTGGCCCTATAGACACACTGTAACATTATCAGTTCATGTGCAATAAGTAGCTCTTCACACTGAAGTTGTCACCTCACAGTTGCCTTTTGGAAGTGATATATTAACCAAAAAGGACAGACCCACCAATTCTTCTTGGGATTCCTTTTATTCTCATATATTGCCCTACAGCCAAGTCTGTTACTTTCACTATTGTAGAATTCATGGCAATGTTTCCACCAGTTTCCACTCTATGTCTTCTGCCAAGGCAGATTTGGATTTCTAAATGTTTCTTGTGGATCATCCTAACTAACTAAGCCATGATCATCTGATTGTGTTATTTAGTGCTCATAATGTGTTAGAAGCAGTATTTTTTGTTTATATGTCTTTTTTGTATGTTGAATAATAAATTTACATCTTGAATAAATCTCTTCTGATCTGGGGGCATTCTGTTAGGCTTATCTCCCTACAGTGGACCCTCTACTTACGGAATTAATCCGTATTGGAATGGTGGCTGCAGGTCGAAAAGTCTGCAGGTCGAGTCTCCATTGACCAACAATGCATTGAAAACCTATTAATCCCGTAACCAGCCGTTTCTGTTCCATTTTTGTTCCATTTTGGGTTTTTTCTGGTCTGTAAGTCGATTCTCAGGCTGCAAGTAGAACCTAGATTTTGGGGCCAGAAAAGTCTGTAACTCGAAAAGTCTGTAAGTCAAGCCGTCTGTAAGTCGAGGGTCCACTGTATATTTTAACGCTTTTTTTAAACTTTCAACCAATTTTCTAAGGTGTGTGTGGTTTTTTTGTTTTGTTTTTTTGAGAAGAGGAGATTTTTGCTTAGAGATGAGAAGCTGGCAGAGTTATGATGATTAATCCAAGTAGATTTCTAAACAGAACCATCTATTCTTAATACTAAAACCCTTGCTGGTTTTTCAGTGTCAGCTACTGAGCAATTTAGAGTAGAGGTAATCCTAGCAGAAAAGTCAGAGATATTAGATAGTACAGTTCAGTTTACTGTCATATTGTTGATATGCTTTCACCGTCTCCTCCCACCTCTTTTTTGTCTTTTTCTTCTTTATCTTACCTAGGAGCACAACTGAAAACCATGCATAACCTCAGGTTATTGAGGGCAGATATGCTAGATTTCTGCAAACATAAACGCAATCATCGGAGTGGAATTAAACTGCACAGGCTTCAAACTGCCCTGTCACTTTATTCAGCTTCTCTTTGTGGCCTTGTCTTATTGGTGGATAATCGCATCAGTTCATACAGTGGGATCAAAAGAGGTAAGTTATTCTTAGGATCTAAATGTATACTAAAAATATTTTCTCCTTTGCTCAGTCTGAAAAATAACCAACAAAGTAATTTTACAGTACCATAAGATCCTTCGGTATATATACAGAGTGCTACTCCTGTCCTCTAAAGATGCTGGCCACAGAGATTGGTGAAACGTTAGGAAGAACAACCTTTAGAACATGGCCAAAGAGCCAGAAAAACCCACAACAACCAGTTGTGCTTCTCTTTATAATAAATAGGTAAAATATTGGTGGAACAGTATTACTTGCTTTTTTTCAATAGCACTCAGTTTTGATTACTTTCCACCTGACCTCTATTTTACTTTATTTATTTTATTTGTTTACAAGATTTTTTAGACACGCCATTACCAGTGGTCTCTGAGTGGTGTGGTTATCAAGTGATTAATGTGGTTATCAAGTGAGTATATGGTGCCACATTCATATAAACTCTGTAAATCCCTCCTGAGCCAGGTCTAGATCTGAACATAAAGGCAATTACATGCATGGTCCTGGCTCAGCACTGCAGTGAAAGAGACTACTGTTTACTATATAGAGGGCACATAGGTTGTTTCTGAGCCGTGATTGTTTATGACAATTGGTAAAGGCACTTTCTATTATAGTGCTATTCTCTGATAAATAACCCCTATTTGGGTCTTTGGTGTTGGAGAAGGAAACAGGCACCAACCACCGATGCTGAGGAGGCTGAAACTGACCAATTCTATGAAGACTTACAACACCTTCTGGAAATGACACCAAAGAAGGATGTCCTTGTCATTCTAGGGGGCCGGAATGCTAAAGTAGGGAGTCAAAAGATAAAAGGAACATCAGGTAAGTTTGGCCTTGGAGTTCAAAATGAAGCAGGGCAAATACTAATAGAGTTTTGTCAAGAGAACAAGCTGGTCATCACAAACACTCTTTTCCAACAACATAGGAGGGGACTCTACACATGGACATTACCAGATGGGCAATACCGAAATCAGATTGATTATATTCTCTGCAGCCAAAGATGGAGAAGCTCTATACAATCAGCAAAAACAAGACCTGGAGCTGATTGTAGCTCTGATCATCAGCTTCTTATAGCAAAACTCAAGCTTAAGCTGAAGAACGTAGGAAAACCCACTGGGCTAGTCAGGTATAATCTAAACCAAATCCCTTATGAATACACAGCGGAAGTGAAGAACAGATTTAAGGAACTCGATTTGGTGGACAGAGTGCCTGGAGAACTATGGATGGATACTCATAACAATGTACAGGAGGCAGCAAAAATTACCAACCCAAAGAAAAGGAAATGCAAGAAAGCAAAGTGGCTATCCAATGAGGCCTTACAAATAGCAGAGAAGAGAAGGAAAACCAAATGAAAGGGAGATAGGAAAAGTTACAGAAAACTGAATGCAGACTTCCAAAGAATAGCAAGGAGAGACAAGAGGGCCTCCTTAAATGAACAGTGCAAAGAAATAGAGGAAAAGAATACAAAAGGGAAAAACCAGAGATCTGTTAAAGAAAATTGGAGATATTAAAGGAACCTTTTGTGCAAAGATGGACATGATAAAGGACAAAAATGGCAGGGACCTCAGAGAAGCAGAAGACATCAAGAAGAGGTGGCAAGAATACAGAGAGGAATTATACCAGAAAGATCTGGATCTCTCGGACAACCTAGATGATGTGGTTGCTGATCTTGAGAGAGGAATTATACCAGAAAGATCTGGACAAGCTAGATAGTGTGGCTGCTGACCTTAATTAAACCAGACATCCTGGAGAGTGAAGTCTAGTGGGCCTTAGAAAGCATGGCTAACAACAAGGCTAGTGGAGGTGATGGCATTCCAGTTGAACTATTTAAAATCTTAAAAGATGAGATTATTAAGGTGCTACACTCACTATGCCATCAAGTTTGGAAAACTTAGCAGTGGCCAGAGGATTGGAAAAGCTCAGTCTACATCCCAATCCCAAAGAAGGGCAGTGCTAAATAATGCTCCAACTACTGTACAGTTTCATTTCACATGCTAGAGAGAGTTCCAGAAAAACATCTAGTTTTGCTTCATTGACTATGCAAAAGGCTTGGACTGTGTGGACCACAGCAAACTATGTCAAGTCCTTAAAGAAATGGGAGTGCCTGACCACCTTATCTATCTCCTGAGAAGAGAGAGAGAGCTGGATCATAAAGAAGGCAGACCACCAAAGAATTGATGCTTTTGAATTGTGGTGCTGGAGGAGACTCTTGAGAGTCCCCTGGACTGCAAAGACAACAAATCTATCCATTTTGAAGGAAATCAACCTTGTGTGTTCACTGGAAGGACAGATCCTGAAGCTGAGGCTTCAAGACTTTGGCCATCTCATGAGAAGAGAAGACTCCCTGGAAAAGAGAAGACTCCCTGATGTTGGGGAAGTGTGATGGCAAGAGGAGAAGGGGACGACAGAGGACCAAGATGGTTGGACAGTGTCATCGAATCTACCAACATGAATTTGAGCAAACTCCAGGAGGCAGTGGAAGACAGGAGGGCCTGACATGCTCTGGTCCATGGGATCACAAAGAGTCGGACGTGAGTTAACAATTAAGCAAAATACTAAGTAACACACTTTCTGACCTTTTGTCCCAACTTTCTTGGTCTATTTCTCATTGAGATGATTATAAAACTAACATGTAAGCAAAAAGTGAAGCTCTCCCTCTGATATGTAGTTTTCATTTGGAGAAACAGTCAATCTCAGTGTTGATCAATATAGTTTCAAAAGAAGTTTAACACATCTGGTGGGTTCTTAATGTCTTTCAGATTTTGCAACAGTCTGCCAGGAGTGTACAGATTTCCACTTTCCTGGGATTCAGGAGCAGCTTGAAATTGTTCAACAGGTTGTTCTTTATGCTCGAGCACAACATAGCAGTAAATCTAAAAGGCTAAATGGTCAGTACTAATTGGAGTCACTCTGGTTGAAGTAAAATAATCATGTGTGCATGTGATCAAGTGGCAGATGTTTGCAGTTTCCTTCCCTGTAAAATAAGAGTAAAGTATACTCTCTTGGAACAGAAGTGCATTTTAAAAAGTGATACATAATTGCAGTCTCCATTTATGTTGGTGGGTTGTTCCAGAATGCTAAAAACGCATAGCCTGTTTCCCCGAAAATAAGACTCAACCTGAAAATAAGCCCTAGTATGATTTTTCAGATGCTCGTGATATAATCTTTACCCCAAAAATAAGCCTCAGTTAAGTGAAAACCTGCACTTCACCATTGTGCAGCAACCAGAAGAAGGTGGCATGACTGTATTTGAATGTAGATTGTTGTACATGAAAACAATAAAACATCCCCTGAAAATAAGCCCTAATGTGTTTTTGGAGCAAAAATTAATATAAGATCTTGTCTTATTTTCAGGGGTGGGGGTGGGGGACAGTGGTTTGCATTAATTTCATAGGTGGCTCTAGCTGCATTTCTAACATAAAAGTTTTGCAACAATTGTGTCTTTGTGTTATAATTAACATGAAGCAGAATTCAGTACAAAGCTTACAGATATTCATAAATTGGTCAAATAGTGTTATGGTTTTTGTTCTGTTTGGCAATGCATGGCACACATAGCAAAGGAAGAGTCTGGTGAAATAGAGGTTGATATTGTCACATGTGAACTTGTTTTTCTGCTGAAACACAAGCATATAGTTCATTGATAGATTTTGTTCACTTACTCCCTCTTCCTCTGCTGGATGCACCCCTTAACATGTTGTGGGGATTTGACCGTGTCAAAGACTATACTTTTATTAGGAAGTTCTAGGACTCCTAGTATAGTGGAAGAGTCAAGTCTGAGACATTAGACTATAAGGCATGAACCTGCTTCAGGATTAATGGTCACATAAACAGAAGAGAATGGGTAATTCCAGTGGTGATGGGGGCAGAAAAATTATTGGATTGCAGCTACTGGACAGCAGTAATAGTGAAGATGACACTGGTGGAGAATCTTTTAAGACAGCAGTGACACTCAAACTAACTTGTGTTAGTACTGCATAAAAGAATGTTGATTGATATTTTGGTCTAAGAGTCAGACACAAAACAGGAAAACAACTCAGAATTCTGTTTATTGCATATACATGCTACAGGCAGCCAACCAGACAAATGGCCAGTATAGTAATTAAATAGACAACTTAATTGGATGTATGAAATGGAGAAGTTGTATTGTCTCTGCTAAAACAAGACAAGGAGAACTGGTACTGACCATCAATTGTTAATATAAAAAATTAGAGCAAAGCTGAAAAAGAACATGGAAAGAATCACTGTCCCTAATTATAATTTCAGTAATATTTGTGTCAATATAAAGAACAGATCGGCATTACTAAACTCAAATTACTGTGAACCAGAAGAGCTATGGATTGAAACTAGAGATATTAAGTTAAAGAAAGAATTAAAGTAAAATTGGTAGTCCTATTTAGTAGTTGGAGGTGACGGAGTGCAGTCACATGGAATGGCTTCTTCCTGTAGAATTTGTTGCAGTTAGTTATTCTGTTCTTTCTAATAGCAAAGAAAATGTATTTAATTTATTTTGTTTAACTTCATGCTTGCCTTGTTTGTAAGTTTTTAGTAATCTGAGAAAGATATGACTAAACCCAGACTTTGCTCAATTAGGTTGCAGTACGTGTTGGATGTTTACTCAGTGGATTATTGCCAGTGGCTCTGGCATCCTACAGCCAATGTAACCTGCCTTTATCTTGATGAGATGAATTTCACTTGTCAGGGAACCTTCTGTCATCAATGATGGAATGCAGTTTTTATTTTTAATTAGAGAGAACCTGTTGTTTCCTTTTTTCATGCATTGTACAATTGGTTCTGTCACATTGGTACATTGTGCCCCAAAGGTTGCGTGTTGAAAATCAGCAGAGTCAAAAATGTCCACAGAATTAAAATCTTTTCATTTGGATTTTCCCTTGTATGCATGTACAAGGGAAAATCATTTACGTCATGTTATTTTATTTCGATTTTCACCCCACCCATTTAGTGACCAGGCCACTATTCTAGTATTGTCAGTACTGGAGTTATAAATACCGTATTTTTCATTTCTCAAGAAATCATTCTAGGATGTCAGAAAAATAGGTTCCATTTCTTCCTTAAGCAAGCAGAAACCTAGTCGTTTGCTTTCTAGTCTATAAAAGCAAACAGGACTCAGAATATTAGGAATTGTTATTACAGATATTTGGAACGATCAAATTCAGATTTGGATGTATTCAGAACTATCCGAACATGGCATTACTCAGTAAATTCTGATTATTTCTGAATCCGAATGCACATCCCTTACACATAACACAAGAAAGTAAAGGTCAGGGGTACCCTTTAAATCCTTACAAACCCATTGATTTTGATGGGTAAGATTTAAGCATGCACTTTGTGTGTTTTGTTTGGAAGTAGAGGTATTTTCTGTATGCATTATTTGCCCATGTGATTTTTCCATGTATAAGATGCCCCCATGTATAAGATGCCCCCCACCTTTCTAACCTAAAATTAAGAAATCTAAGTGGGGCTTAGCAAGTATAGGGAAAAAGGGATCAAAGCACTGCAGGATCGCTTTGATCCCTGCTTTCTCCCTTCATGCTAAGTCCCACGTGTCTGAGCAAAAGGAGGGGGAAAGGGATCAAAGCAATCCTGTGACTGCATGATCATTTTGATCCCTTTCCCGTTATATAGCCATGGGATTGCTATGATCCTTTCCATGGGACTTAGGAAGCAGAGGGGAAAGCAAGGATCAAAGGCATCCTGCAGCGCTATGATCCCTGCTTTCCTTTTGCTAAGGCTTAGCAAGTGGAGGGGAAAGCAGGAATCAAAGCCCTGCAGGATCACTTTGATCCTTGCTTTCCCCTCCACTTGTTTTTTCTCTCCTCAGCTTACTTCCGTGTATAAGACGGCCCTCAATTTTTAGTCTAAAACTTTTAGACAAAAGTATAGTCTTATACATGGAGAAATACGGTAACACATAACATATTTTCTTGAATGTTGTTATATATCATGGAGCAGCATCTAGTTCTACATGACACCAAGTTTTATTTTTCCTATAGAAGCAGGAAGCAAAAATAGTGCAAGTGATGATAAATCTAAGACTGTTGATCAAAACCCTGCAAATATCTTGCCAGGTATGTTCTGTGCATTTTATTCAGTTGAATGTTTGCCTTGTCAGAATTTAGACTGTAATCTTTCCAGTGTAGTTGCACTTGCTGGTTTTTTGAGGCAAGATTTTGCTTTTATTCTTTTTGTTACAAAGTATAGAATGGAAATTTAGGAAACATCTGACTTTTTTTTTATTAAAGGCACTAAATTGTGCTATGTAGAATGAAAATTCATGAATCTCTAACGCTTCTTGCATCAGTTGTGGACTCTGTCTACAAATGCTAATTTCACAATACACTTGCTTGTCCTTAAGATGTCATAGGACAATCTGTTTTTCCCCCCTCTTGTTGAACGTGTCTCATCTGACTACTGTGCTGAACAACTACATCCATCTATGGTCGTGTTAGGAACAGGACAGTTATCTACTTTAGACTTTCTGAAGATTTGGAGGCAGAAAATAATATATTTTGGCTGTGCTGCCATCCTTCTCTGCTTTCCTCCTCTAATACTGTATTGTCTCCACACCTTCGTAAGGTCTGGTTTTGTTAAAGACTGATGGCAGAACACTCCCCTGGGTTCATATTATGAAACAGAAGAGAACACTGTGGTGGCAGTCGTGACAAACCCAGACCTACTGGGATCTGCCACGCGTTAACTAAGCTGCCACCAACCATTCCCTATAAGAAGTCACACAGACCAGGGATGGATTTTTAACAAATAAAAGAATAAGGTTTATTTAAAACAACACACAGGGAAAATAAAAGGATTATGTGAATAAGATATAGTAAC